ACTGTCAGAAGCTGTGAGTGCGTACTGTCAGAAGCTGTGAGTGCGTACTGTCAGAAGCTGTGAGTGTGCACTGTCAGAAGCTGTGGGTGCGTACTGTCAGAAGCTGTGAGTGCGTGGCGGCGTCGTCGGGTGTGTGGATGAGTGCACTGTGGACGAGAGCGATGTGCACAGCCCATGGGACGCTAGGGATTGGGATGAAGAGATGGGTACGTATTAATGGCGCGGGTAGTGCTGAATGCACACAAGACGGACTACATGCTCTCCCCAGTTCATGATTGGCATTGTGTATTTCCTCGCCACATCGTGTTCGCAAAGCAATCGCTCTAGGTCCTGTTGCCAACGGTGTTTCCACGGGCGACGGCCATGTCGTTGGTGGTGGCAAGGGTGGGTTCATCGACGGGAACAGCAGTACTCGGTTCTCACAAACGGACACATGCGCACGCCCGCGATCGTGACGCCCGCACCGTGGTCCAGACATCACCTTCCGGCCTGCATGTGCCTGCCTGCGTGGGATGTGCCCAGCGCAGAATCAACTGCGGACAAGTTGCCCTCTATGATTGCGCCAGCTTGTGCAGTTTATCGCCCTCAACCCGGAGTCCCACCCACTCGTCCTTCTTGCCCGCGCCAATCTTCTCGCTCTGATAGAACCGCAAACTCGGCTCATTCCAGTCCAGACAACTCCACTCCAGCCTCTTGCCGTCGACTTTAAGCACCTCCTTGGCCAACCGCCTCAGCAACATGACGCCATACCCCTTGTTGCGGTACTGCTCCTTGACGAACAGATCCTCGAGGTAGATGCCGGGCACGCCGGTCCAGGTGCTGTAGTTGTAGAAATACAGGGCCATGCCGGCGACGGTGCCGTCGGGGTCTGTGGCAAGCAGGGTCTTGGCGAAGCCCTTGGAGAACTTGTCGGGATTCTCCGGGTCGGCAGCGTCGGCGTGGGAGAGGGTGCGGGTGAGTGAGTCGACGCTGGCTTTTACCGAGGACGACGACTTTTCGTAGTCGGCGAGCTCTTGGATGAGGCCAAGGATTGTGGGGACGTCTGGGGAAGGCGTTAGTGACGTCAGTGCAGATGGGGGGCTGCAGCATACCCTCGCGTGTTGCGTGGCGGATGGTGGCGTTTGAGGATGCCATTGTCATGGCTGTGATGCTTCTTCACGTGGAGCGTCTCTAGAAAGGCAGAGTCACCGTGGCAGACGTTTTTGCGGTCCAGACGCGCCCTGCGAATGGCGTCGGGTGGGATGATGCAGGAACCATGTGGGGCAAGGGTCTCATGCGTCACCGCCCGCGGCGACCCACTTGGCGCGAGCAGCGTCGCGCTCCGCCTTCCACTTGTCCAACTCCAAGCGCACGGGGTGGGTCTTGGGAAGCCACTCTGCGTAGAATGGAAACGTCATGGGCTTGCCGTTGTCGTTGCGCGGCAGCGCAGCCCCCGGGACGAATTCCTTCTTCTTTGGAGCCTTTGGTGCGATGCCTTTGGCGTCGACGCCGGCAAACAGGGCGTCGTCGACGGGCGCAGTGTAGCTGCGGGGCTGCACGGCCTTGAAGTGCTGGCCCCAGACTGCTCTCCACTGCTGGCGCGTCTCGTTGTACTCGAGCTTGGGGGTCAGTGTGAGCAGCTTGGCGTACAGACGCTGCATGAATCTGACAGTGAGGTTGTGCGGCCGATTGATGCCCTGCGGCCTGTCTGCTTTGCTGAGCTTGTCCAGCGCGAGACTGTGGTGCACCATCCGCTCAAGGCTGCTATCGTCGGCGCCTGGCTGAGAGGGAACGCCCGCCGCCGGCGTGCGCGGTCTCACGAAGCCGATGCGCTGCTGTCCATTGCTCATGGCTTCGAGACGATTCCATTCTTCGGTGGGAAGAGCGGGCAGGAGTGCGGTCATGGTGTCGGCGTACCAGCGGCGCACGTTGTTGATGGCGCGCTTAATGGGCACAGGCCGCTGCCAGGTGTTCAGCACGGGGGTGGTGAGGAACGGGCTCTTCACTGCGCGTTTCTTGTCGGTAGCCTGCTTGGACTGGGAGGTGACGAGGGCGCGCAGCCGTGGGTACTGCTGGGAGATGTAGATGGCATGGGAGCCGGCGCGGACCTGCGGGGCTTCAAAGTACTGCAGGCACTTCAGCTCGCTGCGGTAGAGCTGCTGCAGCGGGGCGGGGCCCGCAGGCCAGGCAGGGTCTGGCTTGAGCAGGTCGTCGAGCAGCGCATGCTTGCGGCGGCCCAGACGTCCGTAGGCGAACCACAGCGCCTTCTGCAGGCACTGGGCCTCGCCCTGGTTTGCGCGGCGCAGGAAGTTCAGCCCCTTGTGCGCCTTGCGCTGCTGCTGACCGAGGCGCGCCTTGATGATGCCTGCGTGGCGGCGCTTGAAGGCGCGGAGGCGGTACTTGTCGACGGCGGCGACGTCAAAGGATGCCGTCGCGTTGGGCCGCGGCTGGTAGGCCTTGAAGCGGGCGACAACATAGCGGCGGAAGTAGGTGCGGGCGGTCGCGTCGGGCAGATAGGTCGCCTCGCGCAGGAGGGCGCGCAGGAGGTGCAGCGACCTGGTGTGCGCGGGCGAGTGCAGCGGCGCAGGCATTTGGGCGGTCCAAGACGGTTGTCGGAGTTGTCGGCGTTGTCGAAGACGTCGAGGCGCGGCGCGTGATTGGTTCCGCGAACGCGTGAACGCGAACCGCTCCCCGACCCCAGGCCAGTTCGTGCTGGTCCCCGACTCCCCCGCCCACCAGCGCCAGATAGATCCGACGACGAGGACAACGTAAATCAGCCCAGCCGCCCGCCCGCCCGCCATGCAGCAGGTTGCGCGCTCGTTCCCGTCCGCCGGCTCGCCCTCGCACTCGGGCCTCATGGCTGCGCCCGGCTTCAACCGCTCCTTCAGCGACGTCAGCGCCTACGCCCAGCCCGCCATGGACAAGCCGCAGATCTACACGGCCGTCTACTCGGGCGTGTCCGTCTACGAGATGGAGGTCAACCGCGTCGCCGTCATGCGCCGGCGCTCCGACGGCTGGCTCAACGCGACGCAGATCCTCAAGGTCGCCGGCGTCGACAAGGGCAAGCGCACCAAGGTGCTCGAGAAGGAGATCCTGCCGGGCGAGCACGAGAAGGTCCAGGGCGGCTACGGCAAGTACCAGGGCACCTGGATCAACTACCGCCGCGGCCGCGAGTTCTGCCGCCAGTACGGCGTCGAGGACATGCTGCGCCCGTTGCTGGACTACGACGTGAGCGCCGAGGGCGGTCAGGGCCAGGGGCTCGACACGCCCACCAAGGAGCAGGCCATGGCGGCCAACCGCAAGCGCTTCTACACCCAGAGCATCGACTCCCGGCCCCAGAGCCACGCTGTGGGCGGGACCTTCTTCAGCAACATCTCGTCTACCGCCACCAGCGCGCTGGCCGCCATGAACAAGGTCGCCCGCCTGCACTCGCCCGCCCCCCCGCGCCCGCCCAGCGCGTCGCAGTCCCGCCGCTCGATGGCGCGCCCCGCGCAGGGTCCGGCGCCGGCGCAGAGCCAGGACTCGTTCCGCACCAGCAGCCAGCAGAGCGTGCACAGCATGGCCTCTGAGCGCAGCTTCAGCGGCGCAAACGGCCACACCGACTCGGCCTACGCCACGGGCATGGACGACACGCAGGAGCCGCCCCGGAAGCGCATGCGTCCGTCGCAGGACGACTCGTTTGCGCAGCGAGCCAACGGCGACGACATGATGCGCGACCTCGGCTCGCCTACGGAGCCCAGCGAGTCTTTCCACCAGCCCCACCAGACCGGCCACACCATCAGTCTGCCCGACGGCCACGCTCCCACAGCACTGCCGCCGCTGCCGTGCCCCGACAGCAAGATCAACGAGGAGAAGCAGGCCATGTTGACCGACCTGTTCGCCGACCAGACGCGCACAGACTTCACAAACCATCCAGCGATACTACACCTCTCCGGCGCAGACCTCGATATGCCCATCGACAACAGCGCCAACACGGCTCTCCACTGGGCTGCCACACTCGCCCGAGTCTCGTTGATGCGCTTGCTGGTATCGAAAGGAGCCAACATGTTCAGAGGCAGCGCAACGGGCCAGACGCCGCTGATGAGCGCGGTATCCGTGAACAACAGCCTCGACCACAGCTGCTTCCCGGAGACGTTGGAGATCCTGGCACCCCTCATCGAGCTCCGTGACGCCCAAGGGAGAACCATTCTCCACCACATTGCCGTGACGTGCGCTATAAAAGGGCGCGCGGCATCCAGCAAGTACTACCTCGAAGCGCTGTTGGAGTATCTCGTCCGCAGCAACATTGGCGGCAACCAGGTCCCCTCGTTCCTCGAGAACAGCAACTACCCCAAGCCAATAGGATTGATGAGGTTCATGCAGGAGATGGTCAACGCCCGCGACAAGGCCGGCAACACAGCGCTCAACCTCGCTGCCAGGATCGGCAACCGCAACATCATCTCGCAGCTTCTCGAGGTGCAGGCAGACCCCTCGATACCCAACCACAAAGGCACCCGGCCACTGGACTTTGGCGTGGGCAGCGACATGCACGGCAACGACGACAGCGCCCTATCTGCAGCAAGTCCTTTGAAAGGGAAAGCGCCGTTGAGCAAGGTGGAGGAAACGAGTCGCGAGATCCAGCCTTGTAAGTGTTTAGTAAAAAAAACCTTTGCCCTCCACTGACACTTCCAAGTAATGAACGGCATCCTCCAATCCGCCTCGATGCAGTTCACCCAAGAAGCGCGCCTAAAACAAGACGTAATCGACCAAACAAACTCAACAATCGGCACCCTCTCCTCGCTCCAAAAGTCCGAGCAAGGGCGCCTCGACACCCTCCGCACGCGCCTCCGCCAGCGCCAAGACCGCGCCAAGCGCATCGCAAATCTCAAGCGCTGGCTCGAGCCCCAGCGGCACATGCTCGCCGCGACAACCGCCGCCACCGACCTGACCCACCAGCGGGAGATTGGCTACGCCGACGCCGAGGGCGCGGGCCTGCTGGTGCAGGACTCGGATCTCGCCGACGACGTGCGCAGCGAGGGCGCACACCTCATCCGCCAGGCCTCGGGCGGCGCCGCGTATCTCTCCACCCCCCTTTCCCTCCCCGCATCCGCATCCCTGAGCCCGCATCTCGCCTCCATCCCCGCGAATGTGCTCCGCCAGCGCATCGAGGTCTACTGCCAGGCCAATGCCGCGCTGCTCCAGAGATCCAGGCAGCTCAAGGATAAAGACGGCCAGCTTGAGGCTATGTTCAGACAGGTCGTCGCGCTGTGTACGAATGTGCCTGAGGAAAGGGTCGATGGGGTCCTGCCCAGTCTTGTCGAGGCGCTGGATAGCGATCCGTTTGACGGCGTCGAGGTTGGGCGGGTACGCGAGTTCCTGCGCAAGGTCGAGGGGGTGGAGGCGTGAGTCGCTCCTCGCGCGAGCCGGCTCAGCTGCGTTTTTGTCGAGGAGCCGGCGCACGCAGAGGCGGCTGTCTGATTGATTGATACGAGATACCTTGATTGTGTACTGCGGAGAATACCATTTTCTTGTCGAGTCCATCTCTCTAACATATCCATTCCGCACCCACACTTTCTCGCCGCTTCTGCACGCAAGATACGCTGCACCCCTCTTCCATTCATCATGGCCCCGAGAACAATGTGCCAAACTTCTGCGCCTGCCCTTCTTGAATTAGTTCCAGCCATCACCTGTACTCGCAACAGGCCCTTTTGCCATCGAATGTCCAGACACAGACACGGACACGGACGGTGAGTTGGGGGATCAGCGCACGAACAGACGGCCGGGGCGGGTCAAGTATCTTGTTGACGCTGGATGGTTGGGGGCGATGTCTGATGCGTAGCGCGCTGTATCAGGTGAGCGGACAGGTACTACATGTGTATTTGGCTAGAGTGACTGGACGTGCATCCTGCATGGCAAGCAGGAAGGTTCCAGGTTGCGGAAGAAGAAGGCGGCGGCGTGGAGAATGCTCGCGGATTAGAGAAGTAATGCGGTACACCTCCGAGCACAAGTCGGCTTGGCGAAACCAGACAAGGCGATGGTGTGTTGTGATGGAACTTTGCCTATGGCACCGAGTGATTCGAGATGCAATGCGTGCAACGCAGTTTCAAATGCGGCGGCACGGCATCAGCATTGAACGGAAGCCCGTAGCTGCGTGTCGAGCTTAGGTTATTGCGAGGATGTTCTCGAATACAGTGGGATCATCGTACGCTCATCTCTACAGACACGCACAGCGTTGTTCGTCAATGTTGCGATCGGTTCTCGGTACAACTTTTGTGGAGCAATGACGTCGTATTCAGACTTTTGGTAGGGCACCTTAGCAGCCCGAACGTCGAATGTGGCTATGTGAGGGAGCCGGGTTCCATAATAGTGAGGCTGTAGAGGATCATCCGGAAGTGAACTGTGGAGACATAGTAGGGGACGGAGAGTATATGAAAGGTGGAAATTACGGCAATTGCGATCGCAACGTTTACCATATATCGACAACACACGCCACAATCATCAATCGTGAATACAACATACCATTCACATCACCTCTTCCGTCACCCAGTATAGGTCTCCGAGTACTTGTTGCAGGACGAGACATCTCAGAAAAAGAACGTTCCTGACGACTGTGCACACACTTGATCGAGCACACAACAACAATCATGGGCTCCGGATCCAGTAAGGAATCAGAAGAACTCATCGAGGTCAACAAGCAGGCGCTTCGTGAGAAGCGCAAGAGCTTTAATGGCGGAGTCTCAGTGAAGAACAACAACATCGCTGGTATTGGAGGAGGGCCTGGTGGACCCTTTGGCGGAAGTGGTGGCGGTATCTTAGGCGAAGACTTTGGTGGAGGTGGAGATGAGAACTTCCTTCGAAAATCGAAGACCGATGTGCAAAAACAAGAGCGGCACTGATTGGGTTGCTTTTGAAGACGGGAAGGCGAAATTGTTATTTTGACTGGATTCTCTGTTGGTAGCATACTGCATTATGTCCATCTTGGGTCCTGACCTGGCGATCTCGCTGTGCAGTTTACATTTCTGATCTTGCTATCAATCAGATGTGCATTGATATGCGTCATAGCCGCTCCTTTCTGCAAGAAGTTCTCGATGTTCTCCATCGCCGGCCCTTCAAACCCACTCGCCGTCTCATACGCCCCCCCTGCATTGCGAGACGTCAAGCTCGCGCTCTGCATCTTGCAAAGCTCTTGATTAATATGCGGCTCATATTCGTGTACGTATACCCCAGTAGCGAAGAGATACCCGCTCTCCAGCGCTTCCGCGAGTGCTGGCTCGTCGACAAGTGTCGCGGAGCAAAAGGTCAACCTTTTACTCCCTTAAGTAAGTTCGTCTCTAATCGTGACAACAAGAGTACCGCAAGCGGTGTTGACAAACCAACCGCCCTCCTTGAAATGCTGCAGACGCTCTGCAGCGATGAGCTTGGATCTGGAAAATGGCTTCGCAAGTGATATGCAGTCTGCAGTGGCCAGCATGTCGTGTTAGGTCTAGATCTTCATAGAAAGTCGCGTGTACCGCGCTCTCTTGTTCTTTGGCCTCGGAATCAGGTCGTGATGCACTACAAGAAGTAAAGCTTCCGTCTTCTTAAATGCGTCCAGGACGTGAGTTCGGCCTGTAGTGTGTCAGTATATAAGAGCGTATTGGAGCGTCAAAATGGATGGCCAGGGCTCCAACAGGATGAACAATAGTCACGATATGACGAGGGTGCTTCGGTTAGGTACCGGTAGGGCGATTCGCGAAACACAAAACGAAGTCCAACTCGGCGCATCATTCTGGTACTTGTGGAACGGAATAATAATACAATTTAATCTTAAATGCGCTGTAAAGACCTGCTTGGACCCAAACCAGCCGTCTTGGCTACGCTAGCGCGGTTGCCTAGGTACCAATCCTACAGCGCCTATATATATCTCATTGTGCCGCCTTACGTAGCAATCGGTACGTCTCAGATCATGGATGAAATGAGCTCCAATACTACGCCTGCCTTTACCAGGCTTCCAGCTGAACTCCTCATACTGATCCTGGATCAACAACATTCAGTATCAGACAAATATGCTGGGGATATGTGAGCTGCAAGACAGAGACAGATGCCTTTACGCCCTCTAACATGCGATCAAAGTATCGACTACGCTACACTCAAGTCACTCCGCCTAGCCTGCAGACAATTTGCCCATCTGCCAAAGCTTCTTGGTAAGGTGTTCAAGCACATCCTGATCATAGCTTCGCCAGAGCAAGTCCAAATTGCCGAATCGCTCGACCTATCCTCCATCAAACCTTACGTCAGAGTGATCACGATGGCACCGTCCAAGTACAGTTGGACCATGACTGAGCACCAATTTCGGCACATCGTCTCAATCCCGCGCATCGAGGAGATATGCCAGGAGCTATCCATGACGTACTACCGAGTCAAGAGTACAGGGGGAGACGTCAGTGGCTTTAGCCAGTCGAGAGAGCAAGAAATAAAGGAAGGGTGGCAACACTTCCTCGAAAAGCACACAGATGGCAAGATGCCGTATCCCGAAACCGAAATCGTCACAGGCTACGAGCGTTACATGCAGTGTGCACGACGCACTCGTAGAATGTTCGAGGAGAACAAAGTGCACCACGCCTGGACGAAAGTGTTTACTCAGCTACCAGATGTACATTCCTTCAGAGTCGGAGCTTGGGGATTTGATGGCAGTAGCGATGACAATTGGAGAGACTTGAGCTGCGAGCCTGTCACACACAGGCATAATTATAACAACTCCGGACATAATGCGGGCGTATGCCGGCAGTTGCAGGAGCCGGTTGGGGAAGCACTGTTGAGGACAGCCATCGCAAGTCTAATCGCTGCCGGGTCAATCATAGCGCACCTTGAGATTGACTGTGTTCTCGACAGCAAATTCGTCTGGGCTGACGATGGCACATTGAGGGATTTGGACTTATCGCGTCTCCAAACCCTGACCTTCGACCCGATTGAGGTGGACTGGTGGGAGAAACGTGGATGGACCTCAGAGTATGAGGCTACTGCCGTTGCCCGGTGCGGGCTCGCACTATCGACAATTCTGCATACGTGCAGGTTTAGCCTGTCCAAGCTGATCTTATACCCAGAGTACGGCGAACAATACATCGTTTGGCCACCCGCGGCCCCAAATCGCCCCCTAATGCTGCCGGCCCTCAGGAGCTTCAGAACAGGGATGAGCCTTGACCTGCCCGAATTCGCGCGCTTTCTACTTCAATCTCCTGCTCTGCAGTTTGTCCAACTCGATGGCTGTTCAGGTCGGCTTGGAGAGTGGCGTGAGCTATGGGATGCTATACGCAATCATCCCAACCGCATGACGCTCGAATTCGACCAGCTTCCGTGTAACAGCTATACAGAGTGTAGTGTGTACCACTATACAGGTGAAGATAGTAAAGCGGACTTTGACGATGACCCGTGGGACAACATCCAATACAGTCTGGAGAACTACTTGTCCGGAAACAGGCATTGGGACCGTACGTTGAGGATGTGGTTTGAAGATGGGGGCGACGAGCCTACCGACTCCGAAGACGACGAAGATGATGCTATTGAAGGCGAATTCGTCAGCGAAGCTGACGAAGAGCAGTAGTATTATGTTATTCAAATATTGTGCCATCAATTCGACCGCATCAAAATTTGCACTGAGATCGCATCTATGATGTATCCCTAAACAAGAGTAACGACCTCGAATTTTTCTCATCCAAATTCCAGTAAAGAGGTAGAAAGATGTTTATCATCTTGAAGGGTAAACACTCGCCCAGTGATCCGTCTCGAGGGTAAAGGTTAAGCAGCATACAGCCTGTGCGACTGATCATCCTTCTAACGATACTGCCGTCGGATGAAGGCTCTCCCAAAATGTCCCAAGCCTTGAACAACCTTGCTGCTGTGTCGAGAGTCTGCCTAGAGGCGAGTCTGCATACTGGGCAAGATCGTAGGTATCGCTTGGTACCTCGCCAGGACTAAGTCAGGACAGCACACTCAAGCACATCAGATTCGGGTCCACAATACCGATCTCGCATGCGCTCTGAACACGCCTGACGCTGAGGCACCGTCATCGTTCGACGATGTGCTCAGAGTAGGATGAACTCAGCTTCACCGGCTTGGCTGCATGCAAGAACTAGCGAAGGGTTCCTGGACACCTAAGCTTCACACGAAACAACGTTGCAGCGGCGCTCGAATCGCTGAATTGTTATTGAAGATTTTGGTGCGTCATCGTCACTGCCGTCGTCGCCACCCGTAGTTTCACCAGACATCGCTAACCTGTATTGGACTAGTGAGGGTGAGGCTCTCGCGGATATAACGCCTCCAAGCCTACAAGAGTTTACCCGGGCGCCACGAAGCTTAAATCCTTTCCCTCAGCGGCTCCACATCGTCGTCACTTCTTGATGGTTATTCGTGGCAGTGGTTGGCCGCTCCGCGAAGTGGCATGCACGCGGAGTATCGAGCTTCACCAGGATTACAGATACATCCGACATCTCCGCCTAGAGACCTCCACACAGAATAATGTTCACCCTGATGCTGTGTTCCGGGTAGGAAAACACCGTGGGGGAAGTATGGAGTCTCCAAGGGGTCCAACGATTTGGATGGAGCAGTGTGGAGCCCCGTAAAAGTCAGTGCACGACCTTCGGACTCATAACAGCACTGCGTCTTCGCGACCTTTGTTTCTTTGTCCCTCTTACCATTTTCTACTGTCACCAATTTCCTGTTGTTGGACCGAACTGCCAAGATGGGTATTCTCACGATGGTCGAAGATCGGCCCACGCCGAAAAGCGTGTACAACTGGCGCGTCTACGTCTCTGCAGTGACCGCGTCTTTTGCATCTTGCATGATCGGCTACACAACATCGTTCATCGGCACAACAGTCTCACTCGAGTCCTTCCAGGATGAATTCGGCCTCTCGACAATGGGTGCTTCGCAGAGAAGTTTGATTCAAGCCAACGTCGTCTCCTTGTTCCAGGCCGGAGCTTTCTTTGGATCCATCTTCTCGTATGGCACAGCGTACTACTTCGGCCGACGTATCACGCTTTGGACTTTCGTCACGATGTTCATCATTGGTGTCTGCATCACCTTCGCAGCCATTGGTGGACACCTCGGCCCCATGTACGCAGGTCGATTTATTTCTGGCTTTGGTGTTGGCGGCTGCACGATGATCGTAAGTCTGGTCTCGGTCTCGATTAGATCTCAAGCTGACATGGCACCAGGTCCCCATCTTTATCTCTGAGATCGCACCGCCCGCCATTCGTGGCCGTCTTGTTGGAACTTACGAACTTGGCTGGCAGATTGGCGGTCTGGTCGGCTTCTGGATCAACTTTGGTATGACCCAGACCGTCGCCTACGGTCGCAACCAGTGGCTCATTCCTTTTGCCGTCCAACTCATCCCTGCTGGAATGGTCCTTATTGGTAGCGTTTTGTTTCTCCGAGAGACACCTCGCTGGCTATGGACCAGGGACCGACGTGAGAAAGGTATTGCCAACCTTTGCTGGTACAGGCAACTGCAGCCTGAGGACACTTACATCATCGAGGAAATCGAGATGATGGACCTTCAGATCAACGACTTGCCCACTGGCTTTATCAAGCCCATCCGCCTGGCTCTGACCAACAACGCCGTGCTGTGGCGCCTCTTCCTTGGTCATATGCTTTTCCTGCTCCAGAACTTCTCTGGAATCAACGCTATCGTATGTCATCTGGACAGCCTCTCATCTGTAAAGTCGCTCACAAGCAATGTAGAACTACTACTCACCCACCATCTTCCGCACAATGGGTGTGAGCAACACCGAGACCATCGATCTGATGACCGGTCTATTCGGCGTCGTGAAGTGTATCATGACTATCCTCTGGCTCACAGTCCTGATCGACAAGCTCGGTCGTCGCACACTCTTCCTCGCAGGTGGTGCCTTCGGTGCAGCATGCATGATCACCATCGGCGCTCTGGTTGTCACAGAGCCCGCCGCTGCGGAAGGCGCTGGTCTTTCCAGCCAAGGAATCGCAACAATCTTCATGATCTACCTCTGGACCTGCATCTACATCACCTCCTGGAACGGCACACCCTGGGTCGTCAACGCCGAGATGTTCAATCAAGCGACTCGCAACGTCGGGCAGGTTGGTGCATCGATGGCAAACTGGCTGTGGACTTTCGTCATTGCTCGCATCACGCCGAACATGGTTGCTGGAATGGGCCACAACGGGTTTGGCATGTATTTCTTCTTTGGCGCGGTGAGCGCGTGCGCTGTTGTGTTTGTCTGGTTCTTGGTTCCTGAGACGAAGAGCGTGCCGCTTGATCAGATGGATAGGCTGTTTGAGATAAAGCCTATCCGGAGTGCGCAGCTGAAACTCATGGAGGAGTTGGCGACGAACAATGCAGAGTTTACGAAGTTGGACAGGATGGATGAGGAGGTTCCTGAGCAAGTTGAGGGGCGATAAACGCCGTGATGTCTTTGTGATAAAAGCACAATTTTGTGTAAGTTACTGTTTCAATATCCGAAGTTTGCAAGAGATTTGCGGGTTTTGTCTCGCAATTGTCACGGCAGAGTATAATGGCGGGCAGTGACCCAGGATAGTTTTTTTGCTTCCGATCTGGGTTCACACGATGCTGGCGAAAATATAAAGTGAGAACTTACCTAGGTCTCCCATCTAGCGAAGTCCTTCGTCATCATAGAAGTGTTGAAAGCGGTAGCGTATCCGATCAACACTGACGTGAGACCTACTTGTTTGATTTTCAAGAACGCGTCTGTTTCGCCGAAAACATGTTTATTAGCGCATTGTCATTTGAGACTTGTAGATCGACCCGTAGGTAGAGTCTGTCAGACTGGTTTCAGCCATTCATTGGCCTTGCAAAATCGATGCATCTGCTTTCAAATCCGTTTACACCGCAAAGCGTAGCGCAAATGGCACATCAGTGCTCACAGGGTCATTTTCAAGGCCAGACCCATTACGTGCCGGGAGAGAGTGCGCATGTAGAGATCTTGAGTGGTCTGATGCCTCAGGTCGTTTGGATACGAGACCAAACGGTGCAACGCTTCAGCAGCACATGAACTTCTTTGCATTATCTTTGAAATGTCGTTGAACAAGATGCAATCGAAGTTCGCACAGTCAGAGCCAAGGATTCAAAGCCTGAAGCACCGGCAAGTACGCATTTTGAGCTCGAACACGAGCGAGCCGATCGAAATCGACAGACAGATCAGACCCGTACAGACATGGATGGTTGAAGTGTGCCCCCGCCTTGCTTGGGTAGAAACTCAGAGCGCAAAATCCTGGGCAGATCACCGACTGTCAACTAGGCGCAAACATAAAGGCAGCAGTTGGTGTGGTTATGTGAGCACAGGGAGGCGGGGTTATGAGTTTGGTAGACAGTCGTGGACAATGCACGTGACCAGAACTGAGCCAAACAAATCGCAGGTAGGATTGATGTGACACATTTTTGCTTTGCCACGCTAACATAATACGCACTCAACAACCTATAACTGCTCGTTGACAAACAGACCAGCCATGCCCATACCAGTACCAATGCACATACTAGTCAAAAGCACCTTTTTCTTCTGCCTCCTGCACTCGCTCAGTCCTGTGACAATCTGGCGGGCACCCGTGCACGCCAGTGGGTGACCCAGCGCGATAGCACCGCCCCTGACGTTGAGCTTGCTGTGGTCGATCTTCAGCGTCTCCAGGCAGTACACGGCCATGGACGCAAACGCCTCGTTGATCTCGATGAGGTCGACGTCGTCGAGAGTGAGCTTGAACTGGCTCAGCAGCTTGGGGATCGCGACGGAGGGGCCGATGCCCATGATCCTCGGCGGCAGGCCGGCGACGGTGGCGCCAACGTATTTGGCCAGGATGGGCTGGCCGAGGGCCTCGGCCTTGGAGCGCTTCATCAGGAGCACCGCGGCAGCGCCGTCAGTCAGCTGCGACGAGTTACCGGCGTGGCTCCTGTCGCCGTGGGGCAGGAAGGCGGGCTTGACTTTCTGGAGGGACTCAAAGGTGGTGCCTGCGCGGATGCCCTCATCCTTTGTGAGTGTGACCTCCTTGGTCTCGCCAGTCTTAGGGTCCTTGATGGTGGTCTTGATGGGGACGATCTCGTCGTCGAACCAGCCGGCCTTCTGCGCAGCTTCGGCGCGGCGGTATGACTCGGCGGCGAATCTGTCCTGGCGCTCGCGCGAGATATTAAAGTCCTTGCCAACGTTCTCGGAGGTATGGCCCATAGGCATCATGCAGTCGGCGGCCTCGGGGTTCGCGAGGATCTCGTCGACGAAGGGGCGCTCGAGGCGGTCGCCGCCTTGTGTCATGCTCTCGGCGCCAATGGCGAGACCGCACTCGATGGCGCCGACGGCGATCTGGTTGGCGATGTCCTGAACGGCCTTGAGGCCCGAGGAGCAGAAGCGGTTGAGCGAGGAGCCGGAGGTGGTATTAGGGAACCCGGCGGCGAGCATGGCGGCGCGGACGTAGTAGGCGGCCTTTGCGTCCGAGACATTACCGCAGCAGATGTCATCGACAACGGCGGGGTCGAGCTTCGACTGTGCGATGACCTGCTTCAGCGTCTTGACGAGCAGGCCATCAAGTGTTGTGTCCTTGAAGCCACCCTTGTGGGCTTTTGTGAGGGGAGTGCGGATAGCGAGGGTGATGACTACATCGTCGGGATTCTTGGTCGTGCTGTGCGCATTAGCGATGGGACAAAGCAGAGGGCTCGGCGGTTGTGTACATTGCGGACAGGCCGCTGGTCGAGGGCGAGATCTGCGCAACGATGGACTTGAGGCGTTCTGTCATGATGGCGGTATTGTGTGGAGTGGTGCAGCAAAGAATTGATCAGATTTAAGAAGAAGAGATACCGCTGAGCAGCGAAAAGAGACGTTGAGACGATGATACAGAGGCGGAAAGCGGAGAGCTTTAACGAGGCTGGGGTTGCTGCACGGCGCAAGATGCCTCGGCTCACCGGACACAAATCACGGGGCCCTTCGGCAGTGCCCAGAGCGGCCCCAGACTGCCCAGGCCTCGGACTTTTACATCGGTTCGTCTTGTCGGTACCGAGCGCGAGGCTGGGAAGGTGATACCCTGCAATCATCAGAATGGACCGAAGGCAACGATTACCTAGTTGGGCAAGTCCCAAACTGTCGATTGCGGCGGGGTCACAACCCTACCATCGAGAACGCGGAGTGCTTCATCAGCCGTCAACAGCTTCTCGGGCCGATTTGGCAACTCGACCACAGTTACCTAAGCAACGACACAAGCCTGAACTCGAAGCAAAAGGCAATTACATTTGAGGTGGAATGGTATGACATGCAAAAAAGAGCATTTGCAGCAAATGCACAGCCCTTCACATTCCCGATTCAGCAACACTGCATGTCGATAATGACCTAGCCGTTTTACCAGGGCTGACATGCGCCGTCTTCGCAACACTCGGGGCTTCGCTTCCATCGACAGCGAACGACAGACCAGCACCACCACATCAATACCTCTCGAATCCAGCGCCTCACACTCCACATTACTACCAGAAAGGTTCAGCAGAACACGGCGCTGATCAGTGTTGACAACATTCGTAGCGTTGCCCACACACATCAGCGAGAACGCATAGCTGCCGGCGCTGTCCATCTGGATCTCGATCATGTCGCCACGCCTGACCGAACCGGATTGAATCCATGGATTGATGAGTCCAGCTCCAACGACTCCTTGAGGTGCCTGGCGGTGTGAATGTCGACTATCAGCCAGTCCGTAAAGCCGGATGGTCTCGATGGCCTGCGATGCTATTGCGTCTAACATGAGGGTCTCCTGAACCTTTGTCGGTGTCTCCTCGGACTAATTATTGCATTCCGCCGTCCGGTAACATCAACTTCTAGAGCCTCATCTTCCGCTCTAGTGAGTAACACACAGCGGAATGTGGCACACAATAAACGTTTTTTAATCTGTTATGTGCCAATGCTTCGGTCTACATTGTCAGAACCTTAACTTGAGATCTCCCGTGCTGGACTGCCTTCGAAATCGTGTCCGGAGCCACAGCGCTTGCAACGCCGCAGTAGTCATGCACGACTTCTAACGACTCTCTGCAGCCCAAGGGGAGTATTCTTTGTACACTTTATCTGCTGATGATGCCTAGGAAAGACTGCTTCTCTGTATATAGAATTTCCTATTTCTGACTATAGGCCACGAGCATCTCATCACTCTCTTCGTTGTGCTAAATTGTACAGGACCCTTCAGTCAACCCTACAGTAACTGTTACTGAGCAACGACTCGGGCTGGTCACACAAACCACTACAGTTACCTCTGTACAATCTACGACAATATTGACTACTTCGACCGCCATTTCGACTGCTACGCTGATCATTACCACGCCTTCAGTGTCCACATCATTGGTCACGGTCTACTCAACTTTGGCCATAAATGTTTTGAACCTTCCCACAACGACTGTACATCTTGAGCTTACTGTGGATTCAGTGCATTAGCTGACTCTGCCAGGTGTCGGTCACTTCAACTCGGACTTTTACGACTGCTTCGCTTACACTTACGGCTACCTCGACCAGCATCGTGACAGCAACCTTGGCAACAGCGACAATTTACAGCACCTCTACATCTCTCGTCACGCAGACACCGCTTCCTGCTGTTACCTCGTTAGTCACCAGCACTGAAACTCTTTATTCAATATTTACGCAGCTCGCTTCTACTGGGTAAGTATCCTCTTGCTGGAACGCAGATCTTGGGCTTCTAGGCTTGTGATGTGCCAGTTGCCGATTGTGATAGAGAATTACGCTGACCTGGTCGCAGTAAGTTCAGATTTTACTCCATGAAGAGGATGCGGCAGCACAGCCGCAGACGAGGCACGGACATGATCCGGTCTATATTGCTTTCTTGAAGCCCTCTAAAGGCAGGAGACATTCAGACGCGGCCTTTCGTGGCTCAGAACCAGTCCGTTCTAACCCTAGCTATCCAGTAACACTTCCTGCACAAACTTTGAGCGTGACAGCCACGTCATACATTACCAGCACATCTGTACAGCTCTCTACAAGCACGCAGACTCTCCCGGCAAGCACCTTGTTCTCTACGATCACCCAGGTGCCTCTCCCAGTGTAAGCTTTGCCATGGAATTCTGTCGAGTGCCGCCCTCCTCTTCGGTTCGATAATGACGCGATTCCAGCACGATCACAGCGACCACGATATCCACTAGCACGGTTCAGCTGCCAGCTATTGTACAGCTCTCGACCACCACGTCCATTCCTGTTCCTGTGTAAGCTCAATCACGATTGCAGTCCATTTTTGATACACTCCAGCCTGCATTGGCTCGTATAGAGGGCATTCTATGTACTGACGATGTTACAGCACGATTACAATGACGTCACTTCTCACAAGTACCGTCCAATTACCAGCAATAGTCCAGCTCTCCACTACCACGCAACTTTCGACAACAACTTCCATTCCACTCCCTGTGTAAGTCTATGGCAGCCGCAATGTGTCTGAAGTGCTCCAAATTTTGGTCCTGTCCGCTACCAGGAGCTCCAAGAGAGCGAAGAGTTCGAATCCAAGTGCTGACGTAAATCAAGAACTGTCACCGCAACATCGGTATCAATCAGTACCAGCTTGTCCGTACAGACGCTCCCTCCCGTCATACAAGTTTCTACGATCACCTCCGTGCCCCCGGCGATCACGATTGTGTCAACTCTGCCTATTGTTACCATTATTTCTACATCCATACCTCCTGCTTGGTACGTAATCTTGATGTCTGGAGTGCCTGAGTACCCCTAGAGGCTTTCGATCCATGCTAACAGATGGTCAGTGAGTCCTATTTTCCCTTCTGCTTGACGAGATCGTGCAAGCTCGTGTCGAAGAGGCCTTCGGCAGCATTCACTAGTTTCTCCCACTCCCACTCTTTATGCGAGTGCTTGGCGTTCTCAACCAGCCCAGTTCTATACATCACGTCTTTTCCGCACCGTTCGTGGTACGAACGAGTGTCGAGCGCTTTAGGAGCCCTTGCCCTTCTTCTTACATTCTCGCGGACTACCCGCAAACTTCGTCTGAGCCTTTACTGACATGGCACCTTTCCAAGTGACTTCGACGGTTACTTCTGTGTCAATACTGCCTGAGGTAACTATAGTGTCTACGTTGATCAACGTGGTAACCTCAATTCCTCCTGCCAGGTATGCATTCCTCTCTTTGAGCAAGAGTGCAAGACGTCCTACTAACGTGACCGCAGTGAGTTGAACTCTTTCCGATTGCCTTTCCTGGGATTTTGGTTTCATGAGTGCCCCTTGAGCGAGTCGCTCCAGTATCGGCATCTACTAGAACCCGCCCCCACGCAATCCTTGAACAATCCTGACCCAGATCTTCTAGTCACGTACACGACAACGGCCCTGTCGATACCTCCCGCTATCACAATTGTATCTACATCTATTCCTCCTCCTAGGTAAGATGTCCAAGCCGGCGTTCAGACCTCCGTCAGCCTGCTGTCTTTCATGTAGTCAGACCGTGCTAATGAATCGCAGTAAGCTCAGAATTCCGTATCGAACGCGAAGCACCGGCAGGGCTTCTTAATTAAAGCCCTTTTGGACTCGAATCGTGATCGACCAGGATCTCTGCTAATCAAGGGCCTCGTCTAGTCACCCTCACAACTATATCAATTTCGATACCTCCCGCTGTCACGATCGTTTCTACATCTGTACCGCCCCCAGGGTAAGTCCTATTTAGTTACAATCAGCAAGCAGCCACTAGAACATACTATATGCTGACAACTGAGCAGTGAGTTTGTAATTTCTCTGATTGGAACTCCGAGGAACCCCTTTCGCGACGTTGCATGTCGGAATGCCCCGAAGCTACTGTGCCAGGTCAAAACTTGTAGCCGCCAGCTGGGTCCTCCGATGTAGGATCACAGTGCGCTCGTGTGGGATTTATTGAGCATATTGAAGCTCCGGGCAGGTGGAGAGGGGTGTATAAAGACACCTGGCGCAAGGCTGCTTAGTGCACCCTGTTCGCTCCGTTTGCGAAGTCTGTTCACAGGCAACCCGCCCACATCGCGTCCACCTGTTTCTACTGTCGCTCATCTTTACATGCTTGAGCAATATGCTGATAGTCTAGTTACACTCACAACAACCTCGATCTCGATACCGTCGCCTTCCATTTCAATCCAGACGATTGTGCAGACCCAGCCACCAAGCTTCATCACTACTACAACAAGCCAATTGCAAATCACCACCGCTACGCAAGTAGAGGTTCAGACATCAAGCGCAACGTTGACCCTCAGCATCACCACGACCTCGGTTCCGCCCCCTGTCACGATTTTCTCGACATATACACCACCTGCAATCGTCCAAATATTGAGCTTCACAACTACAGCTATGCCGCCAGTCGAGACAATTATCAGCACTTTGGTTCTACCAGCAGGGTACGTATTGCGCTGTTCTAGTCCGACAAAACTAACTGTAAAGCAGTAAGCGTTCCCTCCGCTGCAGAGGTCTACTTGCAGCTCCTTTGTCGTTCCTCCCTTGCGTTAAGTGACCGCTACAAGTCTGGAAGACGCGAACGAGTTGCAGAACTCCAAATCGATCACGGCTTGGCTTGCACATACTCCATGCAGTCTAGACTCTTGGAGGCATTTGGTGTACCTCATCGACTACATCGGATTGCGTGAACTTCTTCCAGTCTTCTGAGGTCGCGGTACATTGTGACCGGTGTTTGAGAGTTCTTTCGGTACCTACAAGACACGTGTCCGGGTAACCCAGCTCAAAATCTACCCTGTGCCAGAGCCGAAGCGTCACGTCTATCTTCTTGTTTGAGCACCTCGTTCTGCTCGTTCGCCACCATTCAAGCGGTAGAGGACTTCACTGACGTGTGTCCTTGCTGTCTAGTTACGGAAACGAAGGTGACTTCGATCACGAGCATTCAGACCCAGATCGTGGAAACAACTTTGACTTCAACGCTATCTCTCCCACCGGTCACGCTTACGCGTTCAATTACTAGGCATGTTTACGATACTTCTCTTCCTGTCTACGGCGACATCTGAGCGGTCTGATCGATTTGGGGGTTTGAAGAGACTGAACGCACTCAGACTGACTGTCGCGTAGTACCGAGACTCAGATCAGCATACAAACTGCAACCCTAGATCGGTAAGTAACCGCGTTAGCGTCACACCCTGTCACTCACATTTCTTGGTGCATATATCCCCTTTGTTGTTGAGCAGTTGACGAGAGCACATCCTAGAGACGACCTGGCGAACTGTTTAACCAGCCTTGAGGCCCTCGCGGCACTGAATCGTCCATACCGTGCACTATTTGACTACGAAGCAATCAGCTATAGGATAGAGAGCAGACTCGGATGCGCCGCGGCACTAGCGTTTTTTCGCGATTGAGTCCACATTCCAGCATCAGCACGTCAACATCGTTCCTTTGGTTTGTTTGTTTATTTGTTTGTTTATAGTATGTAAGGTCGACAATATCTTCCCTTGCGTCGTCGAGACAAGCATAACACCAACGTCGACCACTCCAGGACAGGATGTGCCATGAAATCGTTCCCTCTGCCGGACGGCTTTCTGAATTACCTCCGGAGCTGGGAAGGCTTTTACTCACGAACACGAACGCCCATCAGTCAATGGTCTCCTGGATCTGGGACTGGCACCATGGACTCTAATTCTGGACTGCTCATCAACTTCTTGGAACCCGGACCCTGGACGTGTCGTGCTTTGCAATGCTTCTTCTTCTTCTTGTTCTTCTTCTTCATCTCGCTCGCTTTCAGCACCATGTCCTCTGCTCGGGGAATGCTGATCGGCTGCTGACGATCGCATAGGACGTTGACGGAATTGGCAACACTTACCGAGACCTCCGTGCCGGTCCCAGTCACAATTTCTTTGGTCAATACGATCTTCACTACAGAAACGCTGCCCGCCGAGACCGTGACGTTCAATGGGTGAGTCCAATCAATTCCGATTTCTTAGAGAGGTTGTTCCTAACTTGGACAGAACAATCTATGTCACTCCACCTGCCGTCACGATCACCGAGGACCGGACACTTCCAGTAGTGACACAGACCTTGGATCCGCTCACTATCACACGCGAGAATACTTTGCTGGTGACAGAAACATTACCGGTATCGACCGTGACATTCAACGGGTGAGTGAAGTCCTTCAGCCGCTGATATTTGGTCACCCTGGTTGTTCCCATCCTCAAGCATCAAGAAAGACTCAACTGCCTTCCGGGAGATGTCTCCAGTGTCCAGGCAGTGTTTGCCATACATTGGCGGGCTTGCCCAAACTGTTCAGATGACGCAAGAGCTACATTCAGAAGACTAGTCATCGTCAGATCACGTTCGCGACTCTTTCTGCACCCTATAAAGCTTGAGATGACCTCTAAGCACTGAAGTGGCGGATCAACAAGTTGTCCAGAAGCTAACATATGTGATAGAACGATCTATATCACCCCGGATCCCGTTACATTGACAATTGACAACACGATCCGGGAGATTCAAACACTCCCTGCGTCGACGATCACCGAGATTCAGGACACCACGGTCCTGATTACGCAAACTCTACCGGCATCCACAGTGACCTTCAATGGGTAAGTGAATTCTAATTTGCTGTTAGATCTTTGCTGGCGAAAATATCTGTCAGCAAGAAGCATTTCAATAGAACCTTCTGTGCCGGGTGATGGAGTCCATGATTCATCTGGCACGCTTCGACCGCTCCAAGGCCGTTGTGTAGGATGAAGTCAGTTCTCAACTCTTGCTTCATGCACTGAGACTTACACCACGTGTCGCAAGCGGCGCAGATTTGCCAAGCTGTCTTGATATATTTGCAATGCTGATTGTATGGCGCGCTGACTTGTCTTGACAGGACCGTATATGTGACCCCGCCTCCGGTCACGATTGTGGAGAACAGCATTATCAGCACAACGGAGACCCTGGCCCCATCTACAGTCACTTTAGACCCCTCTACAGTACTCATCACTCCTTCGCCAGTGACGATCACTTTAGATCCGACGACTGTGGTGCAGGACAACACGCTGTTCACTACTCTGTAAGCACACAGCATGTCGATTTGGACTCAAACTGACAAGTTTCTAGGACCGTGACGCAAGTCACTATCGAGACATCTGTACAAGATAGGTCAGTACCATTTACCCCACTTGCGGTTTCAAGTCAGCTTTCCTTTCGTTCCTTCTCCGCATTGCACGACGCAAGGTTTTGTATAAGCCACTTCCAAGCGGAGACGGATACCGGCCTTTCCTGCAGAGTAGGCCATTACAGAGACCACACCCTTTCGGATGCACAAGAAATTTTCGGACACCTCCAGAGGACCGTACGACGCATATTGGACTTGTTCGAAACCTCCTCTGGTCTGGAACGCAGCGACCTACCGGGAGGATGTTATTTCCAAGGAACACACCTACGACTTGACAGGCCTCTGCTTCAATGCAAGGCTCACTGCATCCAGAAGTCATACCATGCGCATAGTTCAGGTACCCAGTCCGCTCATTCGAGATACTGACGCTCTGTTACAGATTCTCCACTACAACTCTGACCGAGTTCGCCTACCTCGAGACACTTCTGTCAACCGTGTATCAAGGAACACTAGTCGAGACATCGTACATTACCGGCCCCACGGTGACGAGGAATACCCCAGACACAATTGAGATCACATTACCACCTGCGACAGTGTAAGTTCGTAACGCTGATACTCCTCCATCTCAAGAAGACGTCATTGGATGTCGTTTATGATGACTGATCCTTTTCCAGGACCCTACAAGTTCCCACGACTGTATCGGAGGTTTCCACTATCCAACAATACCTTACGGTCGTTGAGAGTATTCCAACTACGAATTTCGCCACTCAGACTCGAGTCGAAACCGCGGTCATCTTCAGCACAAGTACGCAATTTGTCAGCTTCACTACCACATCGTCGATCTATGTAAATGCTGGATCGACTGTAACAAGCACGACACTTATGATCCGCCCAACCACTCTTACGCTATTTCAGCCGGCCGCTTTCAACGTGACAAGTGAGTTTCCTCAATCCTTGCGGCAACCTATCCGCGGCTCTTCAGTGTGGCAGAAGCAACACCTTTAGAAGTCCAGTCACATCATATCTTCGATCTCTGCGACTGACCCAAATGATGTTCATGTCGTTGCTTAAAAGAAGCATTTCGCACCAGGAAGCCTTCAAGACGGGATGCTTGGGTTAATGGAAAGCTAACGAGGTGCCAGATTATATCTATGAGACTTCGACAGATTACAGTACTGTTACAGAGACTAGCGTTTTCCGCGAGACTACAACAAGTTCTGCAACGACAACAATTGCGCATACAATTTATGTACCGCTTCCGGCTCCGACTACCCAGTCGACTGCTGCACCACTTCCAAGCCTCAGCGCGGAACCTAGCATCACGCTGCCGCCTACACCGCCGGCTACTGTGACGGTTTACAGCAACATTTTCAGCACAATTTTGGAGTTGAACACGATTCTGCAGCCAACAACGATTGTGAACTACAATACGATATATGTGCCGTCGCCCATTACGGTCGTCTTAGTCAGCACCATTTACGTTCCTCAGCCGGCCATCCCTTTCCAGCCACCAAATACTCAGTTGAGCACGGTATGCTTGCCGATTGTGACCACTACCACGCTTTTGTTGCCGCAAGTCACAATCACCAGCTTCAAGCGAAGCACCGAGTACGTCGTGCGTACTGATACAGACTATGTCCACGAGACTACGACACAGTTCGTTACCCGTGAGTCCTACTCTTCAAAGCTAGCTCCTGAGAAACGCGAGCATGCCTTCGGCTACTAGCTCTGCATATAGTTTCAGAGTCGGTTCAACTAACCTTCAGCTACAGAATCGGTACTATTCACAACAACCTACTCTCTACGCGCCTCCTACATCACATCGACGCAGAGCCAGACGATCACATCTTCCTTGCCAGCCCCCACGCTCACAAGTACATTAGTGCTACCGCCCCTAATATCTACATTTGTACAGACAATTTCTGATACATCATCGCTGCCAGGCACAATGATATACAGCACACTCATCCCTCCGCCATCGATTCTTACGGCCTACCAAACTATCACTTTGCCGGCATCAACTGTTACGAGTACATCTGTGCTTCCCGTTAGTACACAGTTCATCACGCGGACCCTCAGTCTCGTAGAAACCGCCACCGTCCCTGCTGCCTGGGACGCCACTGCAGTACCTACAGTCCCCTGGGCCAATGCCGACGCACAGACTGAAGCTGTACAGATTCGAACTATCACGACGACATTACTCCTTCCTGGCGCGCTAGTGACCACTACGGCGTTCTTACCCGGTATTACTCTCGAGCAGACTGTTTCGCTTACCCTTTTCCGGACCATAACTGCTGTCCTGACAGAGCGAGAAACGATCAACTTTTACGTCACGCGCACTTTGCCACAACAGACAAGTATCAGCACAGTCTTTGTGACTACTACGTTCCCCCAGGCGACTGTATCTTTCACGTCGACCGCATACATTGGCCCTACAGTCACTGAGGTATGTACGTACTCCTTTGGTTCCCTGCTCAGCCACCAATTTTCTAGCCATTGCATGCTCTGCTCTCGTGTGGTATACAAAGATCCTCCACAAACTTTGAAATGCTACTCCAGATTCGTTTGTCTTATTCATGATCTTCATCTCTGCACACAATTTCCCTGTCTTTCTGCCACGCACCGCTAACACCGTCTCAGGCACCACAGATTCGCACCATTACAGCTATACAGACGTCTTTGCAGGTATCGCAGACTACTGCTACTGTCCATGACACGACTACAATTTACTCTGCTTCCCTTGTCTGGTTCACGACCACCCAGGAAGTCACATGCACTATTGTTGCCCCTCAGGTGTCGACATCAACCATCTTACGATCTTTTACCGATTATCAGACAGTGGAGGCTCTCACCACACGGACAATCTTCGCGACACAGATTTCCGTGATAACCAGCACATTGGCGGCCACCACTTCGATCGTGCTGCAGCCGATTACGGTCTATTCGACGAATCTTGTCCCTACCACCTTCACCCTTACTAGTACCGTGTACAGCGTCCTTGAGCGAGGCATCACCACAACCATTTTTACCGGGCAGACAATTACACGTACCGTGACGGCAAATCTGTTGAATCTCCCCATCCGAGCTGTGTCTACGCAAGCGCCACTCACAAAAGTAGACAGCCAGCAGACTGAAGAAGTACTCACTCGGTCTACACGTGTCGGAAGATACTGGGCACCTTTCGTTCGCCGGTAGTTCCGCAAGCAGACGAGATCTTTAGAAACTGTACATATTGCGACAACACTACATCAACGTAGCGAGATGCGACGATGTACGCCTCTTGTATCTGCTAGGTCCTTGTGACGTCTTGGGGCTAAGTCGCGAGCCTAGAATTGAACAATAATTGCCTGGGCGCTTTCCTTTGCAATGATTTCTGTCCGCATACCTGTAGTTGCTAAAAGCCGTGTCAACTCACAATCCTCGTGCAAATTATGGGAAGTAGGTCGATAGTAGGTAGGTCCTATATGCTGGAAGACTCGACTTTACCTAGTCGCCAATTTTTCTCGCAGCCAGCGCTACGGGAGGACCAAATGCACCTTAGCGTCGTCTTTTCTTCAGCCTGGTTTTGCACCCTTATGAACAAGGTCTCTTAGTCGTCGCCATAGGCCCGAGAACCCCGAGCGGCTGGATCAACAAAAGTGTCACTTTTCGCCCCTCAAGGCAGCGATCTCAAAGCGAACAAGTCTTGGCTCGAACCGCCGCTGAGGCCTTCTCGCAGAATTCCGCAACCTACAGAGTTCGTCTCCTGACGGAAGAATGTTATGGGGATGATGAAGACGGCTCGGTCCGCGGCACGGCACGCTGGAAGGCGCTGAAGTCAGCCCACCACCGCACAAGCGGCTTTTTCAGGCTGCAGATTAGTATTTACCACAAAGCCGTAGTTGCGTCACGCAGCCCTAATATGCTCACACAGAGCTTCAGGTAAGGTGCAGGTACTAGACCTGAACGGAGACTTTGCTCGGATGTCGGCTCGGTCTTACTGCGTGGTGGCTAGTGCCGGAAGTGTCACACCCTTGTTCTTGAAGACCTGAGCCGCTTTTTATCGAGTGGCAGCATGTCTGGCCGCCGATAGTCTGTCCGCGTCTTATTTTGATGACCCGAGACGTCGCGAAGCAGCCGGCCTGGCATTCGCTTTTACCTACTTGGTGTAATTATGGAAGACCTGGAAAAACTCGAACTAAAATCATCGATCGGCAATCTGCCACTAGCCATCGGAAAAGTCGTACGGCACGGGCAAAGCCAGCCGGATACGGTATTGATACTCCACACAGCCGTTCTAGACCCAGAATCTGCTTACCTTTATATGTGCACACTCACCATTGTTACTGGATATCATCTTTCATCAACATTTTGCACTTAGTGTCGGATGAGATACCTGACGCCATCATGGTACAATACGCGAACTTCCTCTTTCCTCTCTACGTTTATCCTATCAACAATTCTTGGGAACCGTTGACCTCGGCAGCGGCGCAGTATCCCGACGTCACATTCACGGCGGTCATCAACCCTTCGACTGGGCCCGACTCAGATGCGAACGGGTGCCCGAATAAGGACTATGTCGAGGCTATCGCGTCATTGAACGAAATACCCAACATCCAGACAATGGGTTACGTACACACTGCAAACAGGTGGGACTGCGGTATGTCCGACACAGATATCTGTTTCTGCACTGCACCAGCAGCGGATGTCAAGGCGAACATCACAACGTACGCCAACTGGGCTACCAAGGGGTGCGCCGGATGGAGCACGATCAATCCAGATATTCACATCGACAGCATCTTCATCGATGAAGCACCAGGCGAGGATGGAGGCAATTGCCTCAGCTACATGACTGATCTGACGGCCCACGCCAAGACGGCATTGACGACCGCCACGGGTGGCGAGGTCTTGTTCAATGCGGGCGCAGCCACCGAACTATCCTACTTCGATGTTGCGGACGCCGTTATCCTGTTCGAGGCCGACCAGACCGCTTACGAGAATATTCCGGACATTGGCATCAGGAACGGTAACGGGAAGTATGCATCAAAGTCTTCGATCATTATCCATGGGGCCAGCAACGCTACCAACATCATTCAGAGGGACACCAGTACCATTTTGGGACTTGACAGGGATGCGTTTCACAGCCTGTTCTATACAGACCGTTCAACCGACCAGTATGCATACTTCCCTTATAACTGGGCTGAGATCATCAAGGAGGTCAATGTGGTTGCGCAAGCTAACAAAGCTATCCTGGGAGCATAACCTGTACCAAACACGACGCAGTGCGATGTAAACGTATATACGTACACAACGCGAGATTTCAATGCGACACAACGAGCACTTCAAAGTGCTTCTCCCTGTCGACTAGATGCTATCGGTCAGATACGCTTCTTTTGAAGCTTCTTGCGGCCGTCAGGTGCCTCGTCCCTCTCGCTCAGCAACGTTCCATGACCGACCCCTGCCGCAACGGTCAGTCGCTCAACCTTGGTCATCAGCCTCTGTTTGTGCGCCAAGCCTGATCTCCAATGCAATGGTGAGTTTGCATATCCGAGATATGCACCAAGAAGCGCACCAGTAGCCGCTCCGTTGGTGTCAGCGTCGTCACCCTCCATGATGAGTTGAACGATGGAATTTTCGAAAAGTTCGGCCTCTTCTATCATACCTACAGCTATAGATATCCTTAAGATACGTCTTATTACGAGTCGAAGTGCTAGTATGACTGATCCGAGGCACTTGTATACGTAGCCCATCTTCATCTGATCGTCCAGCTGCAATGTTTCTAGTGTTTGTGCATACACGTGCATCGCGAACTCTTGACGGTCCAAGTGCTTTCTGATCTGGCTCTCAGTCAAACCAGCAGACGGATCCGGGTTCATGATGTCGTACTGCTTTCGCACCCACTTATATGCGCGCTCAACCGCCGCGTCCATATCTTGCTCGGTCTGGGTCTGGCCGCACAACAACTGACGTATCAAACCAACAGAGATGCAGCATGCCACAACACATCTAGGATCCACATGCATCGTCCGCCCTACGTCGACGCTGAGACGCCATGTCTGCTCTTCAGTCAAATTGACCCCAATGACACCGACAGGATGCGTGCGCATGAGGCTTCCATTCGGCGCTGCTACGCGACCCCCCTTGATCCATCGGCCGGTAGCGCACTTAAAAGGGTCCTGCAGGAATTGTTTGCTTCCTGAAACAGCTCCAACATTGACGCCAATGTCGAAGGCAGGGCGATCAAGCGCAGGAAGGCCTCTGTCTACCCAGATCTTCAATCGCTCCGCGAAGTCCTGCGCCAGATCGGATTCGGCGTTCTTCGTGCGATTGTGCAAGAATACAAGTAGGATTAGAAGAGCCTGGTCGGTATCGTCCGTTCATCCGCAGGGCTCGAATTGCAGGCGGTGGGCATCTGGGTACGGCTCCGTCCGTGGTTCCAAGAGGGTGAACTCTCGGGTAGGATATGCTATTTCACATCTGGACTCGGACAAGAACTCGGTGTAGAGACCGATCGTATCCCCTAGGGCTGAGCCAATTATGCAGCCGAAAATCTTTTCGGCTGTTGTGGCAGCCTTGAAGGGATGTTCGGGGCCGAATGAATGCGACATCTCTAGGTGCTGAAAATGATGATGGAATATGGGAAATGGGGTATTAAGGGATGGATTATACTGGATTGATCTTGCTTAAGCTGAGGACTAGGCAGACACATCAGATCGGTACTGGACGCATGATGCGTTGTAAGCGCTTTAGATTGGTGTGGCTGTGCAGCGTGTCCAACAGACCGTAACGGTAACGACGGTTGCCAATCGTGACGATTACGGACGGACTCTTCTTAGTGCTATTACGTAGCAACAGTTTAAAGTAAAGTAATTTTACTGCAGTTACAGTACTATTATAACTGCGTGAGCAGTGTCAGTCGGAGACTGTGATCAATGATTGTATTGCTATCTGTTGTCGTGTTGTGTGTTGTTCTGTTACAGAAGCTCTCAGCTCTCCGGTAAGCGCACTTACCCACCAGCAGTACCTGCTACAATAGGATATCATGCGATCTAAGCCACGTGGTTACAACTATAGATAGTGAATTCCCTGACAAAGTAAGATCCAGCCAAGCCTCTATCTAATTGGACTGGAGAGGGGATGAAGGTAAGTCCTCGGTGAAGCTCGGTCAAGTCTATCCCTGAGTCCTGACCTACCCAGCTCCCTGTCGCAAGTTTCTCTACATATTCTAGTTACATTCCTTTACCTGTCTACTGTCAGTAGTACTATTGCTCCTCTAATTACGCGGTAGCACAGTAAAGTTCAACCGTACCAATTACGTGACTTTACTACAGACTGAAGTACCGTCTGCTGTACGGTTCGTTAGACGCGCTGTGGCTGTGCCAGATATGCATCTGCAGGTTGCCACATCTCTCCTCTCCATTATACCCAATCTCAAACTACATATAGACCGTAGGAATATCCAAACACAAAGGCGACGATTCAGTCGTTGTGCAGACGACGACCGGAAGGGGCGGGCGGACGCACCTTTTCTACGCTTCATCGAGCGTACCTCTTCCTCCTTTCCCGGAACATGTACGACGTCTTGCGCGATGATTCAGGAGCTTACGTGTCTTCAATTCGTGTATGGATTTTTCCATCAGCGCAGACCTGTAAGCACGCTCACTCCATGCCCGAAAGGTGGCCGCCGAGCCTCGCACTTTTATAAGCTCTAGACGCACCGCCGACTTCGTAACTTCTAATAAAATCACCATAATCCGTTTACATAAGACATTTGCTCTTATTAATAGGGATCTAGAGTGCAAAAAGGCTGCGGTTGCGTATTTGCGTGCTCATCCCGTCTCTAGTCATGTGCCTAGCATTAACAATGTCACGGGCAGAAGAGGCCTACTTAACAGGCCTACTTTGAGGTACTAATGTATGGAAATTTTGCCTCCTTTTTGGCTGTTACAAACAACGTTGACAAATAGACAGCACAATTGAATTGAATACGGCAAGGACCGAACCCAAAATCTACCACCGTAAACGCTTAGCAATCCCGAAGCAATAGATCCGGCGCAGCAGGATCCGTCCCATGGTTGCCGTAGCTGGGCGTCTTACCATTAGACCACGTGCCCTTTCTGTTTGATGAAGTGATTAAGTAGGAAACGCCTTGATCTCGATTGACTACCAGCAGTCTCATAGCAGACTTCTATCGTAAATGCATGAGTGGTCAAAACGTGGCAAAGAGACAACAATCATCGAGTGATGCAAAAAGCAAATAGGTATGGCATCCGTGGCCTTCACCACAACAATTTGCAAACGACCTCAGCTGGAGCAAAAGGATTACCTGGCACTACTCAAAATCATATCTTCCAACGGATATAATTCGTTTGAAATGTGATTTATTAAAATGTTTTCAATCTGTTTTTAACCTGGAAATAGCTATTTTATAAACTAGGGTCAATTTCCCGTTATGTTCGATTCATAGACGCTTTTATATTTACTATTTTCTCCAGACTTCCAGCTTCAAATAAGTTAACTATAGACTATTTCTAAATTAAACGCTTATGCTGAGCATTCTCCGCAGGTGGAACAAGCTCAGACGTTTTACCAATCAGACTACGAGACCTGTAGGTGATTGATGGAAGGTATCTGATATGCAAAAGATGTGTAAAGAAGATTGCTCACTGAGTCTGAGGCAGTAAGGTGACGGCGGTTGAAGGCAAAGCTGCGCAGCGGTCGAGCAGTGTTGTCGCGGCCTGGGGGAAAGGGCAGACAGCAAAGCATCTGAGACCGTATTGTGTGTGTGGAAGATGAGCTGACTTGAGGCCGATACTCTATCAGCGAAGTAACTAGTTCGAAGCTCTTGAACGGCGCCTTGTTGCTTCGCGGCAATGTGTGATACGGTACCAGTACGTGTTCGAAGTTTAGATTTTGAGCAACGCCCTACCGGTCGAATGTTGTAGTAGCATGCTATAATACCCTCAAGATGCATCCGCCTACAATAAAACAGTCAAGTGAGGATTTGTGACCCAAATCAGGCAAGTGGCGTCATGTGAAAGACATTGAACTCGCTTCATACTTGGCATGTACGCGGGCTCGAGAATGCAAAATATCTTGAGCTCTATATAGAAGCGCTCACGGAGTGCCAGCAGAGCTTAGCTCGGCAAGAATAATCTCTGCAGCCTTTTCACCAATCACCATTGCGGTGTTGTTGGTATTTGCTCCCACGTTCTCCGGGGGGACACTCAAATCCGCAATCTTGAGGCCAGTCACACCATGGACATTCAGCCTGGCATCAACAACACCATCCTGCTCCCTTGGTGCCATCTTGCATGTGCCCAATGAGTGCCACGTGGTGTTGACATTTTCACGCAGCCACTGCTCAATAGCGGCATCGTCTTCTTGCGAGTAGACGAGGTTCTGCACATTCGACAATGGCTCCTCGATCTCAGCGCAAGCAACCTTCGAACCCTCGGGGAACTTGGGATGACCAGCAGCCAATTCACCACGGTAGAACTTCGCGCGTCGCAGAATCTCACGCTGCATCTTGTACGCCCAGAGCTGCTTCTTCATATCGATGTCGTCCTTGTCATTAAAGTAGCCAACATCGAAGTCCAGAGGGTCCTCGATACCTTTGCCAGTAATATGCATGTGCCCGCGCGAGTACGGGTAGGCTGTGTAAGTACCGGTCGTGACGTACCGACCCTCGGGCACGGAGGATGGGTCACCAAGGAAGCTGTGACATGTCAATCAATTAGACTTGGGAATTTCGATTGAGGGTACTCACCACGACACAAGACCACACAGCATCAATGGCCGATTTGGTGCATTCTTGAAGTCGCGATCCCACGCCGTTCTGAACTCTGGGCCAAGGGCATCGACTTCCTCCTCGGTTGGGCGAAGCTTCGATGAGATGTCGATAGCGTTCCATCCGAGCATCTTGTCATTATTTTTCACCATCTCGGTCGCGTCCATACGCCCGCTCAAGATCCCATCGAGGGTCTGATCTGGGTCAAGGTTTGTTCTGTAGGGGTAGAGTAGGAGGTGGTGATCTTGGTAGTCCTTGCCGACACCAGGCAGTTCCTCGACGACTGGGACGCCAGCTCTCTCGAGGATCAACTTATCACCAAGACCCGAGCGTTCGAGGACTGGTGGTGTACCACACGCACCACAAGTCACGACGACAAGCTTGCGAGCTTTTACCGTCTGTACTGGGTGAGCAGTGAGCCCGATAACTGCCTGGAACTCTGGGTTCGGTGTGTATTCAACCCCAATGGCCTTCTTGTCATCGTCGAAGAGCACGCGTACTACTTTGGATTCAACAAGGATGTGCAGGTTTTTGTGCTGATTGTCCTCCAGCTTGGGATGGATGTACCTGTGGGCTGTGTCCTGACGCCTTCCCTCGGGAGAAACATATCGTTGCCACCTTTGGATGCCGTTGTTGGTGTCAAGGTTTTGTAGATCTTCGATCTCGGGATATCCCACCTCTCCAGCAGCTCTAATGAACTCATCCTCGGCCGTCTTTCCTCGGTAGCCACCATCTGAGACGTTAATAGGGCCGTTGTAGCCGTGGTGTGCCTTTTCGCCAGGCCCATGGTATGTCTCCAGCTTCTTCATTTGCTCGAGCATCTCATCAGCTGACCAGCCCTCTGCCTTCCATGAGTCAAAGTCTTCGCGCTGCGCTCTTGTGTACATCATGAAGTTAATGGACGAGCCGCCACCGAGAGTACCACCACATGGTACGATTGGCTCGCGGTCTGCAAGCTGCTTCGACTTATTTCCCTTGTAGAATAGTGCAGTCTTCTGTGTCGGCAGAAGGTTCTGCAGGTAGAAGGCTGGGTACACAACGCTGGCAACATCTTTGTTATTGGCACCACCTTCGATCACCAGGACAGAGAGGTCAGGGTGTGCCTCCGCCAGTCGACCGGCTATGATGCAGCCTGCTGTGCCACCTAAGATACTCAATTGGTGTCTGATGTTAATGAGGCATGTAGGGGTCACGTTACGTACCACCAGCGATGATAATATCTACCTCATCGATACCATCGGCTAACTTGTTCTGGAGACCCATCTTGATATTGTATTTCTCTTATTGTACGATTCGAAAGAACAGGTGCGCTCGGGTTTATGCACAACAGCTGGCAGCGTGACATCTTAAGTATGCGTGCCGCCTCATCTGTAGTTAGTCTCCACATAGCTTGGGGGCCTTCAAACTAGGTAACAGGAAATGTGCAGGTGGCAAACCAAGCCCGCGGTTCATCGACCGCGTCAAACCAGTCGAATCGGTCAAAAAGGCCAACTAACACAACACCGAATTAACGGGCTCGCTTCAGAATGGTGATACTAGCTCGACGCGTGGTGGTCTACCAATGGCAAGTTCGCCGAGCTTCACCACCTGGGCAGACTTAAAATCACCCCGCATTGCGGCTATCGGGGTGCTCAACTCTAGCTGGTTGTAGTCTGGTGTCTGGGGCCCGCTACGGTCTCTTGCCGTGAGGACGTGCACATGGCCGATTTAGTGGCTTGTAGCGCCCATCTTAGTCGGTATGATGAAAGCGCCCCCTTCATTCTGTGGTTGCAACAATTCTGGCACACCTCTCAGGACTCGAGTCGACACTTCCTCTTAACCGACATACCAAACGAGGCATCTTTTCCTCGGCGATAGGGAACTGCAAGGGTCTGAAGATCTCAATCAAGTTCAGGCGCCTCGATTGCCCTGCATGCGGGCGTTCTTCGGCACTACACTTGCACTGCTACCCTGCCCCTCAGGTTCCAGGCTTGCGGGGTCTCGCACGTCGCCTCTCTGGCGAGAAGAGTCTAACACGACTGCTGCACGCCTTCAAACGTAATCAGGTACTTGCACTGTATTGTTAAAAGATTCTAAGCTAGCTTATCACGCATGAGCAGTTGTTACGCACTTCACGTCTGATGAGCCATTCGAAGTGGACCTTGTGAATCTACCTACTGGCACCTCAGAACGTCGAGATATTTGTCCATTTTGGATTGCCCAACGGCTGTATCGTTTCTGACTAACACTCATTCACGTCTTGAGTGGATATCAGCACCAGGAATCATCCTCGACCTCAATTCCTGCAACAGCCGCTACAGATCAATAGTCAAGGTTGAGCCTTGCTCATGATCCGTGAAGTGCGGTCCCTAGTGCCCACATATACACCCACAAAGTCTAATTCTCTATAGGCACGAAAGTTTCCGTTTGAAAGGGTTCAGTGCCTCTTCGCTTTATAAATTACGTATATCACTCACTCCTATCCCTGTATGCTCATCAACTAGCGGCCGTATCAAAACTTGCCCGGTTTCGTCATACACCCTCCGTCGCTCGGCATACCCCGCTCACGCGCAATCCAGTAACCCTCGTACGAACAAACTGATCAGTACATCTTCCTAAGCGCTGCTAGCGAAGAGCAACGTCGAACACTTCTTGCACCTTGCTTTGGGTCCCGGGTGTATTCAATCAGGGGCGGTATAAGGGGATGGTAAGGCCTCGACAAGTGCCAGAAAACAGAGGCATGATGACAAGATATGCGCTATTTGATATTCCAGAGGACCGACTGTCGACCCTAGTCACCATCGAATGGGAGTACCCAACCGCTTGGCATTGGGGGAACCTTGGGCCTCCGTCGTCCGAACATGCGACTGTCTTCTTCAAATATCCTAGATTTGAATTACTCAACAGTCTGGTGATTCCTTCATAGATCTCATCGCTAGCTACCGATTTATTGCGAACGTATAACGTATTCCACCACCGAGCCGGCCAACCCACCGAACCAACCACTTTTCCTTGGCACGATGAACTCAACAATTTCAAATCTCAATATTATTGCTATTAAATAGTGAACCTTCCTATGTTATGCTTGCATCAGATTTAGAAGATGTTTCTGTATCCTTTTTGCATGTTCGCGCGTTGTGCCTAGTCCTGCTACCGTGTCCACCGGGTTAATGCACGCACCGGGCCAATGCACGAATTCGGCACATCTCAACACTACAAAAATTATGCTATAGAGCCACCCACAATAATAATTGATAAGTATGTTTTTGGTAGAGGCATCTGTAGACCTATGCGATAATGTTTCTAGTTTTAAATTAATAATTTTGTGCAGCAACGCGGCCGCTGCGGGTGGTGTGAGTGCGAGGTGCAGGTGCAGGCACCTCTACTATAACACCACTCCGCGCGCACGCAGCATGCCTCTAAGGCTTCTGAGGCTTCTTCTGAGGCTTATTTGATACTTCGCGCTTACCTAGCTGAGGCAATTGTATAGTTTTGCTGCGTTGCGCTCTTGTTTCTTGCGCTCTTGTTTCTTGCGCTCTTGTTTCTTGCGCTCTTTTTCTGCCTCTTTTTCTGCCTCGGCCTTCTTCTGCCTTAGGTAAACCACGTGCCAATTATTTCTAGATCCTCCTGCAGTATTCTCTAACAATCTTTTGCTTAATTAAACGCCATCTTGAGCTTAGCTGAACGCGTCACGAACCTCTCAGCCTACGGTAGTGTTTGCGAACAGGCTCACCACCACGTACACTAAGCACTTCATCAGCCATATCTGCCACCTCGCACAGCTGGGGCGCGAATCCTCACATGTCAAGGTAAAGTATTTATTAGACAATTGTTCGCTCTTTAGTTGCTGTAAGCTTCTAGCAGTTTAGTCGTGTTTGAGCTTAAGAGGTGATTCCGTGGAGTCGATCAGAGAGCCTCTGGTGTTTAACGTTAAAAGCTGCAGCAGCGCGTCGCAGGCTCTTAAATTGACCAAGTGTATAGGCGTGAAGGACAAGATCAACTCTACCTTCTTCTTGAAAGACCATCGCGTGGTGTTGTTAAGATATTACGTGATAAGGAGAAAGTTGGTCGTGCCAAGGAAAAATAGCCGGCTCAGTGGGTTGGCCGGCTCGGTGGGTTGGCCGGCTCGGTGGTGGAATATGTTACTCATGATGTACTAATAAGACTCAGTAATGTTCAATTTAATCGTGAGAAAGGCCATCGCCGACAGCGGAATTTGTGTATGTGCTGAAACTGGATTATTTCGGACAGGCTAAACGTAACGTGCGACCTACAGTCCTCTGAACAAGTCATCAATCGTGATCGGTTTCCTCACCGCGTTGCTGAACCCTTCGTGAAAGCTGACCCAAATGCGGTCCTCGTCACCCTCCGGCTTCGTCTTCTTCCTGATCTCACCCTCAACGAGCGGCTTCTCCTTAATGACTCTGCCGAAGAAGTCGCGCTTGATCGCCTTCTTGTTAGCTTCAGCCAGCTTCTTCGCACTATCTTCTTCCGTCGCTTCCTGCACCACGACTTCCTCATGCTCTCGCCCGCCTCGCCGCTTGCGGTTCTCCATGTCGATGCGCGCAGACTCTTTCTTCCACTCCATTTCCAAGACGCTGCGGACTGCGTAGCGGACTTTGTCTTCTTTCTTGTCAGCAAGGGTTTCGAAAGAAGCCAGTATATCGAGAGCGGGCTCCATGCGGAACACAAAGCCGCCGGTGCGGTTCACGGAGTCTTCTATCTCGACTCTGCTGCGCTCGAAGCGCACGCCTGTTGCTGCCATAGCTTCGACCGCCTTCTTGACGAGCGCCTTCTCAGACGACTTGCGCACGGCAGCTGTAGCGCTAGACCTTGAGCCGGCTGGACCAGTGTTGACGATCACAGGCTTTACGTCTGGCGACAGCATGCGAAGTGTGTAGGGTATGAGTTCTGTGACCATCTCCTCTGGACTTCTGAACAGCCTCGTCAGAGGCACGCTCAGCGACGATTGCAGGCCCATTAGCTGTGCTCGACTGGCTTTTTGTGTCTCGGCTGCTGCAAAGCTTGCGCCTGGACCTGAGTAAAGCAGTGTTTGTGCGTCTGGATCTGCCGAGACCATCGAGCCTTCGCGGTGAGGGGAGGCGAAGAGGTGGTGGAAGGCAAGAATTGACTGTGACAAGTACGGGAACAGTTCCCATTCTTGCGAGCGGTGGACGGCAGAGGAGAGGATATCGTGGAAGTGGAGCCATTCGTAGGCGGCAGTCGGTTTGCTGAGCAGCGTGTCATCCTGGAAAGGCTTCTCAGGATAAGCCGTAAAGCAATCTAGACATTGTCAGGATCCGTCTGTCAGAGTAGATGAAGTATAAGCTTACCTGACACAATGCGGTCGCAGTCACCATTGGTATCAACCATCTCCCTAAGACGGTCCATTGCTCGCCGCTTCGCTCCTTCTGCGACACCAACGACTCCCGTCTTTGCTCGAGCGGCCGCAGTCCGCGTATCTGTGCCCTCAGCTTGCTTGGGAAATCCAGCTCCCTCTCTAAACACTCGATCCACAACATCCTTTGCTCCGCCTCGTCCCAAACTACGAGCTGCTCCACCACCGTGCTTCAGGTCGTTGGTAATGTTGTCCTCAATCCACTTCTTTGTCAAGTGCGGCCTCTCCTTCGACCTGAAATCGTGTGAGGACTTCAGCCGCCCAGCGACCCACTCAGCCATGACCATGACTCCACGGATGTCACCTTCGCCGGTGCCACTGCCTGTGCCACCCTCCTTCTTGGTGCTGACGCCCCATGTCGCTTCGCAGAGGCGACGCACGCCATCGGAGTCGCACTGAAAGCCCTCCTTAGTAAAGACGTCCTGCATGCGAGTAACGACCATGTTCATCGCAGGCTGACGGATGCGCACAATCTCGGAGAAGGACGATTGTCGCAACGGCTTCAGTGAAGGGTGGTATAGATCATTGCAGATTAGGATGAGCGGTCTCAGCAGTCTGAACCTGTCGCCCTTTCTCTTCTTGGAAGATGTGGACACTTGCTGGCCAACCATGTCCGAGTTCTTCTCATCAAGATTGATCAAATCAATGAGCGCCTTGATGAAGCCGCCTTCGCCGCCACCACCGCTGCTGCTACCACCAACCACACCATCGACTTCGTCAATCACTACGCAGACTGGCTTGCCAGCTTTGCGTACTTTGCCATTTGCAGTATTTGAGCTGATACCACGGACGTTTTCAGTTCCGACCATGTCTCGAATGCGGCCTTTAACAATGTCTCGGCTTCGCTCGTCTGATGCGTTGATCTCTTGGACCTCGTACCCAGCTTGTCGTGCACATACGTGAGCTAATGTAGTCTTGCCCAGGCCTGGTGGTCCAGTCAAAAGCAATATTTTGCGATGTCTCTGCTCGTCCTCGTTGAAGTCTTTCTTCGCGCTCTTTAGCTTGACTTTGACAGCACCAGGGAAGACGATGGGATCCCAGGCCTTCAGCCATCGTAGTACCGATCGATGTGTACGCTCGTCTCCAACCAGGTCTGTGAATTTCTTCGCCCGGTACTTCTCCGTCCACATCAGTGTGCGATCACTTTTGCCGCTAGCGTTCGCTGGTTGCTCGATCGACTGATGGGCAAGATTCTCGAATGCTTGCGCTCGGCTAGCTAACCTCGCTGTGTCCTCTGCTCTGGCCTCATCCATCAACGAGTGAATGTCAATGCCATAGTAGCTTGTTCTTGCCTTGCCCACCACAGCCTCAGATCTCGCAGCGATCAGCTCTTCGAAAGACATTGCCTCCTTTCTTGCCCTCTTCAATATGTTGATTGACTTTCCAGCAGCATTTCGTGCTATCGTGCCCGTCATGGGTCGCGCAGACGTAGGTGCGCTGTGCAGCGGCAAACGCTTGATTTGTGGTCTCGACTCGAAATACTCGTCGAGCGCTTCGACAGGTACATCTTCTGCATCGGCGATCTCGTCCTGGCTCGCAGGTGGTGTGTAGTTTGCGACCTCTCCTGGCGCTGAAGGCAGCTCCCTGATACTATTGACTGCTATTCTCTTCAGCGAATGCTCTTTCAACGCAGCAATGTCCTCTTCGTCATCTGAATCGTCCAGGAAAGCACCAACTGTGCGAGCGACCTGCTTGCTCGACACATCTTTGAGTGGGCTGCGTGCATCGATAGACCACTTCCTCTTCTTTGGTGTCGAAACCTGAGGCATCGAGGAGCTCGGCGGGTACGCGACTGGCGATGAGATGGGAGGCATGGCGAAAGTTGGAGGCGAGGATGGGACCAGTCGTCCGTCGATCGATGTTTCAGTACGTATGTGCTGTATGGGTCGCTGAGTCTGATGCTTCAAGGGCGTGTCTGAGGAGATCAGCACGGATGGTTGCGCAGTATTGCGTATGAAGTACCAAAGCTGTGCTCTCCTTCGCTTTTGAAGATGTCTGCAAGCTTCCAAGCGCGGTGCTGTATGACCACGCCCCCTTGATACTTCTTGACCTTATCTTCTTCTATGCACGCTTGCAATGCCTCGATATCGTCAGAGTGGGAGATGGAATTAGGCGCGTCTTGTGGTTGGTCGTACTCGGAGTAAAGAAGGGCAGGATCGAAGGAAGAAGAAATGCCTGCTGAGTAACTACTCATCGATTCGTGGGTATACGCTATGCGAAAGCAAAGAACGGCGGTGACGGCGAGCAAATGGAGTTTCGGCGCGTCGACGCGTTCTAGCGCGCTCTCTAAATACGCTAGTTGTTCCCATGCACCTTGAACTGCTCGCAGCAAACATTCTCAATCATCCTCGGCGTGAGTCCCTAGTGCTTCTTCATCGAATTGTCTACTTCCTGTAGATGCCTTTTCGCAGTTTTTGGCGTAGCCCAACGCAACGGTCAAATTTCGCGGCGGCGAGATCCCATTATCTCTGGCCCCGCACGCGAGAGATGGGGAAGTCGCAATCATTGCTCCCACCACAACTTCGAAGATCGTACGAGTGAGTGGGGCAGATGGGCAACGTCGTGATAGAAAGAGTCATGGGGAATGCTCGGGTATGCTCACTCACGATACAAGTGTTCGAACTGAAAATGGACTCATCTAAAACAGGAAGAGCTGAGTGGCGCAGCGGAAGCGCGCCGGGCTCATAACCCGGAGGACACTGGATCGAAACCAGTCTCAGCTAATACCTTTTTTGCTTTTTCTTTCTTTTTATTAGCGTTTAAACTTTCCTCGGAGCTACAAGTAATTAGAGTATGTACTCTTTTAGCGCTTGCAATTCGATTTCTTGTCTTAGACTTTCAGTTAGTTTCCCTGATGCTGCCTTTCGCACGAAAGACTTGTCCTGGCTTCCCGTGACACTGCAGCGGAAAGCGTGTGTTGTGCAGCAACTTACAGCATTTAGAGACACCGCATCTGTCAGACATAACATGAGATAAGCACAGGGCAAGACACTCTGTGGATGCGTAGTGATTGTTTCAGAAAGCGCGCTATTCCTCGAGGAGCACAGTGCGCCCCAGTTGGCAGGTTGATCTGATGGGCTCATTGTGCCGAGGCGTGTCGCGGAGTTGGTGCGAATTGGAGTGATGATGTCATAACCAAGCATCTAATGACTTGACCACCAACAAATGCATACTCCTTTTGCTGAATTATAAGAACTACACAGAGCTTTGACAAATGAACGCGGAATCTGTTCGTACAGGTGCTTGTTCATGATGCCTATTGTGGGCACAACATCTCTCGCAAATTCGCTCCTCAGCCTAACTCTGGCACGTATGTACGAGCCAGCGAATACCAACTAGCTATCTCACCGGTCAAACAGCTATCATCGCTGGTGCTAATAGCGGTATTGGTCCATCGATTGCAGTTGCTCTTGCAAAGCAGGGCGCTGCTGTCCTCCTCGCCTGCCGCAATGCTGATCGCGGGGCAGCAGCGGCCGATCATATCATCGTTCAGTGCGATGGAAAGAAGCAAAGCGATGGTGAGCTGTATCATCCTCGATTTCGGCGACCTCTCAAGCGTACGGAAGATGGGACGCAGATCGACATGCTGGTGCACAACGCTGGGATCGACGCACCGCCCCACCGGGAGTTGAATAGAGACCAAAGAAGGCCTGGACATCCTGTACACAACCAACTTCTTAGGCAGCTCTCTGGTAACGCACCTTCTCGGATCATCATTGGATTAGACGGCCACAATAGTATTGACCAGCTCGACGGATAGTCATTCTGCCGCCGCACATTTTCTCCACGAAGGAGTTCTTGGCAAAATGATGAACTCACCGGAGCCAGATATGATTGCGTCAATACTTGTGAAAGGTAAGGCAATACTCGGCATAGAAATCGAGAGCATTGTGTCAGCATGAGGCCCAAACAAATCGTAGCAGGTACTTTTCGCAGCCTTTCTGCAGAGACACTTTGATGCACATGCGAGCCCTGCCAGTAGCGGAGGGGCATGCAGGACAGCGCATTGCCTCACGTTTCACCTCGACGTCAACATTCGGGAAGTCTGGTGTCACCTGGCAGACGTGGTTCACGAGTACCTCGTTCGCTGTGCTGAAGACGACTGAACAATGGATTGTGGTGGATACAAATGAGGGTGCGAAGACGGGCGCCTGGCTTGCAACATGTAGCGACGAGACAGGAAACAGAAACCGAGGTGGCGCATTCTGGGAAAGAATAGAAAAGAGAACGAGTCTGGTTGACTTAGTGAACGAGCCAGACGAATAGAGAACCTGGGAAAGAGACGCTGAGGTTGAGTGGAGCGTTTGATGTTTGTCGGACATACCCGCCTTGCTCGCTTGCCCTGGTCTTCGGGACCATCCTGCGACTGATTTCTGAACAGATATGCGTCCCATCCATGTCATCTCCATGCACCGCAACGCAGCTGTCAACTGCGCCTCGAATTTGCAGCACGTTTTCGATGAACGGAGCAATTTATCTTCGACTTCTTCGGAACAACTTAATCAGGTCGCTACACTTTGGGAGAACGTTCCACGATCCTACGTCGTAGCGAACGCGGCATTGTTCACAATGACACCACAGGCTCCACGATGGGCTTGCAGGACGCTGTTGTTCCAAGTGGCTCCCACAATCTCTCATCAGCCCACGTGTTGACAGCGTCTCTCTTTCGGATACCGTGGTGCATAGCCAAGCCTCTGTGTATCAAGTTTCGGATCTTTCATCCCGCCAGCAGTCACACATGCGGGAGGTATCAGCCACTTCTTCACAATCGACGTCTATTCTCTGTTACCAGTACAATCACCACTTGTGCAAATTTGTGAAATAGACCGAGTACTCCGCGAAACTGCGGAGTTCATCGAGCAGTGGTACTGTACCCTTCGTTCAAAAATTGGCGGGTTCCAAAGACGGAGTGGGATGTGTGTAAAGGAAGCTTGGCGATGCTGCATGACGTTCGGTCAGCGCTCCTGTAGCAGTGCAGCGTGCGGCGGCTGATTAGCGCTAAATTCGGCAGTGGGCCGGCATCGCGTCTTGTTCTTTTTGACCGCTGTTATTTACGCCTCTTTTCCGGCAGAGCGGATTCGTAACGACCCTCCCAATTCTTCAAAGCTAGCTTTCAACTGAAAACTTCCAGTGCAGTTCTGTTCGTATAGGGTCAAAAGAAGCGTACACCAACCTCGAAATTGTTCTGACCGTGTTCGGCAAGTCACCCGATTGCAGCGCTACCGGCAAGCGAGAGTCCAAGCGAGCCAATAGCACGATGACGACATGTCACCAGAGAGAAGGGCGTATGAAGGAGATCAAGGCGGGCGTGAAAGTTGAGAACAAACAGACAACGTGGGTAAAGATCCATTTTGTGATCGCACTTGCTTACCCCGCATAGACTTGATAACATCCCTAGCCACTCCACAATAGCCCAGTTCATGAAATCTGGGCAAGCTGCATTCGGTAGCATTGACCCACAGATACCCCGGGACTGCAATAAAACCTCTGGCGAAGTGCAGAAGTGGATGCTAGATCGAGTTCGTGAGAGGCTGGCAGCTACCTCAGACCTATACCATGATGACATTTTCATCTTGCGATCTCTTCTCAAGCTCGAATACTCGGCCGATACGACGGGCTATCAATATCTAAAACTAGAGCTCTCAAGGCTGATGCGATCTAATCTCACATACGCTGTGGCCTTCATAAAGTCTGTCTGCGATGCCTCGACAAACGAAGTTCCGCGGAGCTTCAAAGATGATGTACTTCGCGATGTCGCACGCGGTCTTGGCGATGTCTGCATAGACATGCGTGAGCACGAGGCCATCAAGAGCCAACTGGCCACTCACGAGGAGAGCAAGGATGGGGACTCACCTGAGCCATGTCCGTTAGAGAAGCTCTCTGCAGCGCAGCTCGGCGAGTTCATGAAGCAGTTCTATGGCTGTGGTCTCTACAAGCCTGTTGAGTCAATGCTTACGAATCTGCGATCGGCGATGGATCACGCACTCACCATGGACCTTCATACCCTATATGTCCCATTTCTGCAAGATCTGATTGGACTCATGCTCATATATGGCATTCCTTTGACGAACACCATATACGGAGCGTTCTTTGAGAGTGTTCTCCTGAACTATCTCCAGCGCTTCGTTGGACAAGAACCTACGCAGAGGAACAGTGCGGAACACAACTCGTGGACACCGCGAGCTGCTGCTGCCTATGGCAGGCTCGAAGCTTTCGACCACTCTTATTTTCGCGATATTCTCGGTGAGCGATACGGCGTAGTGATTTCGCCTGCTTTAATGAAGCTGCAAGGCTCCATTTCGGTTCCACCACTAGCCCGCGATCGCTTTGACTCATTTACCACAACGGCAAACTCGGGGCAAAGGGCAGGAAGCACGGAGACACTGCTTACGTCAAGTGATGATAATATTGATCCTACACCCGCATTCTCGGCATCGCCATTAGCTATTTGATCCACATCATACGACCTGCACATTTGAGCCACACTAAGGCTACATGATGGAAAGGCCGGGTGCGAAGACATCAGGTTCAGGCCCGACGGTCGTCACTACGATCTAACTTTCTGCTTTTCAGTATTTCAGGACTGGTCAAAAATCTCAACAATACGATTGAATACAAAGCGCATTTCTATCGCACCTCCGGCTCCATGTCAGATCTCATCCTATGCATCTTCAGATGCCTACTTCAATGTGAGGAGCTGCATCGAGCAACTGAACGAGCAAAGCCACATTCTCCACATACCACTCCGTGCTAATCTGATCAGGCTGCTGGGCGAACCGGGCAGCCCGTGCGAGCGGACTACCATCGAAGGCAACGTGGCCTTCAACACACTCACGAAGTAGACAACGCGGATGATACGGGGTGGGCGGGCTTGCTGGAGTTGTCGGTACCTGGAAGCCCTCATGGACATATTGGTATAGCAGAGCTTCCATCTCCCCGCTAGATCGGTCGATTGCAGCAGACTGTGGCTGATACTTGGCATGTCCATCAGGTGTGGTCGTCATGATCTGTGGTGGCGGCTGCAGATGTTGCTGTACGGCCTTGGCAGCAGTCCGCTGCACCTGCATCTGTTCCGCCGCCTCTCGAGCCTCCCAACGAGCCTCTTCACAGGCTATTCGCTCTTCTACACTTGGCCCAACGCTGCGATCGGGTGGTGAACGCTTGGCGTCGGATTCCTTCCGCATGTGGTCAACATAAGCACGAACGATCGGACGATCGGTATGCGCCAAGGTGATCTGGGTGCGACCGATGTGCTCCAGGATCTGAGACAGATCATCTGGGAACATGAAATCTTCAGTGCGCCCTAGCGCGAACTGCACACAGCGTGTCAGGTCGCCAGCTTTGGTGTCTTCTGGAAGCTTCTTAACACCGATCATAAGATCACGCAGAGGAATGGATGGTGGTCGACGATACTCTTCAATGTGAGCATCTTCAGGTACAAAGCCGTCCATGGCGATGAGTGTAGGGTTCCATCCAAGCGGTGCCGTATGCTTTGCCTTTGTCCAGCCCATATTCCGTGGATAACTGCGCATCGTCTTGCGATACTCGTCCGTGATCGTCTTCTTTGCCTTCTCACGTTCATGGTCGTCCTTGAAGTTGCACTCGCGATGCTCTTCGAAGATCGCGAAGTGGACGTTAGCGGTGAGATGGTTACTTATGAAGCGCATGGCGATGGCCTTGTTTTTGAACCAGTTGGGCAAAAGCACGACGATCTCGACGAGGGTAAAGTTCAGCGACACTTTAGGGAGCGTATAGCAGTGACCTGGCAGGTTGCGCAGAAAGATCTTGTTCGCGTTAGGATGCGGGACTATGGCGTCGCCCGTGATTGTCGTGCGGATGGGGAGGTGTGAGAACGCTCCGGTACTCGGATACCCAGCTAGACCTATGGTGCTACGCGGGTCGGGATGACTGTTGTTGGCAGACATTGTGTTTCTGATCTTTCTAATACTGGAGAAGCTGAGGTTGTTTTCCGCGTTGAGTCGATTGATGATGATGGTGAGGCTATCTCTTCGGAGGCGACACTCGTTTTAATTGAAGCATACATATTGGTGAAAGACATTGCACTCGTAGAGTGAAATGCGTCTTGAGGAGACTCTAGATGGTCTATTAGCTATTGGTACTTCCATCTCATCACCCTTGGAGTGCCTTCCCTTCGAGTAGTATCTTGATAGCTGCAGAGAGTAGATGAGCAGCCGCCGCGGGTAGAAAGTCATCGATCAGGCATGAGCAAAGAATAACATGGAAAAGAGCGAAAACTGAGAGCTAAGCTTTGCATCAGATAATCGGATTCATCTGAAAGCTCGTATATTGCAATATACTGTTACATTCAAGTTAAAATACAGCCTGTCAAATTCCATTCTGAGTCGCTGTGAGGGCACATGAGAACTTAGCGAGATACGGGCACGCAGTCTGGTATAAGCGTCGTAAAAGACAAGTTTATTAGATCAGTCACCCTTAACTGGTAGTCTCTCTGTAGAAAGATGTATTTCTTGCAGTTTAAATCACTTGTTCAGCATATAACATGACCTTTTTCGACATTTATTCCCCTGATACTTCATTCATCACGCCAAATTGCTTTAAGAGCATTATAGCCATTTTCCAAATGAAGTAGCTTCATACTCTGGACAAATTCACTTCACATATGTATTATTGATATGTGTGTATGGAGCATATTATCTCGCCTGTCGTCAAATGCTCTACCAACACAGCTTCTTCTTCGAATTCCCGAGAGGATTCACTCGTCCATGTCCACGTCATTCAATTCTCCGTCAGATACGTCTTCATCATCTCCAGCGTCACCGTACTGCCGATATTCACACTCGGCATCTGTTTCTTCCATTTCAGCTCCATCGATATCGACGTACGATGCGGTCTTGGTCTTGATGCGCCCTGATCGCCGAGGTCCCTCCTTGTTCTTTTTCGTGTGCTTCGGCCCTTGGTAGGAATCGTCGTCTGTGTCCTCCTCGGAACTCATCTGGAAAAGAGTGTCTTTCTTGGCAGGTAACTGTGCCGTCGTGTTGCGCGTGGTTCGGGTCTGACGGAGAGTGCTCGCCGCGGTGCTCTTGCGTCGCTTAGCACGTTCGTCACGAGAGGACAGGCCGCGCTTGCGCTTTCTCGATTCAGTATCGTCGCTGATTTCATATGAATCGGCGTTACCATATCTGTAGTCTCTATTCACACGCCTTCGAGGCGCAATGCGGCCTGTCCCAGACCGAAGGCGTAATAGTGCTTGACCATCTGAATGACAAGCATTTGGGACCAGCGGACCACCTACACGTTCGAGAACGGTTTGGTAGTCTGTTGGGTAGTAAGACTCTACTTCTGGATGATCAACGCACCAGCTTACGCAACGCGTCAAGTCTAAAGCATCGTCACCCTCAGGCCAGAGTGCAACACCTTTGGCGAGGTCTGTGAACGGGATTGGGACAGCAGGTATGTTGAGACGATTTTGGAATATGACCGGTCGACGGAAGCCTGTGACGTTGATACTGTCAGGGTCGAACTTCTCCGGCTTCTGGACGTCTGCTTGTGCGCTGACAATCCATTGCCTCCAATTCTTATACCCGTGTTCTGCTTCGCTGCGTTTGCGCATCTGCCCACGAAACATCAGGTAAACAGAGTTAATGTCAATCTTTGGGGACAGGCCTCGGTACTTGTTGAAGAAGAGGGCGAGATCTTCAGATGCAGCGCCGTTCCAAATAATGCGGTCGGCGACATCCCAGCTTTTAATCGACTGTGGCAAGAATGCTGCAATCTCTGCGAGTGTAAAATTTCCGTCTGGGAAGTCGTGTGTGGGTGACGGGGCGTTGGAAAGCTTGCCGATGCCATATAATCTATGAGCAGCAGCTAGCTCAGGAAATGTCGGCGTCGATTTGTTCTTGTGCTTTCCCACCTGGTAAATTGGCTCGAAGAAGCCAGTAGGCAATTTGACATCACCATCTTCGAGGCACATAAAGCGAAGTGGGAAGTGGACCAGCTTTTCAGGTATGCTCCAAGGGTTACCTTGTCCGGTATACATCCTTGCCTGGGTCCGGTTGTGGCGATTCAAGATGGTGCGCTCATCTTGCAGAGCCTCCAACAAGATCACGCCTGGTTCAATGAGATCGTTGAGCCATTCAGTGCAATTTTCGAGCATTTTATAAAGCGCCTCACGAACATACGTATATTCCGGCTCTCCATAATGGTCCTCTACCGCCTCCCGCGCTGCATCCAGGAAGTTTAACACGTCTTCAGGTTTTGGGAGGAATTGGGACTGTATCATCTCAAGATATCGTGCTCAGAAACCGTTTGAAAAGGTTGTCAAGTTGTCAGGGTTGATTGTAGAAAATGTTTGGGTATGCTGGATCAGCGTTGAAATGTTCCTGGAGCACACGATGACAGTCTGGAGTTCAGAATAAGAGGGAAAGGTGTTGCCTTAAGTCGTATTCGGTATCATGACGAGGTTCAGCGTTCAAAGACAGTGAAATTCTCCTCGGGATTTGGAGATGTCCTTGCACAAAGGGGCTCTACTGTACCAGTCTCGTAACTGGCCATCAACAATGCGCATTGTCATACCTTCCTTTGTCTCGAAATGTGTCTCAGCTCCATTGTATGACCGATTTTTGATAAGCTGGAGACCGTGTTTGGCACGTTCCAGAGCATTCGAGCTAGGCAACTCACATTGCCGGTGTGTAGGTCCTGGATCGCGTTTTCCAGTCTTTCAACAGGATAGGTACAGCACAATTTTTCGATAGGAAAGGAGCGAGTCTGCTGCACTTCATCAAGGGCCGGAATGAAATCTTCTAAGTTCGAGTCACCCTCGATATCTCCAATCAATTTCTTGTTATTCAACAAGAACATCAGTGGGTAGATGGAAATCCTCGCATCTGGCGGTGGAACCCCAATAATATCCGCAGTCCCCTGTAACTACTGAGAGGCAGGCTAGCATGTTTTCAATGACGCGGAGCACGCCAGTACAGTCTATGGCAAATGTAAGACCTGTGCCTGACTTTAATGCCTTCTTGATCGCATCTATTGCGCCAAGCTCTTTCGCCATTTGTAGCTGTTCTTGCACAATGTCAACTGCAATGATCTGGCCAACGCCCATGTTTTTCGCTGCCATCACAGCCGTTAGACCGACACTAACATGACCAAATGCAACGACTGAGTCATCCGGCCCTGGTTTCGGTACGTTCAAAAATGGTCCAGTAACAGTCTAGAAGCCGCAACCAATCATTGCATAGGCAGCCAGTTGGTTGAGGACGCACTTCTCGTTGACCACGCTCATCTCAGCAAAGGAGGAGTGACCCGGATAACGGCTGCGTACGCTCTGACTTTCCTTTGTCCTGGCTGGTGTACTTCGATCGGTGAGGAGAACGGCGTTGTGATCGGCTGCGGCATCTGCATCACGAGGTTGCTCATAAACTACTGCGGCTTGCGGCTATTAAAGAAGTCAAGACTGACCATGATACTGGGTCTGGGATGTTGCTTGTATGAAATGTGAACCCTCACTGGGTGCCACAACGTGCTGAAAACGCCAGGGCATGGGGCTGTTGGGAGCAACCATATTGCCGGTCGGTCGGCTATCAGAATGTGAAGACCTTGTGGGGTAGCTCTATTCTTACGGCGCTTAATCCTGGCCCAAGAGGGCTATTTTTTGCTGTAAAGCTCACAGTGCTTCACATTCGGCGAGTATTCAGTCCTCATGCTAATGAAACTTAGCTGGGAGGCCGTGAGCATGTCACAGCTACCGCAGAAACGTGGCCGATGCAGGAATGAACGTAGCGCACACCTTATGTGTACCGACGTCTGGAGCATAAGCGAGAAGAATTACAAAGATATCTACGGCTGGAAAAACAGCAAACACAATGACAATTTCAAGCGCCGCGTTGTGGATGGCATGAGACTTCGATGGCAAAAAGTGCCCGCGTCATAAGCCAGACCATTCTTGTCCTAGCGCTACCCCGAACTGTTTCGCACCTTAGGAGACCCACCGTTCACGCAATTTTGAACTCCCCCGCGTGCTCGACACTCCACACGGTCTGCATCCCATGTCTATGTCAAATCCTACCCTTATAATATGACATGCTGACAGGGCCCAATGCTTCGATAGCAATACAAACCTGGGAATCTGCCTCTGCTCTACAATCGTTCCACCCCGTCGATCATGTATACTCAGCCTCCTCGTGCCAACAATTTCCTCCGCGCGGCAAGTCTCTCAAAGACTCTTCAATGCATCGCCTATCAGTGAATGATTACACGTTTATATATTCAAGGTCGCAAGGACAGTACGTGCCAGGCCCTTGTTACCTACCCCGCCCAAACAACATTTGCTCGTCCGTCAGTATCTAGTCGAGGCATACCTCAGAAGAGCGCACCAGCCACTGCAGGCTTCCCGCCAATTTGTCCCAGATACTAATTTTCCGGGAACGTTTCAGTGAGTGATACGAGATATCACTTGGCGATGATGACGTCTCTGCACCTGAGATCCGTGAGAGCACAAGAAATGCCACGCCTTACTAGGTCTAATACGGCAGGTCAAGACGACATCCACATATTATATCACTCAGTACCAATACTAGGCCATGCTATTCCGGCATTAGGGAAGCAGATAACACACCAACTCGCGCGACGACCTTGCATTCATGTCTAGTCGCGGCATAGAGCATCTGGCAAACTGCTAGCGGTGCGGAGCATATGACGATTGACAGTGTATAAAAGCGAGCTTCATGCGCCTATGAGTTGGGGTATCGCTAGCGCTCATCATGAAGGTCGTTCTCAACCTTGCTCTTGCTTCCCTTGTTGCTGGTGTTTCCATCCGTAGCCCTTCTGTAAATCTCTATGAAGGTACCAAGGTCTACCATGTCAAGACCGGCCGGCATGTAGCTGAAGTCCAGAAGAGACTTTCTGAGCTCTCTCATAACATTTGGGAGTCCGCCTCCGACCACATTGATGTCGCTGTCCCTCACCACGAGGTTGCCAGATTCGAAGCGCTGGGCCTGGACTCACGTGTTCTGCATGCAGACTTGGGATCTTCAATTGCTGCTGAGGCTCAAGTAAAGTCTACCTGGAAGAGGCAGGATAGCAACAGCAATGGCGACTGGTTTGATAGCTACCACCCATACGAGGATCACGTCGACTACTTCAAAGAGCTGCAAGAGTCTTTCCCCGAAAACTCAAACTGGACGAGTTCCGGTACTTCGTACGAAGGTCGTGATATCTATGGGTATGTTAACGGCACTGGCATTTTGTCAGTAGTTGCTAAAGGAACAATTCAGTATTCACATGTGGGGCAATGGCGGCCCTGGAAAGCCCGCTGTGCTCTGGCACGGCACTGTTCACGCCAGAGAGTGGATTGTTGCCCCTGTAAGCTTTGACTCAAGGCTGACCTTGACTTAAGCTGACCTCTTGCAGACTTTGGAGTACATTACCAAACAGCTCATCGACGGCTACAAAGCTGGTGACAACCTTACACAGACATTCCTGAACAACTATGACTTCTACATCTTCCCCATCGTCAATCCGGATGGTAAGTTAAGAATGCACTGTTAATTATCAGTCGCTGATTCGATCAGGTTTTGTGCACTCTCAAACAACTGATAGACTGTGGCGTAAGAACCGTCAGCCGCCTCCAGCAACTGCTGCCAACCAGACCTGTTATGGTCGTGATATCAACAGGAATTGGGAACACAATTGGGACGCCAACACTCGCGGCGCTTCAAAGAATGAATGTTCCCAGACCTACCGTGGTGAGCACCCTCGTGACACGCCAGAGAATGCCGCGATGGACGACTTCCTCCGCAATCTCCGTGACGCGCAGGGCATCAAACTCTACATCGATTGGCACAGCTATAGTCAGCTGATTCTGTGCCCCTTTGGTCACAATGAGTATCTTTACGCTCCAGAGCTTGGCAGATGGACACGTGCCGCCTCGTTGATGAGCCAGGAGATCGCACAAAACTCCTCGAACGCAACAACTTACACTTTCGGACCTAGCGGAGCTGTGCTTTACCCCACCACTGGAGTTGGTGTCGATCACGTTTACGCTGTCGGCCGCGCTGAATGGTCCTACACCATCGAGTTGCCGGACACTGGTGACTTTGGTTTCGTGCTGCCCCCGGAGCGCATCCGTCCGGCTGTCGAAGAATCCTGGGTGGGCCAGAAGGTTCTTTTGAACTTGTTGGACGAAGTATTCTTTGACGGAGAGGGACCAGCAATCTTTTACTGAGCTTGTTTACCTGCACACATTTACTGCCTCCAAGAGGCAAGGCGTCAGTCCAATGCAATTCATACTGCTGCGAAGCCATTCCTCCTGTACTTCCGGTGTTATTACCTGCAGTTTCATCCGCCACCGTTGTGGCTGAACGAAAAACGCATGCTTACACGACCCTCGCCGCTCATTACTCTATTCGCGCCGTCATGTGCAATGCGCAAGAGCGCTATGCTCGCTTTTGACGATCTAGGTTCAAACCCCATCAATCAATTCTGCAGACTGTCCTACCGTCGACGTCGTCTGTAAGGATCATCATCCTAGGTTCCCTCGTGTTGGACGGAATGCGCGAACGACTGCCAGGTAAAGGTGAGTATGAGTTGCTACCGAAGTCAGCTGCCCCAAGGCCCAGGGTCTATATCCGTGACCTTTTCCAACTTCACCACAGTCATCACTCTCCTCTTTATCACTCTCCTCTTCACCAGTCTCTACCCCACCCCAGGACAAGTACTGCCAGTCGCCTGCCATGATCTCAATTGCACCGCAATCGCAGCATACAACCCCTCCAGAAAACAGTCAACGAGACCCACCATCAGCCATGTGTGTGGCGTACCGAACCCCATGTCCTGCGCCTGAAGCTCAACTTTCAATTCGTCAGTGGCATTTCGCTCAGGCACTATAATTCTCATGCTGATGATATCATAGCAGAGCAGACCCGCGTACGCCAGATGAAGAGGGTAACAAGATACGAGTTGAGCCTTCGTTGAACGATGCGACCTGCTATACAGCCGAGCATTGGTCAAACATCGTGTGGGACCAGAAAATGGATTATCCCCTTTTTGGGTTGTCCATGGGTCTAAAAGAACTGCCCTCCGGCGTGGATGCTGGACCTCTTACAGCAATCATCAAGTGGTGCCGTGAGCAGGGTCGGTACGATACTATGCTGAGCGACGTCCCGAATCTACTAAAGGAGGCTAACATTGAGTCACTGATTGACCCGGGAGCTGGAAGTGTTTATTCGGTACACTGAGGCTATCAAGAAGGACCGTGGTAGAGTGCTGAGCGAGCAGTAGGTTTTGAAGGAGCAAAAGGAGGCCGGGACGGAGGCCGAGATGTCTGAAGCCCCAAAGGAGAAGAAGGTCAAGAAGAGGAAATTGGAACATTCCATAGTAGTTACGGATTCGATTGGAGTTTGTTTTTGTGTATTTTTGGTGGCATGGTCGTAGACGCCATAACAACATTCGGGTGCTGTGCGTACTGCCTTTCGTGATCTATGGCTTCAAGGAAGGTTTCCATTTTCGTTCGAACGACAAGGCGGACTTATCACAGGTTAAGAGGGTAATAGATACTGCCAGGGAGAAGGCTTCTAAAAGATCCACAAGTAGTTGTACGTGAATTCAGTCAATACATCGCAAAGCGTGTTCAGAGATGCTTCCTAAGATAAGCTAGGTGCCTTGTCTGGCCAAATCATTAAGGGTGAATTTAGACTGGATTTGTTTGTTGACAATTGTGCCTATTAGCAACACTTGTCTTCGTCCGCATGTTTCACATGCATCTGCTTCTAATAAGCTCGGCTATGTACCTTCCGGCCACGTATACTGTTGCGGTGGAGTGAACAGTGCGCGTATGCAGGGAAAATTGAAGGATTGAACTGAGGTTGTATTGTGTGCAGCTACGAACAGTAGGTATACACGAGTGGCTGTAAACAGCGCTAGTTCAGGATAGGTAGTCGCACCTCACCGAAGGTGAGGTGCGTTTGCCTATGAGGCAAGAGAGACTCAAACCGTGACATATACCTACTTTCCGGCCACCCCATCACAGCGCATCACCCTGCTTTTAATTAACTATATTATCACCACCATGCTCTCTATATGCACCCTAAGAGAACTGCAATGCCAAATGCTAATGCAGATCTTAATTCTGGTGTTTGTAATAGCGAGCTAGCAGCTGCTCGTTGGCACGGCGTTGCGCGATCAACGTTGCAAGGCCGACGGGCAGGTCAACAACCACACACAATAGCTCACTCAAACCAACAGCGATTAACTCCAAAATAAGAGACCTTTCTAGTCAATTGTATACTTGAAGAGGACTTACGCGCACAACCTCTATCTTATCCTCGCGTACGGGAGATGGCAGCCCACATTCTACACATAAACGGCGACTACGAGCCTCTTGGACAACTATGAATATCCCATTTCATCACCCACAACCTAGGTGTTGCATCTGTTGTTTGCCAAATATTTAAGAGCGCAAGGACTGTAGCAGCTAGCTGCAATACTATGAAGACCTTCCTTGAGCTGTTTGAGCGGACAAGAATTAAGCTAGGAATACAGTATAAAGATATGTGGAATATAGACGAGACGAGACTAGAGTTGCACTAGGGGTGTCTACTAATGTCTAGGTGCTCGCAAGCTTTATAGACAAGAAGGCTTATATTTAGTCTCCAGAGGATTGCGAGTGGATGTCAATTTTGGAGACAATCTCACCCACCAGCATCAAGCTTCAGTGCCCAGTTATGTCACGGGTAGAAGAGGTCTACTTAGCAGACCTACTTTGAGGTACTTGCGTATGTACATTTTGCCTCTTTTTTGGCTGTTACAAGTTATCTTCAAAGGCAAGCATCTACAATCTGCTTAGTTCCCAACCTAATGCACACCAAATTGGCTCTATACTATGTCAGAGAATGGCTAGACATCTAGCTTAATCAGCTGTGAATAGTTACAGCGTATTTTTATACCAAATAATTCACCATCCTCTAGTGGTTATCAACTGCTCCCTCTTGATGGCCATAGCTCACATACACCTATCGAATTTATGTGGCTCTGCAAGCTTAATAAGATACACCTCCTGTATCTCCCAGCTCATGCATCACACCTGCTGCAGCCTCTAGACCTTGCTCCTTTCTCTGTTCTTCAAATACGCCACCGCAATAAGATCTGAGCTCTCTCTGCCCTTGATGACGCATCTCCTATCAAGAAGGAGCGCTTTGTTGTATCATATGACAAGGCAAGAGAAAAAGCGATATCAGAGCGAGTTATAAGAGCTGGCTGGCGCTCTGCTGGCCTTTGCCTATTCAACCTAAATCTAGTACTGCTTTCATCCCAAGTAACTGGCTGGCCAGTTACTCCACTAGCAGCTAGCTAGGCCTTGACTACATTAGAACAAGTCTTCAACACCCCTCAGAGCTCACAAGCTCTATATAAGGTCCAGCAGCAGCAGCTGTTGTCAGAATCTCTCTCACGAAGCACCCGGATAGTGCTTGGCAAGGCAGGCAAGGCTATTGCGGAGGCAAATACCAGAGCTGCCCAGCTCAAGGCTGAGAATCAACAACTCAAAAATTAAATAGATCACTACAAGATTACTCGTAAGAGAAAGCGAGTTCAAGTTAATCCGAATGAGCGATTCAGGAACGTTGAGAGTATACAGGCTGCTATTAACCGAGCAGCAGCTCTACAGGCTCAACAAGCCAGCTCTTCAGCTGAAACAGAGGCTCGAAAAGCAGCAGCAGAGGCATCAGCACGTACTTTTATTTCTATGTGTACACAGTGACAAAAATAATCATTGTTGTTAAGAGAATCACGTCTCTATACTATGTGGCTGCTTTGGGTGGGTGGCCGGAAAGTTTATGTGCCGGAAAGTATACGTGGCCGGAAAGTAAATGTGGCCGGCAAGTGTGTGTGGCAAGAAAGTAAATGTATGTGGTCGGAAAGTACATGGCCGAGCTTTCCGTGTTCGTGCACCCAATGCACGGAGTCAACCAATGCACGGAGTCAACCAATGCACGGAGTCAACCAATGCACGGGGATCGCGATCAATACCCCATGTTCAACGCGTAACAACTCAACCAACTCAACCACCATGGTACCTATTCATGATGCGCTTGCAGCAATTCAAGCGCTGAAACCAGGAGAAAAACTTTGTGTATCAGAAAATAGCTAATTAATATGGTGTTGATCGCTCAACGTTATTGCGCGCGCATTGACACGAAACTTAGCAACCAATAGGAATCAGTTCCAGTCAAGCACCACCCTAGCAGAAAAACTCGGACAGTTTCTGCTGAAATAACCACCCAACCAAATATTTGTTTATTAGCACTCACTAACGTAGATTATTACTAAGCTAGCTATATCACTAAACTAGCCATTTTCTCTTAGCATAACTAACATAAGTTACTACAACTACAACTACTTGCTATTAAATAGTAACCTAGCATACTGCGTGCTTATATTAGATTTAGAAGATATTTCTGCACCCTCCTAGCACATTTGTGTGTTGTGTCTAGTCTTGCTGCAGTTCCTATAGCACTGAATAGTTAATTAAGCTCCTAGTTAACTTCCTCTACCCTAAGTCTTCTTAGATAGCGAAGCTGCTACAGACGCCTTAGCAGCTACTGTAACGGTCTAGACTCTAAAGCTAAAGAAGAGCTAGAGCTAGCCGGTTACATTAGCTTAGCCGGCTTGGCTTAAGCTGGATATATATTATCTACGCAGTTAACTAGACGTCTAGTTAACTTGTGCATGCTATTTAGCAAAAGTGGTTAGGAAGTAGATATCCTTTATTGGCCTTTGGCCAGACTACTACAGCTACATGTAATACTGCTAGGCTATACTTAAGTGTGCTACTATGCTAAATCTACTTTCTCTTACGTAATTTTCTCTTAGTTATTACTACTAATTGCTCTTTAAGCTCTTGCATGTGGGCCTTAATAAGGATATTTTTATATAGTATCTCTTTAGCCCCTTTTATAAGCTTTAAGAGCCCTTCTTATACTGTACTTAGTAATTATTAGAAGGAGTTACTAATAAGCTTAGATTAAGACCTAAACTTGTGTATATTACTTAGTGTCTTAGATTACTATAGTATTTTAGGTAGAGGTACTGCTAGTAGGGTATGCAGCTGCACTTTAAGGCAATCTAACACTACCTATATATTAGTAGGAATAAGCCCTAATACCTTAAATGTAACAACGCAGGCAAGAAGAGAGACATCTGGAATAGGTGTAAATCTGCTATAAGGCATATAGGAGTGCTAGGATGATAAGAACACTAGGATATATTCTCTACACCTATAGGTCTTGTACAAAAGGATATAGAAAAACTACTCTATAATGCTACAGTTCCTTGCTCCTTATATATAAGGGTTTAGTGGCAGTTTAGTGTGAGCTTATGCCATGCGACAAGGGCCATGGTCATGAGTCGCTGGAACCGTATCCTAGTGGTATCGGGTCACTGTTCGTAGAGCGTTGTTACAATAGGCCTTCTTTAACGGGGAGAAACATCCCACGTCAAGCAGCTGCAGCAAGTGCGACAAGTGTAGAGGCATGCACAGAGTAATAATCTTGTGCTCCTTACAGTACTAGTAGAATTTAACTAAGTTGTGGCTCTTATAGCTGTCTAGGACAAGCAGCTAATAGCTACTAATAGTGTGCGCCTTTGTATGCTTATTAAAGTGCTTTAATTACTTTACTCTAAGCTTATTATTTGTCTAGCTGTTGTTAGAGATATTAAGAACCTAGTTGTTAGGTATACTAGGCTCTTTGTACTAGGCAGAGAGGTAGTGCTTGCTAGAGAAGATAATAAAGGGGGGGATAGACTAGCCCTTTGCGTTAATACCCTAGATAATACTAGTCTACTCCTAGTTGCCCTGCTGCACTGTCTTTAATCTCCCTTAACGCTTAGATCCTGTAACAATAGCTCCTATAGATATAACGCCTATTATAAAGCTAGATTTGTTAAAGTTGTAGGTGTCTTTATCCTAGATACTATACTTAGCTTTAGTATTCTCTACTAGGCGAAACTAGTCTCCTATCACCTTAGGATCCTTATAAAGGGCTCTCTTGTAGTTATACTTTTAATTAAACTTAACTCTAAGCTCTAGCTAATATTTAACAAAGTTAGCAGCCTAGTTCTTGCTAACAGGGGTCTAGTGGTGCTTAGTAAGTAGAGAATTAGCTATATCCTCTACATTAGCAAGCCAGGGCGAGTAGCCTTGCTTATCTAGCTTTAGTACGTGCTAGACAATCACCTCCTCCTCAGTACTAGCTAGCTTAATTATGTTAGGCTTGCAATTGCGTTGTGAAGTAGTTCTAGCAAGTTAGTTACTAAGGGTGCTTTGAGACACGTTATAGATTGCAGCAGCGTGTTACTAGGAGAGTGTCGCGTCTTTTTAGATAGCCTGTAAGGCAAGCTGTATATTAGCCCTATTTAGAGGCTTTTTTATGTTGTTGCGTTAAGACATTAAAGGTAGAGTGAAGTTTGGCGTGGTCTTGGCAAAAGTGACTGGCTCGCTTGTGGAGTACGTTAGTTAAAATGCAGAATAGGTACATTATGTTACCTAAGTAGTACTTGATGTGATAAATTACTGTGATTATAAACATATTTGCTACTAATTCTAAAAACAGCCAATAATTACCCATTCCTAGATCCTAACTAGCTACCCTACCTATAACTATACCCAGTCACGTGGTACCCTACCTATACCTATACCTAGTCACGTGGTACCCCACCTATACCTATACCTAGTCACGTGGTACCTTACCTAGATCCTCCCCACAGATCACGTGACTATACCTATACCCTACCTTACCTTAACCATCCGCCAGTCTAGAGGTACGTTACTACAGTTCCTGGCTCGTTATATAGGGAGGTTTAGAGGCAGTTTAGTGCATCCTTATGCCATGCGACAAGGGCCATGGTTACAAGTCACTAGACCGTAACCTAGTTGTATCGGGTTATAGTTGGCAGCGCGTTGTTACACCTCTTAGATTTCCTAATACTGTTTAAATTTAGTCTTTACTGCTCCTAGTAGTACGTCGTATATTCATAGCACTCTAACAAGTCTCTAATCCCTAACCTAATAGGCTTCTAACTACAGGCTAACTTACCTCTAATACTAACTAACTTAGATAGCTTAACGTACTAACAATGCCCTAAGTATTTACCCTACTCTAAAGCTATAATCTGTTCTGTACACAGCGTCTGTACCTACTTAGATACTGTACATAGTAATTGATTTAGACTTCTTAACAAGTCCTAAAGGGCCTACTCGTAGCGTCTTCGTGACAGACTCCGTGCATTAGGTGCACGGACACGGTGTGAGGCGGTCCGAAAATGTTCTAGCTGAGTTTACGTTTCAAGGATCGCGACAGCCTCCTCAAGAGCCTTTCGGCAACTGTGTAGGCTCGGGCCGCTCGGCTATGAAGTGGATGTGTCTCATCAGGTCAGTGACCGGCTAGGCCTTGTCGCTTGCTAAATCAGGGTCTGCCTAGACGGAAGGGAGCGTCGATGGGCCCTCCGCTCGATCTTGGCTGTCAGTTTCCCCGCATTGCTCGGGCATATTATAGTAACTTACGGCGGCTCGGCTTCGTTGTCCTGCCGCTGTCTATGTACAGGTACCTTGCCATTCTCATCGAGAGTTGAAGTTATCTTCTTCTGTAAAGTCTGTACATTCAACCTTCTTTGACCATCATGTCTTTCCCCATTGCTGCCACTGCAATCGTAACCGACGCTCCCAACGAGTCCAATGTATCTTGGCGTATAGATAAAGTGCAAATACGAGAGCCAGGCGAAGATGAGCTGCTGGTCAGGATCATTGCCTCCGGAATATGTCACTCGGATGTCGCCAACTCTTTAACTCAAGAAGGCACCCCAGGATTACTACCTTTTCCCAAGGTTTTGGGCCACGAGGGTGCAGGTATCGTCGAGCAGGTTGGAAACAAGATCAGCCATGTCAAAAAAGGCGATAAGGTGCTGCTGAGTTTCGACTACTGCGGCAATGAAGATTGTCGCGCTTGTGAGGACAATACACCTGGATACTGCGATCAGTTCCATGTCAAAAACCTTTTCAGTGTACCTGATGTCTACCAGGTCGATGGCAAGTCCGCTGGCGGGCTGTTCTTCGGGCAATCGAGCTTTTCTAGCCTTGCGTTGGTGAAAGGAACATCCGTCGTGAACGTCGAGCAGCTGGTCAAGGATGAGGAGGAGCTGAAGCTGTTTGCTCCCATGGGCTGTGGCTACCAGACAGGTGCTGCTTCTGTGACTGAGCTTGCAGACGTGGGAAAGAAGGATGCAGTCGTCGTAGGTCACCTCGAACATAAGCAGTTGTCTCCACTAACGTGTGTCTGTCAGGTATTTGGTCTTGGCGGTGTAGGCATGTCTGCGATTATGGTACATCATTTCCTACGCCTATGGGTGGCGGCAGATGCTCAAAGCTGCGAGATTGACTGATATATTGTAGGCCTCAAGCGTTCGTGACGCACACACAATCATTGGCGTTGATCGAGTGCAATCACGTCTCGACCTGGCCAAGGAGTTAGGTGCAACGCACGTCATTGACACATCCAACTTCAAAGATGTAGCAATAGAGCTTCCTGCAGCTATTAGGAAAATAGCGCCGAAGGGCGCGAACACTGTGTTTGACACAACAGCGATAGTGGCGTTGATTGCGGCCTCGATGCCGGCGCTGCATGCCAAAGGCCAAATCATTCTGATTGGCAATGTGAACGGCAAGAGGCTTGATCTTGATCTCGGCCTTGTGCTCAACGTAAGTCAGAGATCAGCGATCGTCTGACGCATGCTGACTCCAGATCAGTTCGGCCTTGCTATCCGAGGGTCGATCGAGGGCAATGCCAATCCATCAAAGGTGAATGCCCGCCATGTTTCCTCTAAAGCAATGACTAATGGCATAGTTAGTTCATTCCGCAAATGATCGACTGGTACCGACAAGGCAAATTGTGAGTACTATCCCGACAGCGTATCTAAAGATACTGACAGAGCAATAAAGTCCAATCGAGAAGCTCGCCAAATTCTACCAGGTAAGCTATCTCTTAAGACCACGCAACGCATGCACAAGCTCTAACGTGCTCAAGTCCGATGATTTCGAGACGGCTCTGACCGATATGCGCGCCGGGACCACGATCAAGCCCATTCTACTTTGGTGATACGGAGCCGGGCGCTTCAAGAGAGGTTGCTTTTCTGCTGTGAATGATGTGTAATTCTGCGCAGCATTTGTGGAGCGAGGAGTTGCAGCGCGCTGCAGAGACTTAGAGTAGATATGACGAGACACCTAGTAGTTGTATCTAAGATGACATCTTGCTAGTAGATTCCTATGCACCGAACTTCTAGTGATCAAAATGGGGTTGGCTGGGTCGAACGCGTGCGCTTCAGGATATTGCAAAAGCAGGCGATTGTAAATGACAAACCCATCGTTTTAGGTGCAGTTGGAATGCGCTTAGCAAAGAGAGTTGTTGATACAAGTCTGGCTTACGGGGAAACGTGTAACTGCGTGAGTAGTGTCGGTCGGAGACTGTGATCAACAATTGTATTGCTATCTGTTGTCGTGTTTTGTGTTGTCGTGTTGTTTATTGTTGTGTTACACAAGCTCTCAGCTCTCAAGTACCGGTAAGTGTACTTGCCCACCGGACAGTGCCTGCTATATCATGTGATCTGAGCTACGTGGTTACAAAAGGACCCCCACGATCCACGGTGACCAATGAATCTTTAATTGCCGGAACCTGCGAGAGACGACCTACCATGCACCTAAAGATACGGTGTCAGTGTTTTTGAGACGTTTCGAATGGACTGTGCGATGGCTGTGGGTTCTTTCTGGAGGTGAACTTCCGGTCTTTAAGCTTTCTTCACTTTCAAGATGATAATTGTACACAGTAAGGAAGACCGTTTCGACAGGACAGCGATCAGCGTTTAGTCCACTCCAGAGTGAAAGACTTTGCGCAGCTTTGAGGTCACTCAACCACACAGAGTCATGCTTAAATATCTTTTCAAGCCGGACAAGGTGAAGCAGACTATGCTATCAAGGCTTGAAAAGTTCGTCATGCATCGTGCGCGCCCGTTGGAATGTTGGGATCGAGCAGGACGACGTCGTAGCGCGCTGCAGGCTGTCGGTATTGACCTTAAGCTTCGACTGACCAAAGGCGATTCTACACTTCCCAAGTAGAGTGTACCGATGCCTTGAGGAAACAAAGGCAACCAGTTCTGCAGTCAGTTAGATCAAGAGTCACGGCCTTTTCAAAGACAAGCATTCACGGGTAGCATCGCTGAGCTACTACGAAAGGCGGCTCCGATGCGGCTCCAAGTGGGTCTTTCCGATACACGGGACGGGTCGGAGAAAGAGAGCCCCAGCCCTACTGCAGCAGTAGCATCTTGGGCACACGGGTGAAGACACTCGGGTTCGACCGGGTCTTTTGGCCCCCTACACGCAGTGTTGGCCTCAAAGAGCCTCAAAGTGGATCTCACATTGCAAAAAAGAAAACTCGTCACCGCTTGCACTCGTCTTGAACTTGAATAAGTGGTCATTCAGTCATAACGCTAGGTATATCATCTACGCTTTCGGACTTCCGCAGGCACTCAAGCCTTAATCGATTCGATCTCGTCGATGTTCTTCTCGTGCGCCTTCTCAATCGAACTGGCGTCGCTCGCAAACCCGCCAGTCAACGGCCTCCTGGACTCGCGCACAATACCCGTAATGCTGCGACCGCTGCTGAACATCATCTCGAGCTCCTCGAGCGAACGGCCCATCGTCTCGGGGTAGAAGAGGAACACGATCGGCACAATGATGGCTGAGATGATGAGGAAGACGAGGTAGTACTTCCAGCCAATCGTCTCAATGGCGACAGGCGTCGCCATGTTGACGACAAAGTTCCACAGCCAGTGGTTCGCGGTCGAGATACCGGCCATGGGCACGCGGAGGCGCGTGGGTGCGACTTCAGTGCAGTAGAGGAAGTTGGCGCCAAGGAAACCAATCGGGATGAAGAAGTTGAAGAGGAAGACGAATAGAGCCGATGCGATCTGTGCGGGCTTGTTGGACTTGGGATACGACGAGGCGACGGCGAGAGCCAACATGCACGATGCCATACCGACGCCAGAGAACATGAACAGCTTGCGACGACCAAAGCGGTCGATGGTGAAGAAGGCGACGAAGCAGGACAGGAACTTCCAGGTGAGCGCACCGCCAGACAGGATGCGAGATGTCTCGCCGTCCAGACCGAGACCCTGCTGGAAGATGATGGTCGAGTAGGTGGAGATCAGGTTGGAACCGCACATCTGCTGGAGGAACTGCAGGAAGATGCAGAGAGAGAAACGGTAGAACAGCTTGTCCTTGCCGTTGGTGAAGATGTCGCTGACCTTGACGGCGCTGCCCTTGGTCTCCTCGAGAGCAAGCTCGATACCGCAAATCTCAGATGCGATTTCGGGGGAGTGCAGATCGAGGCCCTTGAATTCAGACAAGCTCTTCCTCGCCTCCTCGACGCGGCCCTTGTTGACAAGCCAACGCGGGGACTCCGGAATGGTAAAAACAGCAATCATGGGGATGATGGAGATGGCGATGGGAATGACAAGGGGAATGCGCCACTGCAGAGGAAGATTGCTCTGCTCGTAGAAGCCGAGGTTGATCCACGCCTCGAGGAGGTAGCCAAGAGAGATGAAGCAGCCGTCGAGCACAACATGCTTACCACGGTTGGCGGACGATGAGCACTCGGACTGCCAGACCGGGACAGTAGCAGAGAGCTGACCAACGCCCCAACCGAGGATGAAGCGACCAACGACGAACTGAGCAAGCTGGAAGGATGTGCACTGCAGGATCTCGCCGATAAGAGTACAGACGGCGCCGATGAAGATAACCTTGCGGCGACCGAGCCGGTCACCAATCCAGGTGCAGGTCAGAGCACCGAAGAGGGCACCGATGGTGAATGAAGCTACGACAGCACCCTGCTTGGTGGAGCGTTCGCTCTTCAAGGCTCCCTTGGCGTGAACAGTGTCAATCTCAGGGAAGTGCTTGGTCCAGTCGGCCAGGGACAGAAGACCACCGACACCAGACTGGTTGTATCCAAAAAGGACGAAGGCGGGTAAGACGACCAGCAGAAGCTGGCTCATTTGGAGGGACTTTCCAGTGAGACCCATGATGGTGGCGGGTATATGTGATGAGGAGTGAGTATAGGCAGGTGGAAAGATCAAGAGACTTCGTCGATCGGCAAGCACCAGAGATGCCTGTATAAACGAGACTCAGAGACTGAGGGAAAAGAATTGAGGTGAGCGCGAGCTACTTGTACTTGCTCTCTAGACCCCACATCATTGATCGTGTGGACATTAGCCATCACAGAGGGTCCACCTGGGGGATGATGGAGCTCTGACTCGAAGCGTGGTCCGATGTCTCTTTCGAGCTGGAGACAGGGCATGTCTGAGGCGAGAACAAGACCACCCCCATGTGGGCTCCACGCAGGGCCTCACCGGCGTGTGGAGAAAACAGGAACAGTTGTCACGCAAAAGCCTCACGCCAGGGAGCGGCAAAGCGAAACCCCGGGTGTGCGTGAATTTGTTGAGCGTGCAGGTGATGTCAAATGCCGGCTAGGTTGCAGCGCTATCGAGGCTGGCGTGGAGAGTCTAAGTGGGTCTCCTGAACGCTTTGCGGCTCTGCGGCCTCGGCGGATTTCAAGCCTTTGCTTGTTTCCATCCGATGATGTGAAGTGCGTTACCACGACGCGTTACGTCTTTCAAGAGTCGCAGGAGTCCCGCCAATCGCATCTATACGATAAATTGCTTCTGAATAGGCGCTTCCGTCAGTCGATCCAACAGTCGATCCAACAGCCGATGCCGGTTTGTCGCATTTGCGATGAAGGCTACCGGTAAGCCTGACAAGCTTAGCTTGGCGCCGCCACCGCGCAATGGTCTGTTCGTTATTCGTTTCTCTACTGTTTCCTGGCACCGCTGATCTGTGTACGATAATTTGGGGCAATTGCGTCCCTGCGTTCTCCCCGCTCCAGTGTGCCATCCCTTTGCATGTCGCCTTCTAATGACATCAGGTCACTGAAATGCAGGTGCTCCGACTTTGGCGTGCCGCGCCGCGAGGCGAGGCGACTCATCAAACCCGAGTCTTAGGACACCAAAGAGTCAGGCTGTTCGTGTCTGTGTATGCAGGGAAACCGCTCCCGCTCACACTGCAACGCTTCTCATGCTCAATCTTGGCTGGCACCCCACGAGCATTCCATCCACCAGGCCCACACCAGTGTCGACCGAAAGTCGGTGTTTGGTGTGCAGAACGTCTCCACCAAAACTACCGACGAGCCGACTCGAGGCTTGACTAAGACTAGCACTGTATAGGCTGCTCGTTCCTGGACATTTGTGGACGCGGGCAACAGCCGAAGGCCGTCTTACAGCTTTCTTTCTGAAAACCCAATCTTGCAGAGATATCACCAAACAGAGATTTCACACAACACGCACGCAACTACTGTCGAATATCAAAGTCACGACGCAGTTGCTGCCTCTCGTCGTCTGAGATGCAGAACTTTCTGGCGGAGATAACGTTCTACACTGTCGGGCTAGAGCTTCACCAACGTATGCGGCCGCGCATGCACAAGACGTCTTGGCTTCCAGCCCCCAGGCTTGTTCACACGTCCACCGAATGCGCCTCTGCCGCTGCCAAGCCCCGACATTATGCAATGTCGGACGTTGACACAATTTACGAGATGTGTCTGCGGCATCGCTGGAGTAGAGAGCAGGGCAACGTGTTGCGTGCAGAGACATGACTCTCATAGCAGCAGTGCGGACTTCCACCTTGGCACGCACAACTTTCGAGATCTCCCGATAGCGGCCATTTGCCAAGTGCTGAAAGGAAATCCTGCTACATGAGACTACGCGGAGCTTTGGGAAACATTGAAACTAATGCTGCAGTTTAAGTCCCAACGGTTCCCGTTTCTTCTTCAACACCAGATCATCTCGCGCGCGGGTGATTCGTAGCTTCCTCGAAATGATCGTCTAGCTTGTCCAGTAGCTTCGTCTCGAGATTGATCGTCCTCATCTCATCCGGTGAAGACGAACAGGGACTTCACACCCAGCGGGTGTCGACCACTCTGACGGGTCTTGAGCTAAGAACGAGGAGATTCTGGAAGCTTAGGCGAATCGTTCACGAGGTGCCCAGAACAGCCATGCACATTGCAACGCAACAGAGTCGATAGAACTCACCTTGGCAACCATGCTTGCTTTGACCAAGGAGCCAGCTGGCATTGGCTTTGGTATGCAAGCGCTCGCCGGTCGTTAGACGTGTGCACCAGCCGAGTTCCGTTCTGTTCGACAACTCAGCTTTGGTAGTGTTCAACGCGTCGTGCATGCACAAGACTCAGAAATGAGACCATGTCGGATGTCTGCATGCGCAAGCATCAGAGGTCGTGCTCAAACGCGCGCCCTCCGCACTCACCCTCACCTCCGGGACCCCAACTACCCCAACTTCGTCTCTACGAAACCCCGGAGCACGTAGGAAACAAATCGACGCACCTGAAGCCTTGCCGACCACACCCCATGGGTGGTTTCAACTTTCAAGCTCGCTGGTGGAGGCTACTGGAGGGGCGCTAGAGAACGGACCGGGTGCGTCAGGGAACACCCAGGAACACCCCGAAGTACCAAACGCCGACGAGATGACGACTTTCCCGCGCTGTGATCTGCTCAGCATGGCCGTGGAAGAACCGCCGATGCAACACGCGGGATTGCGTTGCAGACATCTAATAATTACGCGCAGGACCTGGGGCCCGGGAGCATGCTTGGAAGGGCGACTCCGCACTTTTCCCCCGCAGATGGCGGTGGACAAAGTTACTCCGCAGAGTTAGTGTGTTGATCAACAGCGCGTGTTTCGACATGTCTTGGGTGGTGATGATCATCTTGCGGTCTAACTTCTAACGTGTTTGTTCGGACTTTCGTGGATACTGCAATATCCAGCCAACCTTTTCTGCTGCTCTGGAGCTGTGCCGTGGCAGGTCCTGCAGATGCGCGACGCAGTCAGTCATCCTTATGCGACTTGCACTTGATGGCGGGGCGTGGTTGAGAATTGAAGGGCATTGGATCAGGCAAAGCTGTGGTGTGTGGATTCTCAAGTGGCTGGTGCGTGTGAGTGCAGTGATTGATCAAACACGCCTCCCCAAGAGCATGTAGGCTTCACCTGCAGTGATGTAGGCTTCACCTGCAGTGATGTAGGCTTCACCTGCAGTGATGTAGGCTTCATCTGCAGTGACGTATGCACAATCTGCAGTGATGTAGGCTTCATCTGCAGTGATGTTATGCGGTGAGATGCAGTGATGTTATGCGGTGAGATGCAGTGATGTTATGCGGTGAGATGCAGTGATGTTATGCGGTGATGTGCGGTGATGTGCGATGATGTTAGGCGGCGATGTGATGGTCATGTGATGCGGTGCTGCTGATAACCTTCAGCCTTGCAGGAACCGCGGCCTGCATTGACCATGTAAATGTTCAAGTCCAACCACCAAGCTCTCTCAACGCCTACACACAGCGCCAACACGGCCAATGCCACCGCGTCCCTTTGTCAACGACGCGCTCTGGCGCTGTCTCTGCCCCGGCTTCCCTCCCCATGCCACCGCCGCCCACCTAGCACGCGCCGCAGCGCCAACGGCCGATAGCTTCGTGTCCAAACGCAGCTCCCGACTGCAATGTCAGCGCAGCTACAGCGCCGCCGCGCAGGTGTCGCCCTTTTTCGCACAGCCGCACGTCCCGCCGCCAGGCACACGGTCGCAGTTCGCGATGCAGCCACGCAACGCCAAGGAGAAGACGCCGCTCGTGCACCTCCCCACGCACACGCTGTACGAAGACGTGCGGCACGCGGGCGCTAAGGGCAGCTTCGATGAAGTGATGCGCATCTGCAGGGTGCTCATCCAGGACCGCGGTCAGCGGCCCGATCCCGCCATGTACGCCGCGATACTGCACAGTCTCACGAGCAGCACGGACGGCACGGCGGGGAAGGTTCGGTCCGTGCTGGAGGAGATGGGGTTTTGGAGCGACAAGGCCGCGGCGGAGGGGGTGGAGACGGTCGAGCTCGATGTCAGAGGGTGCGAGAACGTGCTGCAGGCGCTCGCGGTGCATCCGGACTACCTGCTGCGGGCCGAGGTGCTGGAGTACATGCGCGAGAAGTGGTTCGCGCTCAGCGACCGCGCGCAGTGCTTTGTTGTCGCGGGGCTGCTGCGCGAGCGACTGTTTGAACAGGCGCTGGACATGCTGGAGGACATGTGTCGGAAGGAGGCGCGGGTGGACGAGTGGCTGTGGAGCGAGGCCATGTGGCTGCTGCTGGAGTTTGGCGAGGTCGAAGAGGCCTTCTACGTGCTGGGGCTGAAGGCGAGCGTCTCGGACGCCGCGACGGCGGGCGCGGCGTGCGGCGTGAAGCTGAGCCATGCGCTGTGGAGTGCGTTGCTCGATGCTGCCGCGCACCAACAGCTGGTACGCATCCGTCCGCACACACTCGCATCGCATCGCTAACGAGACCACCAGCACGATGCGGCGCGCACAGTCTGGACCACGCAGGTCCAGCCCGGCTACCTCAACCCGCCGACCGGCACGTGCGTGTCCGTCCTCTCCGTCGCCGCGCGCCACGGCGACGTGCACCTCGCGACCGACGTGTTCCGGGTGCTCACGGCGCGCGAGACGGTCTTCACGACGCACCACTACGAGCTGCTCATCGCGACGTACCTCAAGGCCGACGCCCTCTCCGACGCCCTCGCCGTCATGCTCATCATGACCGACGCCAACCTCAAAGTCGACGCCGGCACCTGTCACCCGCTGTACTCGTACCTTGTCCACGCGCCGGCCCCACGGCCAACAAAAACACTCAGCGCCTCCGGCTCGGAAACAGAGGAGCAACTCAGCATGCCCGTCCACGCCTTCACGCTCCTCCAATCCCTCGAAGCACAGGGCCGCAAGATCCCCACCGCGGCCGCAAACTGCTGCATCCAGGCCAGCATCGCGCTGGACGCGCTGCCAGACGCGCTCTCCATGTACAAAGCGCTGCACACGGTGTGCGCCACGGGCCCCAACACATCAACGTTCAACCTGCTGTTCCGGGGATGCGCACAATCCGCGCGCAAGGAGCTGGCCATGCACCTCGCGACCGAGATGATGGCGTTGAACCTGCAACCGGATCGCATCACGTACGACCGGCTGATTCTGGTGTGCGAGCAGACGGGGCATTTGGATGATGCTGTTAATTACTTTGAGGAGATGCGCGGTATGGGTTTGAGGCCGAGGAGGGGGACGTACGAGCGGTTGATGAATGCGCTTGTGGATCGTGACGATGAGCGGTGTGTTGCTGTGCTGAGGGATTATCGGGAGAGTGGGGAGGTTGTGAGTCGGGTTGAGCAGCGGGTCAGGAGGCGGTTTGTGGTTGGGGATGTGTAGACTCGGCCATGTATTACAACTCATGATGCCAATACATTACAACTCACGATGCTAATATTACAACTCACGATGCTAATATTACAACTCATGATGCTAATATTACAACTCACGATGCTAATATTACAACTCACGATGCCAACATCACAACTCACGATGCCAACATTACAACTCACGATGCCAACATCACAACTCATGATGCCAACATCACAACTCACGATGCCAACATCACAACTCATGATGCCAACATCACAACTCACGATGCCAACATCACAACTCATCACGCCAATCCAGCCCAATGCAAAGGCACTACGCCACCCCAAAGACCCCGGCAAACGCCTCGCCCTCCTCCATACTCAGCCCCCCGTCCAGAATCCCATGCGCCATGTCGACCGTCCCCTCGTCCACACCGGCCTCCAGCACCAGAGCCTCGCTAAACGCGACGCGCGCGAGGCTGACGAGATAGGCATGCACGCCCCCCAAAGTGTGGACGAGCTTGCTCTTGACGTCGAACCCCGGGTTGGTCGTGGCGATGTGGTGCACCAGCGATACGGTCGCGTTGATGGACGCCACGGCCGCGTCCTGCGTGGGGGCGAGGGGCGCTTGGTAGAGGCCGGCTATCACGCGGTCGAGGTGCTTCAGCAGCCGGCCCGTGCAGATGCGGTTCGAGCCCAGACGGGCGGCGCCGTGCGCGGGGACGGCGAGCGTGGACAGGAGCTCGACGACCTGCAGGCGCAGCGCGAGGGTGGCGGCGGCGTCGGCGGCGGCGTCGGCGGCGAGCGTCGGCGTCTCGGTGAGCAGGTTGGTCAGTCGGCCGATGAGGGCGTCTTCGCCGGCGGCCTGGCTGCCGGGCTGCGGGCTGATGGGCCCAATGGACGAGGGCAGCGCCGAGGTGGCGAGGATGTGCAGGGTGAGGGAGATTTGCGCCATGGGCTGCTCGGGGTTGAGCAGCATAATGGCAAAGTCCGAGGGGATGGACGCCCACAGCTCGGCCGCGGCCGTGTCGGAGAGGCCCACGCAGCTGGTGGCGATGAGGTGCAGCATGTCGAGACAGGCCAGGACGTCAATGTGCGCGGTCACGTCGCCGTGGCCCGAGGCGTAGAGCGCGCTGACGGCGTCGCGGCCGGCCTTTGCGGCTCTCGACAGCGGGTTCGCGACGAGGTCGATCGAGTCCACCATCAGCGGGACGAAGCGGGCTTTGATCGCGCAGGCCGTCTCGCACCGCGAGCAGGCCAGTACAAAGTGCAGCGCATCGAGCAGGACATTGACCGGCGCGTAGTGCTTCTCCGCCAGACACTGCGCCCAGAGCTGGCAGACGGCGAGCGCCATGTCCAGCGCCAGAGCGTGCGCGTCTGCAAACGTCTTGGCAGCCAGGGCATCGTAGACCATCGACGACAGCCGCCTCGCGGGGTCCGACGGAAACGCGTGCTGTGCGAGCGCCTCGAGCACCCGGTCTTTCCCGTTTGGCGCTGTGTGGGCCATGAGCCGATGGAGCAGCTCGAACCGCCCGTCGTCCCTCCGAAAGTAGTCCAGCAGCGCGGCGTCCATTGGCTCGCCGTGGGCCAGCTCGGCGTCCGTCTCGCGGCGCTGGGAGCGCGGCGCGCTCAGCTGCAGAGGAACCGGGCTGTTGTCGCCCGCGCTCCGCTTCCGCTTGGCCGCCAGAGCTGGCGTCGCGGCTCTCGGCCGCTCGCGGGCCCTCGACGGAGACACCGCGGCGACGTCGCCGTGGTCGAAGCCGTCGGCCAGGGGGCCTCGCGGCAGCCTCTTGGGTGTCGCAGCCGGGCTGACTGCGGCACTGGGCTTCGCCCTGGTCGCCATGGGCTTCCTGGTGCGCGGGGCCATGGCAGCGTCGCGCGCGTCGTGCTGGTGGAACAGGTTGCTTGTGGCGGCGTGTTCCTTGTCGCGACGCAGCTGCTCCATCTCGGCGCGCAGCTTCGCGAGCTCGTCGCCGTGCAGCCGCTGCTGGTCGGCCAGGTGGCGCTCGTGGCGGCGCAGCTCGGCATGGTGGCGTCGTCGGAGCGTGTCTGCTTCTCCGGCCTTGGTCTGCAGCCGGGCCTTGAGGTCGTCGGCGTCTCTCCTCTCGCGGGCCTGGTCCTGCTCCAGCTGCAGCCGTCAGCGCAGTCCGACGACGCCACAGCGCTGCCCACCTTTTTGATCCGCGAGCGCAGCCGGACGGGGTCTGCCTGCGACGGGCGCGGCGGCGCGACGGGCGACGTGTGTCCGACGCGACGGCTCTCGTCTACGGCGGCGCCCTCGTCGGGGGCGTCGGGGGCTTCGTCGGGGGCTTCGTCGTAGACGTCGGGGGCTTTGTCGAAGGCGTCGGGGGCTTTGTCGAAGGCGTCGGGGGCTTCGTCGGGGGCGTCGGGGGCTTCGTCGTCGAGGTTGACGACCTCGTCGTCGTCGTCGAGGCCGTAGTCGGATCGCGGCGCCGTCTGCGGCTGCTGCGTCGCGCGGATGGCGGCCGCCTCGAACTGCGCGATGGCGTTCGCGGGCAGGTCGTCGAGGCCATGGTCGGAGAAGTCAAAGTCGTCGTCGGCCGACATGACTGCATCGCACCCACTGTCGGGATTGCAGGGCCGAGTCGCAGGCCAAGTTGCAGGGCCGAATCGGAGGCCCGGTGAACGCGTCGCGCGGTCTGGCGCTGCCCTGGCTGGCGGAGGATGCGGAACTTCACATGCCGCTAGCCACGCCTGGGAGTCTAAGATGACGTTGCTCTGGCCCGCAGCTTTTCAACCCAACCGGGATTTGACCGCGGAAGAAGGCGACCACGGCAAGACCACCACCGCGCAAGACCACCACCGCGACAGACCACCATCGCGACAGACCACCGCCGCGACAGCCTACCGCCGCGTCCTCTCGCCGCCAACACGGACAAGCTTCTCTGCGCCGACCGCGTCCGCCCCCGGCCCTCGGCCCCCTCCGTCCCCCCCATGGCGCGTCCTCGCAAGGACGTCAAGTTTGCACATAGGAGTGCGAGCAATGGCCGCGCGCGTCGCGCGTCGATGAGCCTGTCGGACATGTCGGAGGCGGGCTCGCAGCCCGCCAGCCCGACGCGCAACGGCGCCCTCGACAAGTGCGCGGTGCGTCTGTCCGCGTCCAGAAAAAGGCCCCCCCGCTGACAATGGCAGGCACCACCCGCCCCCGCGCAGACGGAGTATGAGAAGAAAAAGGCAAACTTCATCGTGCGCACGACGTGGACGCTCGTCATGATTGGCGGCTTCTTCTTCGCGCTCGGCGCGGGCCATCTGTACATCATCGTCATCATCACGGCGGTGCAGGTCATCTGCTTCAAGGAGGTCATCGCCATCGCCAACGTGCCCAGCAGGGCGCGCAGCCTGCGCTTCACCAAGTCGCTGAACTGGTACTTCCTGGGCACGGCCATGTACTTTTTGTACGGCGAGAGCGTCATCTACTACTTCAAGCACATTCTGCTCGTCGACCGGATCCTGCTGCCGCTGGCCACCCACCACCGGTTCATCTCGTTTATGCTGTACATTATCGGTGCGTGTCGTGGTTGAATCGCGGTCGGCGCCTGCTAACCGTCCAGGCTTCGTCTTCTTCGTCTTCTCGCTGCAAAAGGGCCACTACAAGTTCCAGTTCACGCAGTTCGCCTGGACGCACATGGCCCTCTTCCTCATCGTCGGCCAGGCCCACTTTGTCATCAACAACATCTTCGAGGGCTTCATCTGGTTCATCCTGCCCATCAGCATGGTCATCACCAACGACATCTTTGCCTACCTCTGCGGCATCACCTTTGGCCGCCACCAGCTCATCCAGATCTCGCCCAAGAAGACGTGGGAGGGCTTCCTCGGCGCCTGGTTCTTCACCGTCATCTGGGGCGTCGTGGCCACCCACTTCCTCGCCCAGTACAAGTTCTTCATCTGCCCCGTCAACGACCTCGGCGCCAACATCTTCAGCGGCCTCGAGTGCCGCCCGAACCCCGTCTTCGTCTCCAAAGTGTACACGGTGCCCTTTATCCCCGAGGGCATCCCCGCCTACCTGCCCATCCCGCACAGGGTCGACGTCATGCCCGTGCAGTTCCACATGGTCATCCTCGCCACCTTTGCCTCGCTCATCGCCCCGTTTGGCGGCTTCTTCGCCTCGGGCCTCAAGCGCACCTTCAAGATCAAGGACTTTGGCGACTCGATCCCCGGCCACGGCGGCATGACGGACCGCTTCGACTGCCAGTTCATCATGGGCTCCATTGCATTTTTCTACTACGCCAGCTTCATCGCCACACACCACACCACCGTCGGCGGCGTCCTCGAGGCCGCCATCACCGGCCTCACCCACGACGAGCAGTTTGAGGTGCTGCAGATTTTGACCAAGAACTTGGTCAACCACGGCGTGATTGCGCCAGAGGTACGTCGCCTCGCGTCTTGACCACTGACGGATGCATCGACTGGCTCGACTGATGCATTGACTGGTGCATTGACTGACTTGACTGATGCATCGACTGGCTTGACTGATGCATTGACTGGCTTGACTGATGCATTGACTGACTTGACTAGGTTCTGGAGCATCTCCACCAGGTGGTCAGGCGGTAGGCGCTGCGTTGCTGTTGCGGTAGGCGCTGCGTTGCTGTTTTGGTACACGCTCTTGTCGGGTAATCGAGACATGTGACCACGTCAACTGTACTGTACCGTGCTGTACTGTACTGTGCTGTACCGTGCTGTACCGTACTGTGCTGTATCGTGCTGTGCTGTACTGTGCTGTACTGTGCTGTACCGTGCTGTACCGTACTGTGCTGTACAGTACTGTACAGTACTGTACAGTACTATGCTGTCTTGTATGTAGTATAGTATGTATACACTTCACGGCCGAAAACGGGCAGAATGTAGTCCATATCCACAAAGTCAAAGTTGGGCAAGGTGTAACGGAGGTGTAAGAGCGCTTTCACCGTCACCATGACCACAACATTACTACAACATCACTACAACATTACTACAACATCACTACAACATCACCACAACATTACTACAACATCACCTATATCACCACAACATCACCTATATCACCACAACATCACCTATATCACCACAACATCACCTATATCACCACAACATCACCTATATCACCACAACATCACTACAACATCACTACAACATCACCACAACATCACCTATATCACCCGTGTAAACGCCCGATGCTCTTAGATGGTCTTGGCCAGGTGACTTTTCTACGACTCTAGACGTTCTTGACTTCATCCTGACTTCATCCCAACTTCATCCTGACTTCATCCCAACTTCATCCTGACTTCATCCTGACTTCATCCTGACTTCACCCCAACTTCACCCAAACTTCACCCCAACTTCACCCCAACTTCGTCGCGACGGGTCTACAGCTTCGCCTTGGGCGCCTCGAGCGTAGGCATCATGATATCCCTGATATCGCCCGCAGCCTCATTCAGGTAGAAGCTCATCTTATCCTAAATGCCTCGTTAGCAAACACCCCACCCACTCAACGTGATGGGAAGACCTACCGAGCCCAAGCCCTTGGAGCACACATTAAACTGAATGCTGTTCTCGTTGATCATATACGCAAGCCCCCACCCATCATCAACAACCTGCGACCACCCGTATCCATTAAAGTACTCCGAGGATAGTTGCGAGGAGGAAATAAACCACGTGCTACTGTAGCTAAACGCTGGGTCCGTGTACAGCGCCGGCACAGCCTCGCCCTCCTTGAGACAACGCTTGAGTCCGAAAAGATGCCTATCGACGCCGCGGCCGTCGCTCGCGTCGCCAATGTATTTCACGTGGGCACCGAGCGCGGCGCGGAATTTCGCCACGCATTCCTCAGCGGTCGCAGAGGGATCGGCCATGGCGGCGCAGAAGGCCACGCTCTCGTCGCTGACGGTGCGGCATGTTTCCGTGCGACCCTCTTGGAAGCGGCGCGTCGCGGCGGATTCGTATGTGGGCCTGTTCTTGCCGTAGAATTTGTGGTATGCGAGTTGGATGATCATCTGCACGTAGGCGTCGGGCGAGCACTTGAATTTCTTGATCAGGCCCTTGCCGTAGCCCTGGTACGCCTGCACGCGCAGCTCGTGCGCGCCAATCTGCTGCGCAAAGTGCGCAGTTGCAGCGGCCATGTCCTGCTTGAGCTCTGCGTTGAGCTCGAAGCGCAGCGGCTTGGGGTTGGGCAGGTCGGAGCGGATCGAGGGGTCGTCAAAGGGCAGGGCGTCGGTGAAGATGAGCTTGCTGGCGTGGTCGTTGAGGCGGTGCGTCGGCGTGCCGTCCATGATCGAGTGCTCGCCCATGAAGCCCGAGGTGCCGTTGTCGTTGACGATGAACTGCAGCGGCTTGTCGAACCAGCGGTTGGCGCCGTCGCCGTGCCAGTACTGGTGTGCGCGCTCCTCGAGCGTCACGGGACTGGCGTCGTCGAGGCACACGACAAACGACGCCGACTCGATGGCCTCGATGGTCGCCGCGTTGACGGCCGAGGCCGCCTTGAGCTTGGGGTACACCTCGGCCCACACGTCGCGGTTCTGCGAGGTGAGGGTGCCGACGGGGTCCGTCTTGACAGCGCTCTCGTAGATGCGCTTGAACTGCAGCTCGAGCTCGCTGGTGTTGAGCTGCTTGCCGTTGACCTCGTGGGGGATCTTCCAGAACTGGTTCTTGCGCACGGCGATGATGTGCTGGTTCTCCTTGAAGGGGAACTTGACGCTGGTGTCGGCGGGCTTCTTGGGCACGCGGCTGCAGTTGAACATCCACTCGTACGAGCTCATGGCCATGGGCAGCTTCTTCATGTACTCGGGCTCCAGCTCGCCGTGGTCGACCAGCCGCTTGAACTCGAGCACCGCCGTCGAGATGGCCGCCGCGCGCTTGGCGGGGTTCCGGCGCTTCTTGTCGTCGCGGTGCGAGTAGAAGTAGCTGACGTAGGGCACGACGGGGTCGCGGTAGCCCATGTACGCCGCGTCGTTCCACCATTCGGAGAGCCAGTTCTTGATCTCTGGCCGCGCTCTGCGCTCTTCCAGGCGCTTCTGCAGCGTCTCGCCGACGCCGCCGGGCGCGACAAATTCGCTGACGGCCTTGGTGGTCGCGTCGAACTCGGTCGGGGAGAGCAGCGGGTGCACCGACTTCAGGTACCGCTTCGCCGTCTCCTCGAGCGTCGGCACGGGCAGTCGGGGCAGCGAGTCCTCGAACCGCAGCATCGCGCCCTTGCTGTGGTCCTCCTTGTAGCCTGCGCCGTCAGCTGTTGCACGTGATGGATGTCGACCGTCCTTACCCTCTGGCAGCGAAGACTGCTTCCTGGCGGGCGCCATTGTGATTGTCTGTGCATGAGTGAGCTCCAAGCGCGCGATTGACACGGCCCGTCTCTACGTACCCTGGGCGTCTGGATGTGGGTGACGGGTCTGCGAAGTATCGAGGCGGGTGCTCGCGCTCGCGCAACTCTGCTGAACATTACAAAAAGAGGGATGAAGCAAGGAAGAGCAGAGAGACAGCACGCCGTGAGAGGGCAGAATTTCTAGCAGGCTACGATGATCCTCGGCCAGAGTGCACGCGTGTCAGGTCGACCAGTAGTCGCTGCAGCCGGTGCGTCGTGAGCTCGCCCAGCCGAGGTCCAGGGATGTTGCCCAGACCGCCGCGTGACGTCGCTCTCGAGCGCCGCCAGCCCGGACGGCTTTCACATGCAGCGCATCAAGGCTGAGGTGATGAGGCTCGGCGGAGTTGATTCGGACCAGCGCGCTGCGCAACGGCTATCTCACCCGCAATACTACATATATCAAAGCAACGCTGTCGCTGTCGCTGTCGACACGTTCATGCCCGTGTCCCCGCACCCCCACAACTGAAGCGCACAGACAACATGGGGCCTGCAGAGCCGAGGCAGATGGCAGATGGCCTCACGGCTCCGTGAAGATGAGTTCGTACGAGCGACCTTGGACTTTGAGGTTGGACCTTCGAGACTGGGCTACCTCGCTGCTCAAGAGTCACTTTCAACGATAGAACGCTCGAGCAGAGTCAAAGGGTTGTGTGCTTTACATGTTCAGGTCACCTGCGACAATAGCGCCGCGGGGTTGTGGGTTGGTGAAGCTGTCTAGGTACTACCGTACTAGCATGTTGTTGAGGATGTGCTCTTTGGAGACGGCAGTCAAGCCGCCATGAATCATACCCGCGGTCATGGATAAGTTATAGGATCTGACTGGCATTGAATTCGTTACTCGACGACTACTTCTCTCACCACTCATTCGCTCGCACAACCGCCTCAAGCCATCAAATCACACCACTCCAAACACCGCACTCCCCCTCCTCCTTAGACTGGGCGTCTTCGTCCTCTCAAACTCCTCCTTAATACTCTCCAAAAGCCCCTCTTTCGTGAGTACATCAACCGCCACGCCAGCAAGGCTCTTCGCAACGACAAGGCTCTTCTCAAACGCCCGACTGCTACCCGCTGCCACCTGAAAAAGCCGCGTGTGCGGCCCGGTCAGCGGCGCACTCCCGTCCTCGTTGAAGATCTGGAAGTACGGGCTGATGCTCGGCCACTCGTGGCTGAGGTTGCCCTGGTCCGTCGAGCCGGAGGGGTCTTTCAGCTTGTCTGTCTCCGCGGGTGCGAGGGTGCCGCCCTGCTGCGTGAAGTACGAGGCGTAGCTCGCCGCGAGGAGGTCGTTCGTGACGTGGTTCGCGTACCCGTACGGTCTGATGGTGAAGTTGAGCGCCGCGCCCGTGGCGAGCGCACCCGCTTTGAAGCAATTCTCGACGCGCGTTGTGAGGTTGGCGAGCTGCGTGTTGTCGTTTGCGCGGATCTGGTACGACCCTTCTGCTTTCGCGGAGATGACGTTGATGCGGCTCCCTGCGCTCGAGATGAAGCCATGCACGCGCTCCGAGGGCCGCATCTGCTGCCGCATGTAGCTCAGCGCGCTGTTGGCGACCAGCAGCCCGTCTTGCGCGTTGATGCCCTCCCACGGGCTGGCGGCGGCGTGCGCTTCGAGGCCCGTGTAAGCCACGTCGACGCGGTCCGTGGACGTGGTTGTCATGTACGGGCTGTCGCCGGCGGATGTCGGGTGCGAGATGAGCGAGATATCGATTTTTGCGTCGGCGAAGACGCCGGCTTCGAGCATTTTGACCTTCCCGCCCAGCGATTCTTCTGCAGGCGTTCCGAAGAGGATGATCTTGCCGCCGAGGGACTCGCTGCGCATGACTTGTGCAGCGGCGAGGGCGCCGCCGAGAGATGCCGTGGCGATGAGGTTGTGGCCACAGGCATGGCCGAGTTCAGGGAGAGCGTCGTACTCTGCGTTGAAGCCAATGACGGGGCCGCCACCGTTGCCGTCGAACACGGCCATAAAGGCTGTCGATATGTTGCCGACCGATCGAGTGACGCTCCAGCCCTCCTGCTCTTCCATGAACGACGTCAGAAGCTCGTGCGCTTTGACTTCCTCATACCCTAGTTCTGGGTTCGAGTGGATCTCCGTGTTGATCGTTGAAAGCTCGTCCGTGATGGAGTCGACGTAGTCCGAGATAGCAGTGAAGTGCGGACTGGCGACTGTGCCATTGGCCTGGCGACTGATGAGGTGACTGCCTCCCTCCGCTATTACCGTGTGCTGACTGAGGATCAAAGCCAGCAGGCCCAAAGTTAGGACTGAGGGTGCCATGGTAGGAATTCTGCGGATCAAGTAGCTTTCCATGGTCAGTATGAGGGAATTGGTCAACTAAGGGGTGTTCAAGCCTTATATAACTTGGGTATGCGATCTCGGATATAGACCTCTCGACTGACTGGCGAAAGCCGTTGACTGCCGACGGATCGTCCTGCATTGCAAGTCATGATCCTTCCAGGCTCGGGACATTTTTTTTGTCTTGGAGACGGGCAACGTTCTCCAGCCCCAACGTCAGATAGCAACCTTCCTAAAGCGTCTCGAAGCATGGTAACTATGCCCCATCTTTGACCTCTTGGCTGCAGGTAAATCGTCTTGGTATTCTGTCATATCGGGCATGTTATCTGTAATGTTCCGACGTCGGCACTCAAATAGGCGACGAGCGCCTATCGCGACGTAGGATGTTGTGATTGAAGTTGTCGACGCCCACGCTTTGGCAGAGCGAATACAGAGTATCGCTAACTCGACAGTTAGTGTCTTGGCGCACGCATCTACCAATCCAAGTTCAGGAGATCAAACGGAGTATTTTGTGCTAAGGTACAGATCAAATCTACACAGGCCTGCTCCAGTTGCATCGCTGAAATGGCAAACACATGAAACCCGGCCTAGTCCAGTTCCGGTGACCATAACGTTCATTACTAGTACACCACAGCTCTTTTCACGCCCCATATGCAAGCATTTACGGGTTCTCGGCGGCGAACTTGACACCCTTGTTGATGTTGCCCTTCAGGTCCGCGAGGCAGGCATCGAGGAGCTTCTGCTCGTACTCGGTGATCTTGCCGACGGGGTGGATCTTCTCGACACCGTTGGGGCCGAGCTCGACGTTGGAGGCAAAGTACTCGACGCCCTGGTCCTTGTAGAGGGGAGAGTCGACAAAGGTGGGCTCGATGACGTTCTTCTGGCCCTGGGCAGCCTTGAGGAGCGACTCGGTGAAGCGGGCACCGGCCATGGCCATGGAGAGGGTGGCGGAACCAGCACCGTCCTTGGCCTTGACGACCTCGTCACCGCCGAACTGGACGCGGTTGACGTAGTTGTCGAGCTGCTCGCCGGTCAGGTTGTAGCCGGACTGGGAGAGGAGGGGGACGATGGTTGCGCCGGAGTGGCCACCGACAACGGTGATGTTCTCGCTGGCGGGGTCGTTGTTCTTGATCTGGGAGATGAAGCGGGAGGCGCGGACAACGTCGAGGGTGGTGACACCGAAGAGGCGCTTGGGGTTGTAGACGCCCTTAGCCTTGAAGACCTCGGCGGTGATGGGGACGGTGGAGTTGACCTGCCTGGGTTAGCGAAGAGGCGTTGCATGTGTGGAATCAGCGGGCGCACCGGGTTGGAGATGATGAGGATGTTGGCCTCGGGGGCGTGCTCGGCGGCGGCCTTGGCGAGGTCGCGGACGATGGAGGCGTTGGTGTTGAAGAGGTCGTCGCGGGTCATGCCGGGCTTGCGGGGCACACCGGCGGGGATGACAACGATCTCAGCGCCCTTGAGGGCCTCGGCGAGACCGGAGGGAGTAGCATCGTGGCCGCGGACCTGACCGTGTTAGCTGCTGTCTGTGGTGCTGGAGCGGCGGCGGCGTACCTCGCTCTTGGTGTTGATGTGGCCAATGTCGGCAGCGACACCTGCAGCGCGGTCAGTATGCGGTCAATGGCGGGTAAAAATGGCAATTGGCGTACCGGGGGCGAGGCGGATGTCGTAGAGGGAGAGCTGGCTGACGCGAGGGTTGAGCTTGAGGAGGAGCGAAAGCGGCTGGCCGATACCACCGGCGGCACCGAGGACAGTGACCTTGGAGGACTGCAACCACTGTGTTAGTGCACATGCTCTCAATGGCATCCGTTGGCGTGTCCGTCCCGCTGCGAAAAGCTGCTGAACAGCCTCGGAGCTGCCGGGGGTGTGCGTACCTGGCGGGCCGACGCAGAGAAAGCGCGGCGCTGGGCCTGGGCGAAAGCGTTCCTGGCAGCGAACATGATGGACGTGATGGGTTGTAGAGGAAGATGAACTGGGCTGGAATGCAGATGGTTGATGGTGGAGCGAGAGATTTGCGATGAGAGCATCGTGCCAAGCCGGTCAGTGCTCCCTCTTCGTGTTGTTCGGAGACACGGACGACCTGTCACGCCCCGCCCACCGTTGCTGTCAACACGTCAGTCCAAGCACCCTTCGCCCAGCGCGACACGGTCTGCTATGTGCCTCCTCCACGACTCGAACCTGTGGGGAGACCACGCAGACTGGCACATTCATACTGAAAACGCAGGCTTACGTAGGCTCAAATGGACAGAGTCATAAACAACACAAGCATCGACCACCATAATGTACACGAAACCGATGCATCAACATCAGTTGCACTGTCGACTAAACCCTCCTTCTCAATCTATCATGCTGAAGACACAGGAACAATTCTTGACGCGTTGGGAGCGGCGCACGTGTTGCTGGCACGAGAGGGGCGAGCTACCAGTGAGGAGATAAATGACTCGAGTTGCAGGTGGCTGGGGAACGCAGTGTGACGAGGAAGCACAGACGAAAGGGTGGCACGATGCAGTAGTGGTTGGTGTTTTATTTTTGATGACATTGGCATCTGCCAAACGGCTTTTGGTATTGGATACGAAGAGAGAATGGACCGAGACCCCGAACGCCGAAGCTATGAACACAGTACAAAGGAGATGAGCTGACAAAAGCCCCACAGCGAGGCATATCAGAGCCCGTGAATATAGGTACAAGAATGAAAGATTAAGAAATGCCGCCAACGTTTGTTCAAAACCGAGGCCATCGGTAAGTGACTCTCATCGGGCAATGCTGTATCAGCTCAATACCATATAGCAGCTAGTGGCCTTCAAGATGGAATCGTTGCCGCGTGTCGCTCCGGATAACGAAAGCAAGAGCTCAGTACTCAGACCAATGACTCTTCTCCCCAACCTTCTCAAACTGCGTCTCCCGAAACACCCGTCTTCTCGCACGCTCCTCGCGGCCAAAGCAGCAGAAGAAGCGGACAAAGCCGTTGCGTTTGCGTGGCGTGAGACCGTCGAGCAGAGCATCGCTGCTGGAGTCGTTTGATGTCGAAGACGCAGGACTCAAGGGGATGGTCGCGTTGATGAAGATGAGCGAGTCGTGGTTGCGGTGCCGTGTGTTTGGTGTCGGTTGCTGTGATTGGCTTGCGAGTGTGTCCGAGGATGAGGATGGTGTGGAGTCTTGGGCTGGGAACGATGTGTCGAGTGGGAGCAGCATTTGGCGATTTGCGCGTGGTGATGTCGGTAGGCCAGTTGGCAGTGTTTGTGTGAATGACGACATTTTGGTGCTTTGAGGTTGTCGAGTATCGTTCAAGCTTGAGAAAGGTTCAGACTCAGCTGTTTAAAGGGGAACAACTTGAATGATTTGGGTAGATGTGACGTTTCAAACAACCTCTCTTCAAGATTCAAGGCTTATTATATCAAGGAAACAATGTTTGTACAAGCAAGGATCGCTCCAGGCGTCGAGGGGGAAGATTGTTTATGCCGTCGTGCGACCTGCAGTGACCGGTGTATATGATGTTCAGGGGGCAACCCCACGCTAAGGCCGAACGCTTGGCCCCGTGTTCAAGGGTGCGCGGCGTAGCGCACTTCCGTGACCTCGAAACTCTTCCGCTGTGGCTGTACGTCTGATAAAGGCAGTCTGTTACGGATCTGTGGTCGCTGTGGTCTCCGATTCCTATCTTTTTCGTCGTTCTGCGGGGGCAGCGATGCCGAAAAGGAAGCTGTGAATCTCACCGTCGCGTGCTGATTGCGCATCTGCAGGCTTAAGGCTTCCTTTCACGAGCCTCTGAAACGCCCTCTCCATGCCACAAGGCTGAGATCAATCTACAGACCACATGAAGGGAGCATGACAGACAGGCACCGAGGTATGCCCAGGAAACGAGGTAGCAGGGCCGCTCGTTGGGTCGCTATTGTCGTCTTCTGCACCCCTTGAAACACCAGCAACGTCGCATGTTTTGGGGGGAACGAACGCCGAATCACTCATCCTCGCATTGAGACCGAGATTGACACCTCAGGCCGCCGTTTGTTGTTAATAGCGAGCCACCTCATGCATCCTTTCGCTGAAGAGACCCTTTCTGTTTTTTAAGGCTGTAGTGGTGAAACGGCTTGATCGGAGAGGGCCTCAGGGCGGCGTGAGGGGTCGCCACCAAGGTACCGTCTCCAACACCACCATCAAAGGGATTTAGATGCCAACTCAGTTAATATGTGTGAATCTTGCTAGGCAGGGATGGAAGGCTACTGCACGGCATGTCTCGTTGTGTCATCCCTTGATGGATCATGGTCTACCCCCATTTCTGCGGCTACTTACCTGTACGTTGAGCCGGGAATTGACTACGATAGTATTGAACCCACGGGTAACCTAGCTTGGCGCAGTGAGGTGGGCTGTGTTCAGCTGAAGGGTGCTGTTGTCATGGTGGTGGTGGCTTTGCTCTGGCAACCAATCGAGTTGTACAGCATTTGCATGCCCTGCATGTGGGTCCGCATCTGCAATTCAGATGTATCTGAACGACTATCGCTGCAGCAACAGTTTGTGCGCTCCATGTTCACCTTCCACGACTTCAACCCATGGCGCAGGCAGATCAGATCACTACAGCAACTTCGCCAGAAGGCGTAAAAACGTTTTCGAGTTCGAGTACAGGGGCAGAATAGCTGTGAATGGGTCGTCAAGTGCTCTTTCCACAATGCGACGAGCTCTGTAGGGACCTCAATTACCACCAGGAGCCAGAGAAGCCGCACTGCTTTCGAAGTCGCACAGCGGATAGAACGCTACCAGATGTGCCTCGGGTATGTCTAGACGCACCGTATTGTGTAGGGGATCTCAACCTACCAGAACTGATCCAGTTGGATAAAAAGCTCTAGTGGACGGGTCCATCGCCAGGAATTATCTCCCTTACTCAGCAACCGGTGCTTGACCGAAGGATACAGCTCACTGAGGACCCTGCAGTGCGTTGTCTGTGGGTGGAACGGATTGCATATCTGAAAACGTTGCCCTCATACCCGACTTCTGTTGCTTTCTGGGAGTACTTATGCGATGTTCCTGTCGAACAGGATAGCCAAGACGACCGTGGCTTATCGTTACGGTCTGGTATCATTTGACGATGGTAGCACGACCATTGAGGCCTTCGTTGCCTTCATCTCTGCGTTCGATTCGGTACCGAACAAAGCTATCAGCTCTCGCTGGCGCTACGATCTGCTCAAGCTCGATGCAGTGAACTTCCACTCAGTGATACGCCTTCGGCAACGGCATCTAGATCGCGTCGGGCCGCGCTTTACCGCATACTTCCAACGGCTCTTCCCCGTGGTGCTGTTCATTTTCGCATTATTCAGCGTGGCTTTGAGTACGATGCAAGTCGTCTCTAGTGCCAGACAATTGTGAGACACAGAAAAAAGCGCTGAAGGAGACGCTGGGCGTACTTGTGTGGTTCGCGACCGAAAGCATTGGCTAGAACATTGCGTTTCGACTGCTGTTCGTTGTTTGGTGGATCTGCGCCAGCAGTGTCGAAATTTGGAAGGAGAAAAAGGTGATCAACGTATGCCGAAGGAGTCCAGAGCTGACAGTACGGCGACGCCGTAGGCTGCTAATAAATCCTTAGGTCGCGTTGGGTTATCGTGGTGTGACACTTCGTCCCTTCCCAAGCTCAGTCCTAGCGATGACGTACTCCGCACGTAACTCAAGTTTCAATCGTACAACTTCACGACTACCACACTGCCACGATTTCACCTCGACCACGTTTCGGCCGAATCCAACTGCTGTTCTGCTCGGAATTGCCGACATGATGCCAGTCATTGCGCTCTACAGTTTTGAGTTTGCTAAATCGTGCTCAGGGCTGCATTGCAACACGAGATCAAAGGCGCTCTTTCATCACTGCTGATAGTACCAGCAAACAGAATACGACGGCACCTTCGAACATACATACAAAGGCGGGTATTACAGCCTCTTGACCTCCAACTTCGGCTTCTGTGGGAACCCCTGTGATACTGCCTGGGTTGTTATGCAGCACTGCCACGGAAGCTCGAAGTACCCAGGAGAGTTGCTGTGTTTGAACTACTTTGAGGCCATTCTTGGGGACCAAGCCGCCTGGATTCATAATGTAGACGGCGCTTCAGCTCCTCGGTATCCGACAACCTGTATTATGCAAAGTGCACTATTCTCGGCCCATGGCCACTTTATCCGGGTCAGCATATCTAGGCCTCTCGAGCTGCGGAATTCGCTATAACAGCGTCATATTGCAAAGGTCCCATGCAGAAGACGAGAGTCGGGGACAACGACGATACTGCGCTTGCTGCCTCCGGGTCTATAGTTCGTGGCACTGTCCTTGGCTTTCTAGGGCGCAAGCCTGTCCAGCAGCAAGTCTGCCATGGTAGCGGCATTTTTCTTGCATAGTCTGATCGAGAAAGAGCTGAGAATCGGCTGTAGCGTGCTGCTCACCGGTAGCAGAATGACACAAGAGATGGGACTGGAGCTCAAAGCTGACAGAACACATTCGCTGTGCAACGATTACTTCTCTGGTGTATGCAGATTGGCATGGATCGGCAGGCTATCCCGTCGTCTGAGTCGATTTATTCAGGAGTCTCAGCATTATCAGCTGCCAAAACATTCATCCATCATCCATCCAACCGCTTATGGCATATCGAGAGTGGAACTTAGAACGCTGCTGAACACCTCGACCCATAGGTCCGGAACATTGCCCAAGACTACTGTGGCTTGCTCATGACAGAAAGGCGGCTCTATGAACCTTGATTGAGGGTGGCACACGCTAGTCCAGCACGCTACTGAACGATATTGCAGCCACTGCGACACATCAGCTGTCTGTGGCACACAAGCACCTTATCCCACCTCGCCAAGCTGGGCAATCTTTGTTCTTCTAAGATCATATCAATGACTCTGGCCAGCCTTACTCATATCATCCGTATGCAGGCGGTAACAAAGCCCTGGCTCTTTAGGAGGTGGTCGGAATTCGATGTTGACTGGGGCGGGCTGTCCTAGTCGGCGTAGGTGAGATGTCACAAGCAAGCCACAAGATCACACCACTGACGTCGCCTCGTGAGCTATAGGCGTCTAACTCTACGCCTCAGTCACTGCTATATAGATCCGCGATCTACCGAAGACCTCCAGTGCGATATTTGTATACACCATTACACTTCCACGTGGCGTTGGAGCTGACTGAACTCAGCTCGTCCGGTTGTTAGGTGTCCGTGACACCCACACAAAATATCAAGACCTCATCAGACCAGTCTTGCGACGTTTCGCTCGCTACAGGTCGTCAATCTTCCACATAATCTCAATCAGGGTGTCAGGCTCGATAACAGACTTTCCTCCAAGTAGGTGTACCAGCTACAGCTCAAGAGAAGGTCCGCTGACACGAAAAGCCCACGTTCAGGCAGAACTAGATCAACCCCTTCAACTATGTCCATCCACAATGAACTCTTCACATCGAGCGAACCCAACATCGACGATGTCCATGCAAACGCTTCATCATCGAATTTGGACCCCTTCAAATTTAGTCATGGACTCACAGGGGTAGATCAGCCTGCCAACTACCTCTTTATCAACATTTTGATAGCGACGTTATTACTTCCGATTGTTCTTGCATTTGCATATCGGAGTGTCATTTACCTACGAAACGACCGTCGTCGTGTCTCAGTTATAAACTCCTGTAGGGGCCAGAATTTCTGGAAGAGAGACAGATACTCCATACTAGGCTCGCTGAAGAGATACTTCCTCTATGCCCCGCTGATGGGTGATCGACACAGTCGCAAGCTACAGGTGACGCCCAGCGTCAGTGCCAGAGCGTTGCCCACACGGCCACAATTCCTTGTCATCATAATCTACATTACTAGCAACGTTGCCTTCTGTCTAGCGATCCCAGAACGACCTACAGCACAACGATTTGCGGAGCTTCGAGGACGATGCGGCGCCCTTGCAGCATTCAACTTGATAATTACGGTCCTGTTTGCCCTCCGCAACAACCCGCTCATCTGGCTATTGGGAATCAGCTACGACACATTCAACCTCTTCCACCGTTGGGCCGCGCGACTGGTCGTCCTCGAGTCAACAGCTCACGTTGCCGCATTCGTTTACAGCACCTACCAAGTCACTTATGAGGGACAGAATGGATGGGCCAGCATCAAGTGGATTATCGAGCAATCGGTGTCCTACAGATGGGGTCTCGCCGGCTTTATCGGTTTCATCTTCCTACTACTGCAGTCACTCGGACCGCTCCGTCGAGCTTTCTACGACACGTTTCTGACTCTGCACCGTCTCGGGATTATCGTATCAATATCCGGAGTCTATTATCACATGGCAAAGCATGCTCTGCCGCAACTTCCTTGGGCTTACGTCGTCGTCATATTACTTGCACTGGAACCTGCGATAAGGATGGGCCGTGTGGTATACTACAACTTCGCCTGGAAGCAACGCGCCTGGACAAGAGTCGTGCTTGAAGCTTTACCCGGAGAAGCAACGCGAGTTACCTTCTCGATACCTCAATCGTGGAATGTCAAGCCAGGGTCACACACCTACGTATACCTGCCACGAGTAGCACCACTCTCCTTACACCCATTCTCGATAGCTTGGCATACTTCTTCCGGATATACCAGGTTGGACTCTGAAAAGCTCCAATTGAGCGTGGCGGATCTGATGGTAGAAGATGGTCCAAGCACGATCTCGTGTATCGTCCGCGCGCGTAGGGGTATGACCCGCTCGCTGTACGACAGAGCGTCTGAGGCCAAGACGGACCACGTCGAGTTATGGGGTGCGATCGAGGGACCATACGGTGGGTACCATAGCCTAGACTCGTACGGTACTGTCGTGCTGTTTGCCGCAGGTGCCGGCATCACACACCAGCTGTCATTTGTACGACACTTGCTAGCGGGGTATCACCACAACACTTTGGCTACGAGAAAGATCGTGCTTGTGTGGTGTATACCGACTATCGAGTGTGTTAAGTGGATATACCCCTGGCTTGAGGAGCTTGCAGCCATGTCGGACTGCGCCGACATCGTGCAGATACAGCTGTATGTATCGCGCTCGACTTCGCAAGCCGCAGAGTCATTGCCTTTACCCATCAGAGCACAGATTTTCTCGCAGAGATGTGACCCTCAGAACATCGTCGATGAGCAAATCCTAGTGCAAGTTGGCGCCATGGTAGTCACAGTGTGTGGACCTGGAGGCTTCAACGACAGCGTACGAGCAGCTGTGAGACGCCGCGTGGGTTTGCGTAGTATCGACTTCTTTGAAGAGACGTTTTCATCTTGAGGGAGAAGGGGCGCATCGCATGACAATATTTCCGATATCTTGAGATCTCCAACTACCTATAACGAGATTCGGCCTTCGGACAGCGGCCTGGTCGACAGTTCTGTGTAACACAGTCATATTACTGGCTTAAGTGGGACCGCGTACAGTACACATTGCATATTTTGGCGTTTCTGTGTCGACTCACTTATTGTGTTTGCTATTTGGCGTTTCTTCATCTGATCATCTTCGGGCAATGAATGTTTTGAAGTTGAATGATCTCGATAGGCGAAAGTGTTGAGCAAGAAGTAATTAGATTTCTCTGTTGAGCTGTTCTCAAAGCCAGCCGGCTTATATACTGCTGATCCACTGAAATGGACTAGCTTACTCCAAATCCTAATTCAAGCATCTGGAGCGGTCCGCTGCTCATCCCAATCCATATCTGCTGCGACAGAATGCGTCTGACATGTTGGAAATAACCAGGTTCAAGAAACTGCTACGCACGTCCAGACCCTGAATCTGGGGGACTATGTGGAGAGCCATGGTTCGGAATTGGAAGCGATAACCCTGTCGCATCTCCGCACTTGGTCTAACCCATAGCCAATTTTTGAATATATCTCACTGCTAAAACAACGATCGTTGATCTGTTCCGCCGCCATTCACTACAGCCTTTTGGATGTACAACATTCAGCCAAGACTTGTCACGTGGCCAACATGACATCCACGAGACAGCCAAAAGCATTCTCGCCAGTCGACGAACTTCCTTCCCGTCGTCTAGCCCCAGTGTGCTTGTATATCGTCGTTGAAAATGTTGCGTCTGCGACAATCGACCAGAAGAATTGCTCGATCGTCACTCCCGCACCGGGAGACCTCCGCGCAAAGCTCGATTTCAAGTGCGAGGACCTTACGCGGAGCGATCTGCACACACACTTAATACACAGCAACTGCTCAAATTTAAGTACGAAGTTCATTTCTGTCTTTGAAAACGAAGGTGCGTCGCAACTCATTATGGCTTTTGACATCAAAATTGCGCTGACAAAGATGAAGAGCTCGCGTTGGAAGCGCATCCATTTTGTGCTTCAGCACTTAGTGAGAGTGATAGAATGACACCTCATGCAACAAAGCTGATCGTTGAAACTTCAAAGTTGCAGGCAGGCTGGATTGACACACCCTCAGGGAGGATCCCCGTCTGGCTTGAACATGGCGATTTGCCAATGATACCTAAAGGCGTGCTGTACATGAGAGCAGAAGCGATAAACGCTTTTGATGCCAGCATTTGGATTCGACTCGATGAGGTCAGAGAAAGCTTTGGCTTGAAGCCGAACGAAGGAGACAAGGGAGAGTGGCTCGCTTGCGGCTTCATCCCAAGAAGCATGGTAGCCGCACAGGTCGCCCTGCAAGACTACCAAAGACGACCAGATCTGGCTCATGCGTTACCAAGTGAGTCAGGCGCCTCTCGAAGTGGATCCATCAATTCGATCAGATCCATCTCTCGCGACGAACAAGAGGAACATATAAAGGCGCAGATCCTCAGGAACAAAGCATCACGAGAGGATTTGCGTCGAACGAAAGCAGCGTCCAAAAAGGCCAGCCATGGCAGAGAGGACCAGCTCCTGAGGCAAGCTATTAAAAACAGCCAGGTTAGTTTCAATCCAGAATCATTACGAAATTCTACTGACATGAACCAGAGAGCCTCGAGAGAAGACAACGAAAGCGAGGTTATCGGAAGACGTTCGAATGCGACATCGACCCATGTAAAGCCACAACAAGCCACATCTGATGTCTCAATTGAAAGCTCGACCGAAGAATTCGCTGACTCCTCCCGTTACGCATCGGTCCGCTCATTCAAGCTACGTGAAGCGCTCAAACGGAGGGAGGCATCGAACCCGATCGAATACCTTCGGAAAAAAAACCTTACGCCGGTACAAGGGCTTGGAGAGCTGACAGAGAATCGCACACACTCGCTCCCCACGCGAGATTCACTAGGCGGCCGTTACCCCAGAGCAGCTGGCGACGGGGCAGCGTCCCAACAAGAGACATCGGCTTTGATCCAATTTCGTGAGCTTTTGCTCTGCAAAGGCTCTGACAACGATTCAACCTCTCAGTATTTCGAAACACTGTCTTCGGTCAGAGATCCTGACGAAGTTTCGGATCCGCTCCCACGATCAGAACGACTCCGCCGCGCGCGGACAGGAAAGAGAGAGGTTGGCTTCTATGCACTTGGTCAGAACCCCAGGTTAGAGTCAGGCGCAAAGACGCACGCAGGACCGGACACCGAAGACACTCCACAAAATATCTTGGACTACGCGTTGGGCGTCGTTTCTTCGGTCCTGGATGAGATAACGCAACACCGAGTCAAATCCGCTTTGCATGAACCCGCAGTTCCACCAGCGGACGAGGAGATGCCTGGCTATGAAGCTGACATATCTGACAACCACAGCTCTGCCTCAGAGCGTACCTTCAGTCGTAGAACAAGGAGGAGGTCGCAACATTCTCGTTTGACTACACCTCTGAGCATATATGATCATGGACAAAGAACTCAAACAAGAAATTAGACGCAGCAAAAATCGCGAATTGATTGGTCAGTATTCACAGGAGCATCTGAGCATTATGAAGGCCTCCCTGTTGCGCTAAGAGGCAACAGAACCCCCGCGAGTCTGCAACGTCATCGTAATGTACTAGACGTAGTTCGATACCCTTCACAACGGCTGTCAGTGATATCTTCTCTGAGCACTTTTACACCACCTACTCAATTAAGTTACCGTCAGGATCACGGCAATACACACTTCGTAGTTTCCCCACAGCCCCAGTTCGCTCCACAACCTTGCCACTTTCCAAGACCTTCGAAGAAGGATCAGCATAGCAGGCACACACCAGTATAGCAGAATCTCACCTCAATGCCATTTAATTGCCAATTTTTCAGGACCTCATCAATTGGATAGTCTGTAACGAAACACAAGTCTTCAGATCCTGGCTGGACATGTTGTGCTTTCGGCTCAAACTCTTTCCCAGACTGATGAAGGTTCAACTTCTGATTTCCAAAGCTCAAAGCATGGCGCTCGCCTCCACTCGCTTCGAAGACTTCGTGTTTCATACCCAATCGCTTCGTGTAGAATTCGATAGTCGTCGGAATGTCTTTAGCCGTGATGACTACGTGGTCGAGCGACTTGACGGAGAATGCAGCCATCTTCTGATGATGCACAGTGACCAGACATCGTGATATAACACCGAAGCCGCGGCGACTCAGGCTGATGAGCATGTTGACGTGGTTGTTGTGACGGTGCATTCCCCAGCTTCGGGATGGAGGTCGCGCGTCAACGCGCGCGGCCAGACTCGCCGATTCCAATCCTTGCGTCATCCCGTGCCTGCATTTCCTAATTGACATCATTCTTTGTCGGCTCCGACATCATCTTTCACAACCGTCGCCACTGAAGCTACATCACACTTTCTCGAAACAGAAATTCTTGAACTTCCGTCGAGCACTGCGCAAAACTTGATTTCGAATGCTTCGAGACATACTTGCCAACTTTTGAGCCATGAGCGAGCGCCCGAGGCCGGATTAGGCCCGAGACTTCCCGATTCGGATGTACGATGGTCGGAAAAGGTCATTCACGACCGTGTCCATAAGAAGCGGACTCCCGCTGTGGATCGCACAGGGGCACTCGATGTTCCCGTGTGGGGAAAGGTCCTGGATGTCGAAGCTCAGAACACGCACCTACGCTGTGATGCAAATCAGGACGGCAACAGCCACGGAACTTCTTTGTGAGCATCCCTGCTCAGCTCACTACGGCGGATGCACAGTGAAGTCGCGCAGATGGGAACAAAATGTTCGAGATTACCCCATTCAGCAGTCGTGCCGCCCGGTACTGCTACATACCTTGTCAGGCTCGTTGGGCATCGTTCCGTCCGTAAGACCGCATTCAAGCCTGCACCGAAATTGCGCCTATTGGCTACATCCTCGACTCGCAATCACTTGAATACGCAGGTATCGAATTCCGGACTAGCCAAGACATCTATAGCCAGGAGCAGCATCCAATTGAATAGAGCGCGAGTAGACATAGTATAGGAACTCCACTCTCAGACAGCACAAGAGACCGGTCGCAGGTCAGGGAACCTACAAAGTGGGAGTCTGTCAGTGGCCATCTGCAAGCATCTCGCAATCTGGAAGATCTTCTGGACGCAACAGCGATCCCGCTGATGTGGTCAAGTCTTCTGTTACATGAGCTGTGCCATAGACTCGCACGCATGTCACGCATTGAGCAAGGCTTTAGTAGCAGACAAGCGCAAAAAATCGCTTGAATTAGTAATAGGGCGGAAGATGATTTGGCTGGTATACCTGTGATGGGAGCAGGGAGCAAACCCATCTTTCTCATTACCAGCGATTTCTGAGAGTAAGACGAACATGCGCTAATAAGCGCAAGATTTGGAAGATGGGGTAAGTAGAGTGTGCAAGTCTCTTCTCTCGTGGTTTTGAGGATGCAGCTCAGCGATTAATATCAACTATGCAACGAATGAGCATCGCGAGTTTTGTACTTTCGCAAGAAACTGCAAAGATCCAGGCGTGCCGCAAGCGTTAACGTCGTTGAGACAGAAATGTTAGAACACCCCATCTTGCTTCTTTGACGACTTTTGATCAGTATGGAGACTGAGCTCGCAGGGACGCAACAAAGCAGAGGAGGCGAAATCATACGCGCAAGCGCATGAAGTTCTGGACAGAGTACTAGGCGCATGTGATAAATACTGCAAAAAAGCAGGCTCGGGAGGTACTCATGCTACCTGGGGATTACGCCTAGTTGATGTGCGTGATATTGTGATAATCGTACCCTGACGAAGTATTGCCGCGATGAGAAGACTGCAGAAGGACAAACTGGATGCCCATTTCGATGTTTTGCGTGATAGCAACTGCAGATATGATCTCGAGCCATCACTTTTTATCGCGGAGAGAATAGAGCACAGTCTTCTCGGGTGCAAAATACGAGCAAGAAGAAGAGGCGCACATATAGAAGTGGCGTATGGCAACTTGGCCCAGGATTAGAATACATCACCTTTCCTTTCCTGCATTTTCTTGTGAACGACGTGTAGATTGTGCGATAGATGAGTACAGACAGCCCATCTGTGCAATTTATATCCGCAACCTCGAATCGTCACAGGGAGCAGCAGACATGATTGCCGAGTTTGTTGGTTTTCAGAAGAAGGAAATATAGCGTTTTGACTTGAGAAGATGGGAGCAGAGAATCTTGAGCTAGAGATCTGATACGGCAAAAAAATGGAGGACAAGCTGCAGCCCGAAGCATACGCGTTGATGCAAATCGAGAAACACGGAAGGACTGACATCTCACGAGACATTAAGGCCTTCGAAGAACAGGCAGCAACAGCATTGGCAAATGCCATATCAAATCGGACAGTAGACATTCCATATTCTTAGCTGGCATTATTCGTTCTGAAAGGCGGGAGACACGAACACATGGGGATGACTGAATCGGGGTTGGAGCAGAGAGAGCAGAAGGAGACATGCCGCTTGCTAGAATTAAGTTTGGAAGAAAGCCGTGAAGAAGTTGCGCAGGGAGTGAAGGAAGAGCCAGGCCCAAATGTTGTTTACATGCAGTCTGATCACAGCAGATAAGGCCTTGAGAAATCGAACATGCGGCAAGTTCAGTTTTAGCGAGTATTGAGGGGATAATACTGAATATGGATAAGCGAGCGACATAGAGCTGCTGCGTTGAGCTTTGAAAGACCGGAGTGCGAGATATCACGGCTGTGCTGGAGATCTGAGCCTGAGGGAAGGTGTGCATATACTACGTCAGGAGCAGCTTTTTGAAAAAGGAAGCAAAAACCAGTCCATCTAACTTCGTCATTGTCTGTTTTGAATAATTCATCATGGGGGTAAACTGTCTGTAGTCGCTGAAGCATTCCAGCGTCTCAAAACGTTTTCGCCAATAGAGAGAACAAGGCATGTTTCTCACATGATATAGATGAAGAATGAGGTAGTATATATAGATAGTATGCAGTTAGACTTCAGAGCGTCCAGAAACTCTTGGTATGCAATTAGAGACAGAGGCAGCTACAGACATGTAGTGATCGTTGCACGGGTTTTGGACGAGAGAGAATGATGCAGACAAAGAGCATCTAATCGAAGCACTTCACGGAAGATATTCAAGGCAGATCATGCTTGAATCATATCAGAAACGCTGGTAACATACTTCAAATTCATTTCAAGCACGCGGAGTAGGAGTGCGCATGCGGAACTAGAAATTGCAGCGAGCAGTCACATATGCGACCATTCGCAGTACGTTAAACTGGGAGGAGATGCGGAAATGCTTCGATCCCTTTGCAAGTCTGAGAACCAGAGGAATGCCACATGAAGATAACATGGTGCCATTCTTAGAGGTCGAATTTGAGTGGCTGGTAGCATAGCACACCTTTCGATGCCAGTGCAGCACACCCCAGTCCCCAATTTCTAGTCCAGGAAACCACATGACTTCAACATGTTCGACTTCAGCAGCCTGTCATGTAAGAGTAGGAGGGTATATATCATTTCTCGCAATATCATTTTCAGGAGAGATGCGCAGACATAGCTTCTATGTCGAGATGTTCTTCAGAGGGGAGGAAGCACATGGGGCAGAACCATCAATATTTGAAAGAACTTCTTTCAGAAGGCTGATCACAGGTACGGAGGTCAGACCATGCTGCACCTTTTTACCAATGGTGTGGTGAGCACTTATCACATCATCGAATTTACCAGGCAGACCCTGTTGCATACAAGCCACAGAGACGTCGCCTAAAGGACAGAAGCCTCATATTCTACCCAAGATTTGACATGTTGTCAGGCACCTAACGATATCTAAAAACTGTCTCCAGATTCTCTGCCTACTTCGGCTTGTAACGAAGTACTCGCTGGAGCAGCAGGCTGAATACAGGGCACGAGCATGCCGCCTTTCTACTATTTTTTCTTCGCGAATAGAAGAGCGCAGCACACATGAGTGAGCGAAAAACATTTCGACAAGCGTCGATGGTAGAGGAGATAGGGACGCCGGATGAGACAGCCGCTTGGTAAACTCATATATCACCAACAGAAATGGCAGCGGTCTGCAAGAAAATAGACATGGAAGTCTGCTTAACGGCTTGAAGGAAGCGGAGACAAACGTGTCTTCTCCTACTTTAGTTCTCAACACAGAGGTGGCAAAAGCCCTACCATGCTTCCTGAGATCAGGGATAGAGCGCACATTGAGAGTGTGATTGGGTTTCTCGGATAGTAACCCATGCAGGGGGTGTCGAGAAAGGTGACAGGACCCGGCGTGTGTATACATGGCGGTACGCACACCAAGCCTGCAGCTTGTGGAAACAAATACTCGTCGACACCGGTAAGTTACGCAAGCGAATAACACCAACTCAGTGCGCAATTATAGTACCTGCAGAACAGGGGAGCAGACATGTTCAGCCTATTTATGCGTTTCAGCAGTCCAGCACGTGACACCCAAGGCACGAGATACAGAAACAGAGCGAGGGAAGAAACACGATGTTACTACTGCGTCCCTACAGGGGACGGTCTACGTTCTATGCACCACGTTCTATGCACCCAAAACGCACAAATTACTCATCTACCACCTCATCTCTGGCCCGCAGCCCGGACACCCGCGGCAGCGACCTGCGAGACGCCCAAAGCCCTCGCCTTCTCCTCGGCCTCTCTATTTTTCTTCTCCTGCGCCTCCCTTTCCTCGACTTTCTTGCGGTCCTGCTCGCGGCTGAGCTGGTCTGGGCGTCTCACCGCAATATCCTTCGGTTTGTTATCGGAGAAGAAGTGCTTGAGCCCCTTCTCGATGATATAGCACGCGATGAAATCGCCCGCCATGACCGTCGTGATCATGAACTTGAACGCGCTTGTAAACGGCACGAGCTTGAGCTTCGTGTTGATCTCGGGGACGAATTCGGTCGCGCAGCTGAAAGCTACCGCGGACACGGAGACGAGGCCCCAATACATGGCTTTGTTCTCGCGGATGGATTCGCGGAATGGCCGGCCCTGGTAGTTGATTGCGAAGGTCGAAATCTGCTGGATCAGCTGCAGCAGGTAGATTGCGGAGTTGAGCAGGCTCGGCTCGAAATCCTTCTCGAGGTCGGGGTTCGGGTCTTTAGGCTCCACGCGCTGCACGTATTGCGAGACGTAGATCAGCGTGATGATGTGGATTGCGAATTGGCCGAGGACGGAGCCGATGATGTAGGTGTTGAAGATGTTGTGTTGTGGGCGCTCTTTGGAGAGGGCCTCGACGGTCTGAGGGAGTTAGTATGGGAAATGTAAATTCGAAGAGAAGACCTACTTTTGCGCGGGAGATGGAGAGGAAGCAGACACTCATCATCATTCCCGAGATGGTGACTTGGCCGTCACTAAACTTGATGCCGTCGAGGTACAGCACAGACAAAGAGTAGGCAGAGATCAAACAGTTGAGCGCGAGGATCTTGTACATCTGAATCGTCGCGACGAGTGTGCAGCGACCCTGGCGGATGATGTTGGGGATGGCAACAACGTTGGCGAGCTTTGATGTGAAGGGCGCAGCGACAGAGGCGTCACCGAGCTTGATTGTCGGGGGCTCGTTGTTGAGCTCGTCAAGCTCAGACTCCAACATCTTCTGGCTGAGTTGCTCCTGGATGCCCATGGGCTTCTTCTCTTGAGGAGCAGCGACTTCGGTAGAACCATTGACAGCGCCATTGGTCAGGCCCTTCCTCTGCGCCTGCTGGAGCATCGCCTTCTCGTAGTGCGGGTTGGTGGGGCCGGGAGGATACAGGTGGGCAATGTGGACAGGAACGGGAGGCTGGGGCTGGTTGAAGCGGGTCATCATCTGGCACTGCTTCTCGTAGATCTCCTTCATCTTGGTGTTGCGGTAGTGCTCGCCAATCTTGTCGAGGTCCTCGCGGGTACCGTTGAGCAGCGCGACACCAATGTGGGCCTGTTTGAGCGCACCGACGTCGTTGGTTCCGTCACCGGCCATCAAAGTAGTGTAGCCCATCTGCTTGAGACCAAGAAGAATCTCCTCCTTCTGCTTGGGCGATACACGAGCGTAGACCCAAGAGTAGCGGAGGATCTGCTTCCATCCAGGCTGACCGACAAACTTGGCCAGGGCGTAGCCGGTGATACAGATGTCCTTCGACTTGATGATGTCGGCAGAGAGAGGCTGGGTAGGATCAACGGGGATGTTGATTTTGTCGTCGACGCTCTTCCAAACAAGCGCTTTGCCAGACTCATCATGCCCCTCCGGAGCATCGAGGATGTAGCATTCGCGATCGACAATCTCACATTGCTTAGCGACGTGGACGGCAGTCAACGGGTTATCACCAGTGATCATGACAACACGGTGGCTAGACTCATTGAGCGAGCGGCACGCCTCAATGGCATCGGGCTTGAGAGGGCACTGGAGGACGAGGAAACCAGCGAAGTGGAGATCGGACTCGACCTGCTCACGCTTGAGATCGTTGATGCGGTTCTGGCCCCACTCGCCCTCCTCAGCGAGGTACTTGTAGGCAAGAGCAAGGACACGGCCACCGTTGCGGGTGAAGTGCTTGAAGGTCTCTTCGTAGCTGGGCGGGGCGTTGACCAGCATCTTGCGGATCGTCTCGGGCGCACCCTTGACACCAACGAACGTGCTTCGGACCTTCTTCCCGTTGCTGTTGTTGACCAAGACGGTAGCGACGGAGCTCTGGCGCTTGAGCGCGGACGAAAACTGGAAGCGCCGGCGGATCTGTACGAGCTCGGCGTGCGATTTGGCGGTCGTGGTCGACGCGTTGAGCATGTCCTTGACGCCGACCTTCCAGCCGAGCGCCTCGATTGTCGCCTTCTCCATGGGCTCGCCAACAATGTCTCCTTCGTCGAGCTTGACGAGGGCGTGTGCGGTGGCAAGGACGAGGGTGGTCTGGGTGGCGCATTCGTTGACCTTGGTGAGCTCGGTGTGGGCGCCGTCAGCGCTTGTCGGCACGCCGGACTGGCCCAGCGACAGGCCGGCGATGCCCTCGACGATCAGATCCTCGCCGGTGAGTGTGCCGGTCTTGTCGAAGCAGGCGATGTCGACGCGGCCGGCGAACGGGATGCGGAAGGGCTCGGTGCAGAAGATGGCGTACTTGCTGAGCGCGGCGAGAGACGTGTTGACGGCCAGGCTGAGCTCCATGGGGAGCTCGGGCGGGACGACGCTGGTGACAATGAGGACGCAGTCGAGCAGGAGCTTGTTGCGCTGGCGGTCGAGGCGCACGCCCTCTTGCCAGACGTACCACGAGGCGGCGATGGCGAAGACGGTCAGGAACAGGATGAAGAGCAGCGCCTCCACGTTGTTGGCGGAGACGCGCTCGGTGGCGTAGATCATGGTGCGGACGAGGCTACCCTGGTTGGTCTCGAATCCTGTCTTGATGACGACCGCCACAGCGCCCTTGTCCGGCGGCGGGGGCACGCCCGACGATAGACGCGAGACGGTGTTGGCGTCGTCCTCTGCGGCGTTGCCGTGCGCGACCTGCAGGACCTTGGTGCCGCCCCACAGGAAGGCGTTCTTGTCCAGGCCCTCGGGCTCGATGCGCGCGTCGCCGGGGCGCAGCTGGACCGACTCCTTGAGCACGGGGGTGCTCTCGCCCGACAGCATGGCCTCATTGACAATGGCCGAGCCCTCCAGCAGCACCATGTCGCAGGCGACGCCCGAGTCCTCCTTGGTGCGGCCGACGCTGACCACGTCGCCGGGCAGCAGCTTGTCGCTCACGACCTCCTGCCACTTCTTCTGACGGTACACCAGGATGTCGTACGGCTTGATGCTCATGCCGCGGAACTCGGTGAGCGTACGCTGGCGCTGCCACACGACAGTGCTCTCGAACATAACGAGCATGAACAGCGTGAACAGAGAGTAGTACCAGTAGTCGTCCAGCATCCACAGCCCCACGCAGAACACCTGGAACACGAAGAAGGGCGCCACCGCGTGCTCCTTGAAGAGCTCCGTGAATGTCGGCACGGGGATGTCGAACGCGTTGTCGCCGTAGTGCTGCGCGATGCGCTCGATGTCGGCGGGGGACACGAGGCCCTGCGTCTGCTGCAGCGTCTTGAGCTGCGGCTTCGGCTCGCTGTCGAGCGCGTACGAGAGCGGGGCGAACGAGCCCTTGGTTTCGTCCCAGAGGAAGCGGCGCTTCTGGAAGAGGAACGATAGGTTCGGCTTTCCGCCCACGTTGTCGCGCCTGAGCGCGCACACCTCAGCCGCGCCCGCGTTCTCGATGGGTTGGACCTTGATGAGCCGCGCGGTGCGGATGTCGTTCGCTTTGGTCGTCGTGAAGGCTGTCTTGAGGTCGATGTTCCACTGTGTCAGCAGCCACACCAGCGACTGCAGGGTGACTATGCTGCCCACCCAGACGAACGTCCATTCCTGCGACTGGATGTACTGCTCGTACTGCGCCTTGGGGAAGTAGATGGACGAGAACGCCGGGTAGACGATCAGAAATGGCCAAACATAAAGATGTAATTGCCAGGGGAGCGGCTGGTGTAGACTCGATTTAGCGATCTGCTTGTCTTCCACTAGCCTCGCCATGATGGGGGGTGGTGGAGGTGAGACGTGGTGTTGACAGATTACTTTTTGTACAGTTGCGCCATCCATTCGCCGCCGCCATGCAGAGTCGGCCCTCGGTGTGCCGACCGTCTGTGCGGGTGACCCAGAACCTTCACGAAGACTGCCGTGTGGGGTTAGCTTCACTTGGAAGGAACTTGACATATTAAGAATAATGCTCCTCCCGTTAAGTTCAGCATCTGTTGGAGATTTAATGCGCCTCTTGTATCTCTCTTGGTGATTGACAGATGTGCTAGTTATCAATATGCGTCATATCTGGTCTCCTAGTCCCCCTTTGTGTCCCATCACCTACGAGCAGCCAACGTGACTCGGTATTTCTGTTTGACGGCTTGGGGATGGCTGCTATGTCGTCAATCTCCGACTCAGCTTGCTTCTGATGCCTACAACAGCGAAATGGTATGGTATAGTATCGAAACGTAGCACTCCACGCTCATCCAGGCGCCGGACTGGCCACGTCTCTCTGGTAGGCACCGGCAAAGTCCAGTTGACTTAGCTGCCCGTTGATCTGATCAATCTCTTGACTCAAGTCTTCCAAGTTCTGCGCCAGACTTGTTTGTTCGTCAAAACGCCTGTGCTTTGTTGCATCTGCCACCATCTCGCTAACCATGAACTTTTGTTCCTCAAGTACGATCAGACGTTCTCGCAGCTCTTTCTCTTCGGACTCCATCGCAGACACCTCGCTACTGCTGACAGCGCTCCCACCAAGCCTGTCGTTAGCTTTGATCGCTGCTAAAGCACCGCCCTTTGTTGCTTGGCCTTGTGGCGCAGCATGCTTGAGGATCTTCGGCAATGACCGCAGAGGAAGCATGTGCAGGCTCAGGAAGCTGTATGCTTGTTGATAGACGGCTTTCTGTAGCCGCTTTTGTGTAGGCGATTCCGTGGGTAGGTCTCGTATTCGTCTCGCCGCTGCATCGAACTGTGTGAACGCATCCATCAGTCGCTTCCGTACTTTCGTCGCATCCGAGAGCTGTTGTGGGGTTGGTGGCTTTTCTGGGTCTTGCAGCGCTGCCAACAACTTCTGAAATCGCGGTAGCAGCAGTCGGATGCCTCTTTCGAACTGGGCGAGGTTCTCGTAAGAACGCTGATCTTTCGGCCTTTCAGCCATTTCGCGCTTGAAGTCGCTCCTGCTGAAGAGGGTATGGTTGCAGTCCTTGCACATGCGCACATCGACGCTGACCTGGTCTGCTGCCTTCTCAGATTTCTTTGGGTTGACATGCAGCCCAATCTCTGTCGAACATCCGGTCTTGAGGTCGCCGCACACCACTCGCCCGCACATGCGGCAATGATGCCGGCGAAATGTGTACGTCGAGAACTCCTGCTGGCAAAACGGGCAGTGCGAGACCTTCGCGTCTTCCTCCCAGGTGATGATGGACTGCTCCAAGGCTTTGCGCTGATCCTTCGCAGTGTTGATGCCAACGGTCGATAATCTAAACCATGCTCCTCCCGCAGCTGGTGTTTCGTCGATGGGCGGTGGATGAGCGAGCAGCTGTGTCAGCTTCGTGAGGCGCTTTTCCAGCCTGCTGACTTCCATATACTCTCTGTCCACCCTCCTCCGTCTGATCTTCGCGAACTCGTTGAAGTGGTTGCGCTCGAATCCGTGGTGGTCGTTGTAGCCCTCTCTCGACTTGTAGCACGTCTCGCAGACTCGACACCAGATGCCTCGTACTGGGTCGTGTTTCGCAGCTCGCGACAGCTTCATCTGGTATAGTGTGTGGTCCTCGCAGAACAACTGACCGCACTGTCTACAGTTGACAGTTGTCTGGCTATTGCCCAATGCCATGCCAGAACCTGTGATTGGCCTCCTGCAGACCGGATCTGAACACACGTCTCGATACCCTGGTCTCTGCCAGTGCGCTCTCGTGACTTCCTCCTCGGGGTCTCGCCGGACGATGGGTGCTGGCGGTGTGTCGTGACCGGTGCGGGCATTCGAAGCGCTGCGCGAGTGGGTGGCAGGCAGCGGTGTGGGCGAGCTGTTCGACTCGAAGACGTCCAGGCCTTTGAGTTTCTGGTTTAGCACGGCGAGAGGCTGGAACTTCTTCGCCTTGACCATCTGCTCCTCGAACCAGTTCTTGACCTCATCTTGCTCTTCCTCAATGAGGTTCTGGTGGTTGTCGTCGAGATGTCTGGCGCATGTTAGGGCTGCACGCTGGGGGCTGGTACATCAGAGGGTAGTACCGGTTGAGTTGCAGGAGCGTCACCTGCCGTCATCAGTTCACTGCATAGGGTGCGGGCAGGTGCTGTGGGGCGTACCATCTCCTCGTTGCATATCGGACACGCCAGCCGGTTACTAGCACGGGCGGCAGTATTCTCGCTCGGCCCCAGCAGGACCTTGCTGCCGATGTCTTCCCTCGTCTCGGCGGTGCTGGCGGGGCTGTTGGACGTCTGGCTGCTCAGCGACAGTGAGCTGTCCGAGGGCGACAGCAGGCTCGCATTGCGGACATTGCTATGCGGCGCCTGCGGTGCCTGCAGTGCCTGCGGGGGCGCCGGCGTCACGGCGGACGACAGGTTCCTCCCGCTCCCCAGCACGCGACCGCCGCCCAGGGACCTGCGGGAGGCCATGGTGGGAGGAGAGTAGTATCTAGATAGCTTCTAGAAGGGTGCAGCTCGCCGTGGGTCGCGCCGGAGTTACGGGGGAGCTGCGCTAGAGGTGGGCGTGGCGCAAGGATTCCTGTGCATTGTGCCTAGATGCTGGGCAAGTGCTGTGCGCCTTACTTTGGCTGCTCAAGCATTTCACTGGCAGGCGATGTTTGTCACGAATCATTAATGGATATGACCGCAGATATTGAGGCTACAGGCGCCCGTTGATAGCGCATCCATGCATCTCCTCGGTGCAATTGACAGCCTTGGCCGACGCCATCATTGAGTCGAAGCTCACATCTCCGCGCAACATGCGCTGCTGCCCCTACACACATTTCGCAACATGGCGCATGAGGAATTCCCAGAAGTGCAGGGCGGAGGATCGCTGATTCTCGCCTGGCAGATACGGAACAAGCGCGTGCTGGTTGTTGGTGGCGGCGAAGTGAGTGTTGCTGCTGCGCGCGTGCGATGGTAATTGACGATTGACTGTAGCACAGGTCGCCGCAGGCCGGATCTTGAACGTTCTCAACGCCGACGCAAAAGTCACTGTAGTCTCACCGCGGGAGGGACTGAACCCAGAAGTCGCATACCGAATCGAGCAGAAGCAAGTCGAATATTTCGATCGCAAATTCGAGCCCTCCGACCTCGATGGTGCAGATATGGTCATGACCGCGGTCGATGACCCGGAGGCCTCAACACAGATCTGGAAGCTCTGCAAAGAGCGGAGGATAGCAGCAAACATCGCCGATGTGCCGCCAGAGTGTGACTTCTACTTTGGAAGTGTGCATCGTGATGGATCGCTCCAGATCATGGTCAGCACAAACGGCAAAGGCCCAAGATTGGCCAACATCGTCCGGCGGCAGATTGCTGCGAACCTCCCGCCGAACATTGGCCAAGCCATCTCAAGAGTAGGCATGCTACGTCAGAAGCTGCGCAAGGTAGCGCCAGATATTTCCGAAGGTCCAAAACGAATGGCATGGTACGTACATTGAGTCACATATCAGACCAGCTGTACTAAGATAGCGCAGGATGATCAGGGTCAGCGACGCCTACTCGCTCGATGATCTATGCTCTATGTCCGAGAAGGATATGGAGCAGCTACTTGGTTACTACAAGCCCAACACTGTGCCCAGCCTCGAGCTGCTGCGACTTCAGGAGCCAGATGGTGCCTTCGACGGACCCTTTCTCATTTAGAACTTATCCACAAGTGGTGTTCTAGACAAGCACATAGATGGACTGGGTAAGCGGGCGTTCTCGCGACTTTCTCCTGTGTAACAAATGTACATCTCTCTACACTCATATTTCATAATCTCATGCGTCACGACCAATCAGCGTGTGTTGGCCCGAGCGCCTGATTGCAACCTCCTCAAGCTTCACCCACACCCACGACCAAAGTGCAATCAACACTCACCAGCACCGTCTTCTGTCTCGATCCAGGCGACGAGAATTGAGCTGACGACGCCATGGATCTGGCACAACGACCGCCTTACAGCACGATTGACTTCAAAGCGCTCGCCAAAGCTGACTCAGACTTTAAGCAAACATGGCAAACATGCTCCGGCAAACTTGACTTCCAAGATCCAGCCACGCTTCAGTCTCTTTCCAAAGCGATTCTCAGGGTTGACTTTGGCATCGAGCTCTCGCTTCCAGATGGTCGCCTTTGCCCGCCCGTACCCAACCGGTGGAACTACGTGTCCTGGGTTCAAGGACTACTCGACTCTTCCTCACCAGCCTACACAAACAAGTACGAGCGTGAGAGAAGAGTCATCGGTCTAGACATCGGCACAGGCGCATCCGGCATCTATGCAATGCTGTGCATGAAGAGCAGGCCGAATTGGACAATGTGTGCCACTGACATCGACAAGACCTCATTTGAGTCTGCTGCTGCAAACTTCGCAAAGAACAACCTACTGAGCAGAACGAAGATGCTACAAACCACCTCCAAGATGCTGTTAATTCCACTCGAAATTTTAGGCACACAGCAACTGGACTTCACTCTCTGCAACCCTCCATTCTTCATCGATTCTGCCGAGATGGAGAAATCTCTCAATGGTGAAGGCAAAGCCACTGGACCCAACGCTATATGTTCCGGCTCCAGCAATGAGATGATTTGCCCCGGCGGCGATCTTGGCTTTGTCACACGGATCGTGGAAGAGTCACTTGTCCTTCGCGGAAAGGTAAAATGGTACAGCAGCGTGCTCGGCAAGCTGTCCAGCGCCAAAGCAATCGTCGAGCTCCTCAAATCTCACAACATTACCAACTGGGCTGTGGGTGTGCTGGAGCCCGGTACTAAGACGGGAACAAAGAGATGGATCGTTGCGTGGAGCTTTGGTGATCTGAGACCACGACATAGCATTGCTCGCCCGCGGGGAGGTAGCTTCCCTTACGATCTCTTGCCGTTTCCAACCTCTTACAATATCTCACTGAGCTCTTCGTTCACTGGTTCTACTGCTGAGGATAAGCTGAATGACCAACTGTCTGCTCTAGACCTGACCTGGACATGGGTTCCAGCTACAGCGATGGGTGTTGGTGAAGCATCAGAGAACGTCTGGGGTCGAGCATACAGAAGAGCTTATGAGCGGCGCAAGAGGGAAGGGCAGGTAGAGATGCGCGATACGATTGACAGGAAGACCCAGCTAGCCTTCCGTGTCACGGTCGTGCAGCTAGCTGGCGAGATTGTGCTTGAGTGGCTCAGAGGAGACGATCAGGTTCTGTGGGAGAGCTTCTGCGGTTGTGCACATCGCTGGTTCAAGCAGGTTTAGGTGGCGCCTGCCTGCTAGGGCCGTGGTGCAAACGGGAAGGGGCAAAATCCACTTCTCACACTCACATCGACCACCCGCCTGCACTCTCTCACCTGCACCTCTCGCTCACCATAAATTCCTGCCTGTCATTTCATGGTCTCTGCGACATAAGGTTGTGCACATCACAGCTTCTCCAGCTGCACATCAATTCCACATACAATAAGTACAGGGTCAGTGAGCGTCGATCTGTTTCTGACAACAGCCGCCCAACTAGTCTAACGACAACATGTCTGCCGACAACCAAACGGGGTACTTCGCCTCCTCCACCGAGCTCGCTGACCTGGGCGCTGCTCGATTCGACCACGATACTGCTGCTGTCGGTGACAAAGACTATGCGCTCACATCCTACACCCAAGCTCCCATCACCGTGCAAGGTGGCCGCGCTCCTAAGGGTCTTGAGAGCCAGGTCTTTGCCTGGAACACGTTCCAGTATACGACTACCGAGCGTAACGAGAAGGAGGAGAAGAAGGGTGATCTGCATGAAGGCCAGCTGCACCGCGCCAACCGAGCTGCTGCGGGTATTGCACCACCCTTGATGGCCCACGACAACAGACCTACCAGCTACGGTGGTGGGCGCAGCGAAAGAGGTGGACAAAGTGGGCGAGGTGGCAGGAGTGACGGTGCAGCCGGTAGGACCGATGGGCAGCTTGATGCGCTTTGTGCAGCTAGGAAGCCCGAGGGCAACGCACCGCCGCTGGCAAAGGGTTTCGCGGAGGAGCTGGACAAGAGCATGTTCTGGGATGAGCCGATCTGCTGAAAGATGATCAGCCACTCCTCTTCGCCAGGTCACCTTTTGCTGTAAGGTGAATGTCAATGCTAAGGTAGACGAGCTGGCTTCGGTATGTCACTACGAACCTCACCTTGAATAATATCACTGACCTCTGTCGTCGATAAGATTTACTGTCACGTCAGTCCAGGAAGCCTGGAACTTGTCACGATGCACAAATGTGATTTGTTTCTGACATGGCCCCACACGTGATCCTCTTCCTCGCCAGCCAGCCGACGAGAGTTTCATGACACTGGATAACACCAATAAATAGTGATGAGAACACCCCATATATAAGACACATGCGCATCTCGCAGGGCACTTTGCAATCTCGGTATCGGACTACACATTCTTTTTAACAATCATTTGTCATTCTTTACACAATACCACAGCACTCGCTACCGCAAGGGATCGAGGTTGATGACTATTAAGCCTCATAGCAGCGACACGGGAACGGAAGTCTGCCCCCAGGAGGTAGTCGCAGAATCGAACGACGAGCGACGTCGCAGATGGGCCCATCTCCTCCGTTACCATCACTACGAACCAGTCATCTTCGATGTCCTCAGCGACGAGCTCCCCAAGTATACAGGAAGTCGTGCCATAGATCCTACAGATGTTGTCACGCACATGCGCGAATGCGCTCTCATCCTAGCATCAGCTCCCCGCATTTTCTTCGCAGCCGTTGAAGGCAACCTCGTGAGTAGCGTCATCAAAGATGCTGACCTCCAAGCGGAGTGCGCGGTTGTACAGCAACGCGCACAACACCAGCCTTCAATCTACATTCACCTTCTTGCCGACGAAAAGGGCCATGCTCCATCACCAGAGCAGTATTTGATGATTCGAGACATGATACAGGACTATATCAGCGAACGTCCCTTTGACCAGGCCCATCAAGTAGACAATGTCACTTCTCCCTTCGTACCACTGAGTACCTCCACACAAGGCTACCGTAAGTACCTTTCCACTCCAGCCGCTAACCGATCACCCAAGCGTATCATCACCCTCAGCCGTCTAATCACAGGCATCACGACTCGTTGCTCCCAGATCTCAGTCCAACTCCACAACACTCCGCTTCCCTACCCACCCTCCGAGGTCGGCTACGCGCTCAATGCACACAAACGACTTGCTCAGCACCGCGCACATCAGAGTTCGAACTATGTCATGAATCTCGTTGAAGATGTATGTACCTATCTCTACCGTTCTAAGGTTCTAGCCCAGCACTTCAAGATGCATCAACACATCATTTACCTCATCTTTCGACCCCGACAGGCTGCCATCGCGGAGATCTTCTGCTCGGGATTGCTGCAGTGTTGGGTAGAGGGGGGTGGGTTTAATGCGTTTCCGGCTGGGAGAAGCGTTGCTAGCTCGTGGAAGGTAGCATCAGAAGAGTGGGAGGATCACATGAAGATAGCTAGGGAGGTCGGTCTGTTTGAGGGCAAAATGCGGGTGCTGAAGGAAAGGGCAGTGGCTTGGAACAAAGCGCTGGACTGGAAAGGAGATGGTGAGGAGATGAATGCTATGGACAGTGTACAGGACGAACACGAGATGGAAGGGGCCGCGAAGGCTTGAAGTATGGTTGATTACAGCTAACTCGAGCGTGCAGCGGTCACTGACCACCGGACCATCCGATGTCCATCAAACAAGTCAGCTCCTTCAAGTCGCCAACTGCCGCTTGCTATCAGTAACTTCATATCTGGACTATATGGATCAATACTCACAGCCTTAGTTGTCACTGAATCCCGCTCCACCGTGGTTTCCCTTCACATGACCACAAGTCGTACAAGTTTCGTTCTCGCCAACAGCGTAGTCTCCGCAGGTACAGTTGGTAACGCGACACTTCTTGGCCATGTTGGACGGGAGTATAGAATTAGAAGAATGCAGCGGGGTTTAACAAGGTGAATCAACGATTTAAAGTTGGTGTCTGCAAGCAAACGATGGCGGGAAGATGGAAGTCTACATGTATTGGAAGCTCACCGTTCAAACACGCGGCCATACTTCTGAAAAGTGGGGCGCAACTTCCAAGCAGGCAGATGCGATGCACATGCATGGTTGGGGATATCCGTGTATGCATCCTACTAGGCTACGACACAGGAGGTGTTGGAACTTGGGCTTTGTCTACGTCACGTCCGCACCACCCCGTGTGCCGTCAACTGTACCGCATGCCACATCGACTCACCGTGATAAAACAATGCTTCATGCAGGTCGACTGTGATGTGAATGAAAGATTGCGATGAGTCACTGCGGGTGTTGGTGATGCCGTTGGACGCCACGACGCCACATTTGCAGCCACAATGACTGTTGGCGCGTTTTGAGTCGAATGTTCCCCTCCAAAACCCCACCAGCTGCTGCACGAGAGCTGCGCAACAAAGATAAAGTCCTTTGAGCTGCTCTGATACAGAAGACAAGGTAAGAGCGATCCTGGCGGTACCTTTCTACTCACACCATGTACCCTCAATTCAGTTGCCTGCTGCAATCGACACCACATCCTAGATGCACCAGCTGTCGCTCTGTTTGTTATCTTAAGCTCGACTAACAACAGCAAACAGCCATGTCAGAACCAGCACCACCTCTACCTGAGACGGCACCTGCTGCGACGCCTGCCGTAGCGCCACCTGCTGAAGAAGAGAAGGGGCCCTCTAAGCGCGCACTCGAAAAGGCAGCAAAGAAAGCTGCCGCCAAAGCAAAAAAGGCCGAGCATGCGCTGCGACCGAAGGAGCAGGCGAAGCCCGCGGCCAAGGCCGAGCCTGTCAGCATGTTCGCCGAGGGTTGGCTGAAGCGCATCTACGAGGAGAAGCCCGTCAAGGATGTACACACGCGGTTTCCCCCCGAGCCCAACGGCTACCTGCACATCGGCCACTGCAAGGCGATTGCGGTCAACTTCGGGTTCGCGAAACACCACAAGGGCGTGTGCTACCTGCGATATGACGACACGAACCCTGAGAAGGAGGAGGAGAAGTACTTCACCAGCATTGTGGACATCATCAAGTGGCTGGGTTTCGAGCCTTGGAAGGTCACGTACAGCAGTGATAACTTTGACAAGCTGTATGAGCTAGCCGAGGAGCTGATCAGGAAGGATGGTGCATACGTATGCCACTGCTCTAGTATGGCAATACACCGCAGTCACCGAAAGGGATGAAAGAGAGCTGACACCAAGCAGGAGAGGAGGTCAACATGCAGCGCGGCGGCCCCGACAACCGCGGCAAGCGCTACGCCTGCGAGCACCGCACACGGCCGATCGAACAGTCCATCACCGAGTTCCGCGCCATGCGCGACGGCAAATACAAGGCGGGCGAGGCGTATCTGCGCATGAAGCAGAGCCTGACAGACCCCAACGAGGGCAATCCGCAGATGTGGGATCTGCCCGCCTACCGCGTTGTCGAGAGAAACCACCACCACAGGACTGGCGACACATGGAAGATCTACCCGACCTACGACTTCACACACTGCATCTGTGATGCGCTGGAGGGGATCACGCATTCGCTGTGCACGGTTGAGTTCCGCCAGAGCAGGATATCGTACGACTGGCTGCTGGAGAAGCTGGACATGAAGGTGCCCAAGTCGGAAGAGAAGGGCCCTATGCAGCGCGAGTACGGCCGTCTGAGCGTGAACGGCACGATCCTGTCGAAGCGCCGCATCCTCATGCTTGTCGAGGGCGCAAAGGTCGGCGACAGAGAAATCCTACCCTCAGTCCGCGGCTGGGACGATCCTCGCCTCTATACCATGGTCGCCTTGCGCCGCCGTGGTATCCCTGCGAAAGCCATGCTCAACTTCGTCGAAGAGCTCGGCGTCACAGACTCGTACACCGACATCGAAGCACCGCGCTTCGAATCCTCGATCCGCAAGCACCTCGAGCGCACCGTCCCGCGCCAAATGCTGGTCCTCGAGCCCGTCAAAGTCGTCATCGAAGACTTCGCCGCCGAAGACGACCAGGAAGTCGTCGTCCCCTACGACCCCAAGGGCGGTATCAAGGGCGAGCGTAAAGTCAAGGTCGGCATCTCCATCTACATCGACAGCAGCGACTTCCGCGAGGAAGACGACTCGGACTACTTCCGCCTTGCGCCTAACAAGACCGTTGGCCTGTACAACGTGCCCTTCTCTATCCGCGCTACGAGCTTTGAGAAGGATGCTGCCGGCAACGTCACACTGATCAAGGCCGTCAAGGTCCCTGCAGCTGAGAGGCCGAAGGCGTACATCCAATGGGTGGACGCGGAGACCGGGATCAAGGTTACGGCACGACAGTACCATTCCCTCTTCAAGACCGAGAGTCCGAATACGCTGAACTGGAAGGATGGGAGTTGGGCGGACGATCTGAGGCCGGACTCTGAGATTATTTATGAGAACGCCGTTATTGAGCGGGGTTTGAACGATCTGATCAAGGAGAATAGCCTCAACCCCAGTGGGAGCAGCGATAGGCTGGTCAGGTTTCAGGCCCTCCGGACAGCATACTTCTGCGTTGACATCGAGTCGACCGAGGACAAGATTGTGCTGAACCAGATCGTTAGCTTGAGAGAGGATAAGGGTAAATGAGCGCAGTGGGTGGGGTATACGGGCCCAGGCGTTTTGGGGAGATGTGTTCAGCCACGGAGGCTGCAAAATGATGTAGATGAGCGACGAATCATGCACGAGTCACCACAGCCCTGAAGCCTGCGACCTGCGACCCACTTTCAACCATCACATGCCCAATACATATCGTGAGTCAACAAAAAGGTAGTGTGGGAAAATTCGACTTACAACGTGCCGAGGAACTAACAAACATCATACGGCGACCACTACTGATGCAGGAGTAGCGACCTGGACTATCAACTCAGACGTGACATGCGTAGATGTAACAGTCCATTCCCTCGTTTTATGCACACACCACCGAAGGGCCGATTTTCCACGAGCGGGAAATTTAAGTCGATCCTTCGCGTATATGCCGCCCTGCCTGCACCGCAGACCAGCAGCTGCCTGTGGTAAGGTTCGGGACGACCCTAGCCAGCTCCACTGAAAATAGCCACGCAGTGCTTTCTAGCAACTCTACGAGCAGCGGAGGCAGATTCTTTACGACTCCACGAGTCTAGACATGGTTAAGAACAAAGCAGGGCACCCGACCACATAAGAGACAGCCCTTTTACCTAGCCAATGCAATCAACTGCCCTCCCCTTTGGCTTTCCAACTGACAATCGACTCAGCCTTAGTGAAGTTACACCTCCTCGTCCTTCTCTCCAGTGTTGCACTTTACCCATGTGTATCGGTCGGGGCGCCCCTCGGCGAAAGGGCTGATTGCCGCACCAAGCTAAGCTGCACCTTCACCGAACTCGAGAGCATGACCATGCCCACGCGCCTCGACTACGTCAATTCCATGCAATCCTCCTTCTTCGCCCCGCTGAACGCAGGCAACCAGTTCGCCGCCAACGAAGGTGTCATCCAGTTCTTTATCTCCAACAACCTCGAAAACCCGCATAGCTGGGTCTCCGCCGTCGACGCGGGTATCGTCGAAGGCATCCAGAACGGCGGCGCCATCGCCCTCGGCCTCCACTCCAACACCGGCAGCAACCCTGGCACCGCGTCATGGACAGCGTTCTTTCAAACAATGAAGGCCGGCGGCTATCCTGATCGCGATGTGAGTCACTATCCGCTGTTGTGAACCCTAAGCTGATTTGCCCATGCGCACGAAGAGGGCTCGTCTGTCACCGAACAGATGACGACCAACTACGGGAAGACGATCGCCGACGCGTCGTTCGCCGCGTCCGAGCAGGAGAAGCGGTGGTATCTCTTCTCCCACCTCTTCCGACTCATCATGCGCAAACACAACGAGACCGTGGGCATGTGCAGAGCGTACGTATCTGCCCTTCCATGTGCTCGCTCGGAAGATGCTGATTGCACCAGTGCCGCGCTTACGAACCTATTGACGTGGGCGTTTGCACCCCGGTGTGGCGATTTGGTGGATTGGTTGACGTATATTACGGATACCAAGCCGACCCTCCGCCTCTCTTAGACGGTATGGGAGATTTTTAGCCCGGGAACGAAGGTATCTTAGTTGCCGTGGGCATTTGGGAGGATATCGGGAGAGTTGATTACGTGCTTTGAGGAAAAGTAGGGCGTGCGGGAGAAGCATGTGTACTGGTAAAGACTAATTAGGGTAGTTGCTGTGTAAATCAAATGCGTTCCAAAAATGTTGCTGGATGGACATCGACGGTTCACATGGGAGCGCATGAGCTATGCTGTTCTGGCAATGCAAGGTACAATTCGCACCCTAAGGGCTCTGTCCGTTGACAGAACTACGTTTTGTTCAGACGCCGTGAGGAAATGTCGTTCAGTTTGAACAGAGAAGGACTCTCTTGACGTTATTTCGCGAGCTATCAAATTGATATGAAAGAGAGGCACATGACCAGCTGCAAGATTAGCAATAGTTTCCTTCTTACCCTGCTGCCTTACTTTGCCTCCTTCAACTTGTGCAACAGTTCTTTCATGCTGCTCGCATACAGGTCAAACTCTCCAAAGACCTCTGTGACCGGATCATGCTCCTCGAAATCCAGATATGCCGTCTTGAAACCAGCCGCCCTTGCCGCAATCAGATCCCACGCATGCGCAGCGACGAACCACCTCTTCCCATCCCCCTTCTCGCCCAATCCCTGCTTCGTCAGATGATCTTGCGCGCGCTCGTAGACTTTGGTATCCGGCTTCGCAATCTTTAAATCGTCGCAAGACAGCAGATGCGCTTCGTCCAGCTCAATGTTTGCGTTGTGGTAATAGGCCAACGACGTCTCCACACCCCCATTCGTAACAGCATACACATCCCACCCCGCCTCCCTGAGACCATCAAAACACTCCTTCAACCCCCCACGCGGCTTCATGCTCTTGAACGCTTTCGTGACAACAGCGACATCATCGTCGCTGACCGCGTCGGCGGGAAGATCAACAATTAAGCAGGCGCGCTTAAACGTCAGCTTCAGTACTTCGGCGATAGGTTTGTAGCTCCCTGCGAGCGAGACATAAGTGAAGTCCCGCTGAGCGGCATAGAACCAGGCGAAGAAGAGCGTTTTGGGATCGCTCTTCGCTGTGGAGAGTTTGGGGCCTAGACGCTCATGAATCGCTCGGATTGGGACTTCAAAATCGAAACAGGTCCCGATTACATCAAAAGATGCTGAGAGCGCCATTCTGGAGTTGGTGGTCGTGGCGTTGTTGTACGCATAGATGGTGCAGCGGTAGCTATAGGTACATGCTCGGGCACATGGATGGAAAGCCAATACCGGTAGTGACGTGGGGACGGTGCTTGACGTCACGCAGTTCTTAATACCGTAGGCTTTACGGGTGAATCCATCGACGACCCGACTAGGTATCCACTTTTATTTTCCCAACATCGCGCCTTATCACAGGACCTTCTTCGACGCCAAAGAACTCGGCGCAAATGCCATAGTGGAAGTCTTCGAGTTTAGACGTGGCAATGATGAAATGAAACACCTCCGCACCGTTTACTAACCCGCTATCTAGTCGCCCAACTGCCCCGCCGCAATCGGCGGCGGCGCATTCCTCGTCACCAACGACCATGGCGTGAAGGTCGGGTGGAAGAAGCAACTCGAGCCCGTCATCGGCGGCGGCACGGTTGCGTACTGCTCCAACACGGGTGCGTGCCACACCACCTCTCTCCTTGCCAGTATCAATATCAGAAAGAACCTCAAGTTCCCCAATGGTCTGGCCAGGGGCGACGATGGGTTGTTCTACGTGCCCAGCTCGGCCGACAGAGCGGTCAAGGTATTCTCGCTGCGGCTGAATCAGACCCTGACGCAGTTGCATACCATCCGCGTAGGCATGCCGCTGGACAACATCTCACCTGGTGTGAAGGGCGATCTGTGGGTTCCCGGATACGAGGCAGACGTTCAAGGGGATGGCGGAACCCTATGAGAACATTTCGCCTGCGACGATGTTCAGAATCCGGAAGATCAAGACCGAGGGAGGCGGTAGAAAGCTAGATTACGAGGTCCAGAAGGTGCTTGAAGATAAAGATTCGAATATCATCAATGGGGCGACGACGATTGTGCATGATACTAAGACCGGAAGGCTGTTTCTCGGTGGAGCGGTCGCACCGTGCTTGGTCATCTGCGAGCCACGGTTTGCGGGACTGCACTAATACATAAATCCATCAATTCTCTATAACGTACCCCACGGGCGAGTCGATCACCGAGCGAGTCGATCACTTTTGCCAAGACCACACCAAACCTCACCCTATTATAGCCCAAAACAACCCACTTTGGCGCTGCATTGTGCAGTACAGCCTGGAATATTATTTAGAGACTACTTCTAAGTTACCTCCTGCTTACACGTTTGTGCGTTGTGCCTAGGCTGGCGGATGGGTAGGGTATGCTTTTTTACGTTTTGGCTTATAGCTTCTTAACTAGCAGAGATACACTTACATAATCTATTATTCGATAGAAGCGCCTAGTATTGCGCCTTCTAATAAAAAAAGAATTAGCTTATTCTGCCTAGTATTAGCTAAGTTATTAACACTACCTAGCAAAGTATACCTATTAATGGGTATGCTCGCTAGGTACCCCCCCTTTTTTAACCTTTTCTAGCCTCTAGCTTGTGCAGTTTAATAGTTATAACAAAACCCTCTACTACAGAAATGTAGAGGTAGTTTTTCTCTTTCTTTTAAGCCCTATTTCGCTAGAATCCATGTATTATGGACAAAGTTTTGGGGGGTACCCACGAAGGACGTTGGAGTATACCCATTCCGCCAGCCTAAGTATACCCATTCCGCCAGCCTAGTTGTGCCCAGTCTGATTGCACTGTCTGTAGTGCCTTTAGGAGGGCTTACCCACTTCTGCCTACAATCACTTCTTTGCCTTCTCCCGATTACTGCGCGCCCTAAACTCCTATAAAGTTGTTAATTACAGGCTAACGTAGATTATCACCAAGCTAGCTATATCACTAAACTAGCCATTTTCTCTTAGCACAACTAATATAAGTTACTATAACTACAACTACTTGCTATTAAATAGTAACCTAGCATACTGTATGCTTATATTAGATTTAGAAGATATTTTTATACCCTCCTAGCATATTTATATATTATGTCTAGTCTTGCTATAGTTCCTACAGCACTAAACAGTTAACTAAGCTTATAGTTAACTACCTCTACCCTAAGTCTTCTTAGATAGCTAAGCTGCTATAGACACCTTAGCAGCTACCTATAATGCTGCTAGGCTATACTTAAGTGTGCTACTATACTAAATCTGCTTTCTCTTACGCAATTTTCTCTTAGTTATTACTACTAATTACTCTTTAAGCTCTTATATATAGGCCTTAATAAGGATATTTTTATATAGTATCTCTTTAGCCCCTTTTATAAGCTTTAAGAACCCTTCTTATACTATACTTAGTAATTATTAGAAGGAGTTACTTATAAGCTTAGATTAAGACCTAAACTTGTCTATATTGCTTAGTATCTTAGATTACTATAGTATTTAAGGTAGAGGTACTACTAGTAGGGTATGCAGCTACACTTTAAGGTAATCTAACACTACCTATATATTAGTAGGAACAAGCCCTAATACTTTAAAGGCCTTTTAGTAGTTAACCTTTATAAATATATTACGGAATATATCTCTAAAGGCTAGTAGGAAGCCTTCATTGGGAAAAGTTTTTCCATTGTCGAAATCAGGAAATCGTGGCATTGTACTGTAGGCAACAGTAGGACTTGTAGGCCTACAACAGTTATTTAATGTGTATTTAATGTCTAGCTAATTTTAAGCTAATAGCTCTAAGAGTCTTAACAGCTGCAATAGCTATAATAACTCCTAATCCTGCTACAATAGTAGCTCTGCTTAATAAACTATACTTTTGTTATATTAATATATTACTAAGTCTCCTCTTTAAAATAAGCTATTAAACAACATTACAAGCCTAATAATAGAATAGTTATTAAGTGTAGAAGATTTTAAGCTTAATGTTCCTTGCTAAGACACTAAGTTAAGATTCTTTGCTAGGGCTCTAGCTGTAGTAGTCTGGCCAAAGGCCAATAAAGGATATCTACTTCCTAACAACTTTTGCTAAAAAGCATGCACAAGTTAACTAGACGTCTAGTTAACTGCGTAGATAATATATATCCAGCTTAAGCTAAGCCGGCTAAGCTAATGTAACCGGCTAGCTCTAGCTCTTCTTTAGCTTTAGAGTCTAGACCGTTACACTAGCTCGCAGCTGTGGCTGATATGGCCAATTCTCTGCGAAAAGAGCGCAGTTTGGCCCCTGTTGGCTTAAGGTAGGCTAGCACGTTTGTTTCGCGTCAGGAGGAGCTTAAAACAGTCTTTAATTGCAAGTATAACTATAAGCAAGCCCTCTGCAAGGACTCTAAGGTTATATAGGGCTAGTTTACCCTTGTATCTAACGTTAAAGCTAAGTATAGCATCCTAGATAACAACATGTATAACTTTAACAAGACAGGCTTTATAATAGGCTAGATAAGCACTAGAGTAATTGTTATAGATGCAGAGAAGCTAGGACAAGCAAAGCAGATCTAGCTAGGCAACTAGGAGTAGGTGACAGTTATTAAGGGCATTAATGCCACAGGATAGGCTATTCTAGCCTACATTATCTTTAAAGTCTACCAACACCTGTCTAACTAGTACAAGGATAATACCCTGCACTAAGACTAGGTTATTAGTATCTCTAAAAACAGCTAGACTACTAACAGGCTTAGGTTTAACTAGTTAAAGCACTTTAATAGGCATACAAAGACGGGCACTGTTAGTACTTACTGTAACGTACCTCACGGGCGAGTGGCCGGCCCGGGCGAGTGACCGGATTTTGCCAAGACCACACCAAACTTCATATAACCTGCGATGTCTTAACGCAAAAAGGCTTCAAGTGTCTTAAAGGAACTAGATATAACGTACCTCACGGGCGAGTGGCCGGCCCGGGCGAGTGTCCGGATTTTGCCAAGACCACACCAAACTTCATACAACCCGCGATGTCTCAACGCAAAAAGGCTCAAAGCGTCTTAAAGGAACTAGATATACAGCTTGCAATCTAGGCTCTTAAACAAGACGCGACTCTTACTATTCTACGCGCTGCAACAATCTACAAGGTGTCAGAAAGAACGCTAAGACGACGACGTGCTGGAACGCTCTCAAGACGCGATTGTAAGGTCAACTTAATGAAGCTGACAAGCACTGAAGAGGAGGTGATTGTGCAGCATGTTCTGAAGCTGGACGAGCGAGGATACCCACCCCGGCTTACTGATGTGGAGGATATGGCCAACTCTCTACTCACTGAGCGCCACCAGCCTCCTGTTGGCAAGAACTGGGCTAGCACGTTCGTCAAGCGTCGCCCAGAGCTCACAGTCAAGTTCAATCGAAAGTACGACTACAAGAGAGCCCTCTGCGAGGATCCTGAGGTGATCTAGGGCTAGTTCCGCCTGGTGGAGAATACCAAAGCCAAGTATGGTATCCTAGATGAAGACACCTACAATTTTGACGAGTCTGGGTTCATGATAGGTGTTATATCAACAGGAGCTGTTGTTACAGGCTTAGAGCGTCGTGGAAGACCAAAGACAGTACAGCAGGGCGACTGAGAGTGGACCAGCATTATCTAGGGTATCAACGCGTTAGGATGGAGTATCCCACCCTTTGTTATCTTCTAAGGCAAGCACCACCTCTCTGCCTGGTACAAGGAGCCGTCTTTACCTTACAACTAGGTTATTACTGTCTCTGAGAACGGCTGGACTAATAACAAGCTTGGTATTAAGTGGCTGAAGCACTTTAATGAGCACACAAAGGAGCGCACTGTTGGCAGCCATCAGCTGCTCATTCTGGACGGCCATGAGAGCCACAATTCAGTTGAGTTCTACTAGTACTGTGAAGAACACAAGATTGTTACCTTGTGTATGCCTCCACACTCATCGCACCTGTTGCAGCCGCTTGACGTGGGTTGTTTTGCCCTAATGAAGAAGGCCTATGGTCGCCAAGCTGAGCTGCTAATGCGCAACAAGATTACTCACATCACAAAACTTGAGTTTTTACTGTGCTTTAAAGGAGCTTTTGATGCCTCTATTACTAGGAGCAATATCCAGGGAGGATTTAGAGGTGCTAGCTTAGTCCCCTTTAATCTAGAGGCTGTAATATCAAAGCTTAAAGTGCGCCTGTGTACTCCACTACTACCTACTGTAGATAAGAGTATGTGGCACTCTCAAACCCCACAGAACACCCTAGAATTTAGGTCGCAATTAAAGCTTATTAAAGAGAGGATTCAACAACATGGCAATAGCTCTCTAACTTTAATGGTTGATGCTCTTAATCAGCTCACTAAGGGCGCAGAGATGATGGCGCATTCACTAGTTTTAGTGCGCAACCAGGTCGCAGAGCTTCAAGCTGCTAATGAGGCCGCCACACGCCGTAAATCACACAAGAGGAAGTGGATCTAGAGGGAGGGGACTCTTACTGTTAGTGAAGGAGTGCGCTTAACTACCCTAAAGGAGTTTGAAGCCCGTGATGATGGGAAGAAGGCAAGCAAGAAGAGGCGCGTTGAACTAGGCACTTAGTCTTTATGACGCTGTAGCAGGTGTAGTAAGGCAGGGCATAACGCGCGAACGTGCATAAAAGATGCGCAAGATACTGTAGATTAGTGCTGTATACTGTAAGTTACAGTAACTTGCAGTAACTTGCTGTAATATGCAAGAGAAGTTGAAGTTTGGTGTGGTCTTGGCAAAATCCGGTCACTCGCCCGGGCCGGCCACTCGCCCGTGAGGTACGTTATGCTAATTATTAATAGTTATAAGAGCCACAACTCTACAGAATTCAAGCAATACTGCAAGGATCACAAGATTATAGCTCTATGTATGCCTGCGCACTTATCGCACCTCCTGCAGCCACTTGACGTGGGTTGTTTTAGCCCTCTAAAGAAGGCGTATAGGGATAAGGTTAATAAGCTTATTTGTAACTAGATTAACTATATTACAAAGTAGGAGTTCCTACTATGCTTTAAAGCAGCTCACAAGAAAGCTATAACTGCTAGCAATATCTAGGGAGGGTTCTAAGGGGCTAGGTTAGTCCCTTTTAACCTAGAAAGGGTTATATTAACCCTTGATGTGAAGCTGCGCACTCTATCACCACCACTCCCTATAAACAACAAGCCCTAGCAGTTGCAAACCCTAAGCAATACCCTAGAATTTAAGTCGCAATTAGCTCTAATTCAAGACAAATATAAGAGGGAGTAGGGTAGCTTACCTACTTCTATTCTAAGCGCAATTAAGCACTACGCAAAGGGGGGAGCTATCCTGTTGCATAAGCTTGCGCTTGCACAAAAACAAATCTGTGAGCTTAAAGCAGCTGCTAAGGCTACTACATAACGCAAATTGCACAAAAGAAAGCGTATTTAAGCTAAGGGAAGCCTTGTAGTTAAAGAGGGCTAGTGGTTAACTGCTCTAAAGCAGTTTAGAGCGCGTAGTGATGGAAAGAGGGGAAAGAAGCTAGTGCGCGCTAAAGGAGGTGAACCATCCTAATAACGCTGTGGACAGTGCAGAGAGGGTGGACACAACGCGCGAACGTGCAAGAATAATATTAAAGAGGTCTCTAAGTAATATTACAGCTTGTTTTACCTTGTGCAGCGCTAGTTTGTGGTGTTTTGGGCCATAATAGGGTTTGATGGGGGAGGGTCTTGGAAAAAGTGGGCGACTCGCCCTGGTGGGCGACTCGCCCTACACCTACGTTACTTAAGTTAAGTATAGTGTTTGCAACAACAACGTGCACAACTTTAATAAAACTAGGTTCTAGATAGGTGTTGCTTTGTCTTTAAAGGTTATAACAGGCTTAGAGAGACGTGCTTGGCCAGAGCTTGTTCAGCCAGGCGATCGCGAGTGGGTTACCATTATCTAGAGCATCTGCGCTGCTAGGTATGCAACCCTGCCTTTTATTATCTACAAAGGACGCGTCTACATCTCTGCCTAGTATAAGGAGACAGATATACCCTATAATTAGAAGCTCTTAGTCTCTAAGAATAGTTAGACAAATAATATGCTTAGCCTTAAGTAGTTAAAGTACTTTAACACGCATATAAAGACGCGTTAGGTAGGAGTGTACAGGTTGCTTATCTTAGACAGCTATAAGAGCTATCTTAACTGTAAGTTTAAGGACTATTACCTAGAGAACTAAATCCTTACTCTCTATATACTACCTTACTTATTATATATCCTCTAGCTACTTAATATAGTCTGTTTCTTACTATTAAAGCGCAAGTACTCCTAATATATTTAAGACTTAGCATACTAACACATCTTCTATATTAATAAGGAAGGCTTCCTACTAGCCTTTAGGGATATATTCCTTAATATATTTATAAAGGTTAATGTCAGATAAGAGCGAGCGGTGAGAGGTCGGATCTGCGCAATCGAGCAGGGACCTGTCGTGCAGCCAATCAGCAGTTGCCAGGTCGATTAAGCGAGACCTGGCAACTCCTGATTGGCCCGCACACCGGCGGCCGCGAACAGCGCTAATTCCCCCCCCACTTCAATCCTGTAGCAACCAGCACGACGCTGACGGAACACGATCGCCACGATCATCAATATCATCATACCACCTAAGATCTCGTTAAGCACATACTCTGGCTCACAGTACGAGCATCTGACAGTTAACTACTAAAAGGCCTTTAAGGTATTATAGCTTGTTCCTACTAATATATAACGTAGTTCACAAGCGAGCGGTCCAACCCAAGCAAGCGGTCCATCCCAACCATGATAGCCTAATAACTACTTTGCATTATAATGCTATCCTAACGCAACATGCAATTAACCTATACTAAAGGGACCTTATAGCTTGCTATCTAAGCTACAATTAAAGATTATAATAAGAGCAAAAGACGTGCTATTGCAGCCTTCAGCGTACCTTAAACTACTGTCTACTAACAACACTAAGGAGCCCTCTCTTAACGCAATTGCGAGCCTAATTTAAAGAAGCTGAGCAAACTAGAGGAGGAGGCCCTTGTACAACATATACTTGAGCTTGATACAAGAGGAATACCTGCTACAAAGGCTATAGTGCGAGATATGGCTAATGATCTGCTTGCTGAGCGCGGTGGAGAGCCTGTTGGCAAGCACTGGGTAGACAACTTCAAGACGCGTACGCCTGAGATTAAGCTTTGAAGGAGCCGTCCATATGATCGCCAGCAAGCCCTTAACAAAGATGCACGCGTTATAACACCCTAGTTTGAGCTAGTTGCTAACACAAAGGCTAAGAACAGTATCACAGACAAAGACATGTACAACTTTAACAAGACAGGCTTTATAATAGGGGTTATCTATAGCTAGATAGTCTTTACAGGCTCTAAGAAGCGTAGCACAAAGAGCCTGTAGCTAGGGAACTGTAGTTAGGTTACTAATATATAAGGAGTTAACGCTAAAGGATAGGCTATCCTACCCTTCCTTATCTTCCCTAGCAAGGTCCTTATTACCTTATAGTTTTATAATCTACCTTAGGCTGGCGGATGGGTAGGGTAGGGTAGGGTATAGGTATAGTCACGTGATTTATGGGTAGGAACTAG